ATGTTTTCATGGCTATAAAAAAGACTACAACGTTATATATAAATCAATTGTGGTTTTCTGTTTCATGTTTCTGGCCATTTAAGTTCGAAATATGTAAAAAAAATCGTGCTCAATATGACGGGCTTGGGAGTTTAGACTTTGGTCCGTTTTCCACGTACTCGTTTCCGCAAATAATGGAATGAGACCGTTTCCATGTAACCGGTGAAAGCATGGAAAATTGGCCTTAGACTTGCTGAATTTACAACGCCTGCATGACAGAAGGTCATTATTTAAATTGTTAAAAAAGAAGAAAAGATTAAATAAAAAACATTGTAGCATTGATAATGTCGTGGTTTTGATGTTAGCAGATCCAAATTAAAAACAGATTTCAGAGAGTGAGATAGAAATGGGATTAACGTCCACTCGACACAAACTAGGTCACTTCGTGACTAACATATGGTTTTATTTTTATATTTGAATAATTCGCTTGGGCGTAGGGGTCTTTAGCAGTGAGAGGAAACCGGAGGACCCGTAGAAAACCCACGAGTTTGGACAGGCGACCCTACTCCTTGTCACGTACAGCCGGGTATTCACATATTTCAGATTTACAACAATTCGCCTAAAGATGGCCGCGTGTAATCAATAGATGTAAACTCTAAATGGCAATACATGACGTAGTGATGGACCAATCTGCAGTCCAGGAGATAACGGTTTTAGGTGAACCTGACAAAATTATCGGGCACTAATGAAACCTTGGGCCGGACATGTATAAAAAATATCAATGAACAAATCAAGTCAGTGCCAGAGAGAATGACAGACACCGGAGGTTTTAAGCCCGACAAAGCCTGAATTTGTGTCTGACATTGTCAGTGACAGACCTAGGTGCCATATTTCCAGGCTTGTCATCTGGATTATTTGTCGACGATATGTTTTTGCTTAGGTATAACTGCCGATTGTCGGGCGTGGTTTACCCTTGTCAGTCGTATACAGGACGGGGTTTCTGGCAATCAAAGTGTCTAGTCATGCGGATGGGACGTAAAACCGAGCTCCCATATTATATAAATTGGCGTAACACGCAACATAACCCTCGACAGTAGGCACATAGTGCCGCTGTCCGGTCAAAATTTCCCCCCATAGCACACTATGGCGTATGCCCGGTTTTATTAGCCCAGTAGAGAGAGAGAGAGAGAGAGAGAGAGAGAGAGAGAAAGAGAGATGGGGTTTAACGTTCACTGGACACAAACTTATGGTTCAATTTTATTTCGATAATTTGCTTGTGCGTTGGGGTCTTTAGCAGTGGGAGGAAACCGGAGGACCCGGAGAAAACCCACGAGGTTGAACAATCGACCCTACTCCTTGTCACGTACAACCGAGGAATCGAAACCACGCCAGTTGACTCAATGACAGACATTCTGATGCAGCGCTCACGCGCTAACCATTCGGCCACCCAACCCCCTTTAGCCCAGTAGGGCGTTAAACCCATTTCATTTCATTTCACTATTGTCCCAGTTGTTGAAGAACAATGGGACTTTAAATCTTGGGAAACACTTCAAATAATTTTCAAATATTTGAAGAGCCCCGGGGAAGAACGATCGAAGTCACATTTTCAATGAACTCCAGTTAATGGCGCCATCTGATACTGATAGCAAATTGTATAAGCTTTCTGTGGAACAATCAATTTCAGGTAAAAACGATCGGAGTCACATCGAACCAGGGCCCTTCTGAAATGCCCCCCCCCCCCGGACAAATACAAATCCATTGTACCCTTTATTTGACCTTAATTTGGCTAAAAAGTGGAAATCAGTTGTTGTAATGGTAATAACGATTCGTATTAAACATCATTTGAAGCTGTAATTAAATCCACTCGTTGTTTTGTTCACGTCAAACATTCTCGTCCAAAAGTCTGTTTTACCTTTTATGTGAAAAAACAAAAATGTGACTTAGCTCGTTCTTCCCCTGGACTCTTCGGTTGTTAAAGAACAATGGGACGTTAAATCCCATCGGTTTGGGAAACACCTCGAATAATTTTCAAATATTTGTGATGGAGCTATAAGAGAATCTGCGTGGGAAGATGTGAAGAGACAAAGTAATTATTGTTGATCGAGATGAACTGATTAATATTTAATAATTGAAATAGCTTTAGTGTGTCTGTGAGTTGATGAACAGGAATTGATGTGTAATAATAATTATATTCTGTGTATTAGTTACTGGACAATCATACCAAACTCTTAGACTTGTTACTGGACAACTATATTAAACTGTCATACTACTGCACTGATCCTTGATGGTTTAGATCTAATTGATAAGGCCAACTTCAAGTTTGGTCAAAGGCCACGAGATATAAACAGGGCTAGCGCTAATCCCAACCCTAACCCAAACCCTGGACCTAGCCCTAATGCTTACCCTAAACCTAACCTACAATCTCGCCAACAATCACGTGCCTTAACCTTATTTACATCTCAGCGACCTTGACAAAAATTGAGCTGGCCTTAACAAATAGAATTAGCCACTCCTTGATACTATAACCAATTTCTCGCAGCTTAAAGCACGCCACGCTGATCACAAATCTATTATTTAACATCTAATTTGATAAGAAAATCAAAATATCAACGGGTGATAATGACCCGGTCTGGATGTCACAAGTACAAAGGCATAGGATTATAGTTTGGATTGCAATGTCACAAATAAAATGGCCCAGTGCCTACAGTTAGGATTTTAAGGTCACAGGTAAAAAAGGCCAAGCATGGTTACCATTGGGATTGTAATGTAACACTTTGGATTGTAATGTCCCAGGTAAAAATTGTAATGTCACGGGTAAAAATGCCCATTGCTACAGTTACGATTGTAATGTCACAGGTAAAAATGTCCATGGTAACAGTTAGGGTTGTAATAACATAGGTAAAAATGCCTATGGTTACAGTTAGGATTGTAATGCCACAGGTAAAGATGCCTATTGTAATGTCACACGTATAAAGGCCCGGGATTATAGATAGGATTGTAATATCACAGGTAGAAAGGCCCAGGATTACAGGTATAATTGTAAAATCACAGGTAAAAAGGCCTAAGCTCAAAGTTAGGATAATAATGCCACAGGTAATATAAATGAGTAATGATTTACGGTTGCCATATTTATATGTACCTCTTGTACCTTAAAGGACAATATTGGTGTCAGTCATTATAAAATATGTGATAGAGCTCGTTAAATACATCCCAAATATAATTAACACAGAGATCATTGCTACGGGAGTTGTGTAACACAAGCACATGAAGAAACGGGAAGTGACGTCAAACATGACAAACATGAGTTGTCCTTCTATATAACTAACTGAAGTGTCCCTTATCTAGTGACAGCCAATTCTATTTTTGAATTGTGAGATACCCTTCACCGTCCCATATAATAACTTTTCAACTTCAACGGAATAATCAGTGAAATGAAATTCGATCGTTTGTCTGTTACAGCTCGTTACTTCAGTCTGTTATATAGAAGGACAACTCGTGTTTGTCATGTTTGGCGTCACTTCCCGTTTCTTCACGTGCTTGTTACAAGTGTCCCGTAGCAATGATCTCTGTGTTAAAATTATATTAGGAATGTATTTAACCAGTTCTATCACATATGTAATAATGACTGACACCAATATTGTCCTTTAAGGTACACGCTCAACTGTTGTAGATTTACTCTGTGAAGATGAAACCTAAACGTGCCATTTTGTATATTTGTGTGAGCTATTACTTTCGATAATAGGATCTGGTCGACTTCACCACTACTATATTACAAATTAACTGTAGTAGACGCCAAGATTATCATGTAGTCGGTGTAAATATACGATAAGAGTGTATGAAAGAGATATATTTAATGACTGTTATTTCCTACCATTATCTCTTCACACAAAGACTTAACCATAAATCTAATTTAAATAGAAAGTTATGTACAGTGATCAAATACAGTGGCGGGTCCAGGGGGTGGGAAGCTAGGAGCTCGACCCAAAACTGAGAGTGTAAAAAATTCACATATTATTTTGTTTCCATGAAACATGTAAAACTAGGCTTTTTGGTGATCAGGGCAACGTAAGTTATATCAGTATAGGTGCTACAAATAACACCGATTTTTCAGAATGCACCCCCCAAGGAGAAACTCTTGCTTCCGCCACTCTTCAAATGTATAGCTCATTTTAGTAGAAAAATGTCTACGACACAGGGTCATAATAAATGATAGTGCAGTATGTGAAATATTCTGGCTGACAGTGTTGACTGACAGTAAAGTTTGTTGCCCAAAGTAAACCTTTAAGACTATCAGGCGCCATCCCTTGCGTTTATTACCTTGACAATAAAAGGAAGGTATGGTTCGACGATAGTTTTATTTTAGGTTAACTAACGAAGGACCCATGTTCTTCTTCTTCTTCCTTGACGCTTAACGTCCGCTTCCACCTAAGGTGATATCGCAGACAAGTGTTTCCTGGGAAACATGCAAGAGAAGCCAAATGAGAAGTTCGTCCAAGAGGCCAATTCGGTTCCGTAAAATAAGACTTGTCTGCTATATCACCTTCGGTGGAAGCGGACGTTAAACACTACGATCAACAACAGCTATTTACACACCTAAATTAATGACAACTGTGTATATTTTCTAACCACTTTCTAAACATACTAAACATTAGTTTAGAATACTGACCACTTATATGATTTAATGACCAAAGGTATCAATACTAAAAGACCTAACTTCATTAGTCAACGATACTTAATGTTTTTGACTAATATCGTCGAGTTAGGACTTAGAAAAATGTCGGTCAACTAGCTTAGTGTCTAACTGTAGACAGCTAACTGTAGACAGGCAGCCAAAGTTTAGTACATGTATGTCATATATACCTGTTAGGATTTAAAATGTCGGTCAACTAGTTTAGTGGAGCTAGTTGAGTAGAGAGAATGCGTAAGTTTAGTAAGTGGTGAAAACCTGTTTAATCGCGTACATTACTCAGTTATCTTATTGTTAAATAACTTATGTGAGATCTTTCTCTTTTCTGTTACAGGCAAAAAAGAACAAATAGAAGCTCTTCATTCTGCTGCGTCATCTGTCACCTGACTACCACGTCACTTCCTCTGATGCTGTTTGCCTTCACGTGTCCCGAAATTGGAGTACTTTATCACTGGACTTGAGACAACCACGTGAATCTGTTTTATAGGGAAATTATTTCTGATTTGATGAGGTCATCAACTGGAACCTCTTTCGTATTGCACACAAGACTCACGTGCCTGTTTTGTATCGCGACACTATGCAAGGTGGTGGATCTTTCCTATTAATGGTTTGTGATTCGAAACAATCATCATCAAGGCATCCAATCAAAACTGGAATAAAATGTCGAATTTTAATTCATTAACCACCATTGTGTAGACTGTATTGACGCCCATGGCGATTATAGCAGGCTTATTGTTCAATCTGATTAAAATACAGATCTATATTTCGTTTCGTTTTTTTATACGTTCGATGGCCTACACTACCAATCTGTTTTAATGCGACATCCGTATTTTATCTCTGTCCAAGATGACTGACCTTTAAAAGGTCAGACCGCTGTAGTTCTAAGGGTGACGTCATATCACAATGTTTACCAACAAAGCAAGATGGCATCGATAACGCCAAAAAAGATTACTATGAACTGGTACGGGCAGAATTATATCGTTTTACCCATTTTACGCCTCCGCGTGCTATTTTCTGTACCTATTTACGCTAAATATGGAATATTTTTTATCAAGATATACTTCAAACACCTTTATTTATTTTTCTAATACTAAAAAAAAATGTTTCAGAATTTAATTTGTCGAAAGAAAAAAGTTAATATTTTGTAGTCATTAAGTCACATCGATGTCATCCTTATCAGTGATTGTAGCGGCCAAGCGAATATTCACTGCGGATCAGTGTGCTACACTACAAGACAAGTAAAACGAAATTTTAAACTATAAAAACGAAACGAAATAGGATCTGTGTTTTAACCAAATTGGCCTATTGTTGTTTATTCTAACGATTGTAAATGTTCACATTTTTTGGTTTGCTAAATATATGTTGTTTGTATTTTTTACTCTTATAAGCATTTCTTTCATCATAAATTATTAATCTTGGTGGCGAATTTTGCGCAATGAATTAAGCGAATGAAATATTGAATTATTGATTGGATTAACTTCGAATATCTATTGGGTCTAGCCCCATTACATCATTGACTACTTCAATTACGGAGCCTTACCAAGAAATTGATGCTGAAGCCCAAATGTCGTCACTCGAGCTCTGAGCTGAAATTTTTAGCTACATGGTTTAAAATGCCATGAGTGTGAAATCATATTCCAAATTTCTAGTAAATGAAACTTCAGTGAACTATCGAATCTTGTCGCAAGAATAAGCTACAACCCAATAGAAATAGAAATATGTATTTTACTTTACCCAGAAGTAAGCAGTGTCGTGAAATTTTAGATGGTGTAATTTAGTGGATATTTTTATGTAATAACTGAATGTGTGTTTAAATGTGGTCGTATATTTTACATAGTTAGCGCCATTTTGATTCGGCCACCATTTGAAAATCATAAAAGATAAATAATTTGGCCTAATTATTCTTCACTTTAATTTCACGGATAAAATGAAGACAGATCAAGGATTTTCAGCAAGGCGTGGATTGGAGGTGGGGCAGAAATGTCAGATCTCTATACTGAAGTGTTGCAGTGACATTTAATGAACTTCAAATGTGCGAAATTTAGCGGATATGATTACGTTTTTTGATGAATGAAATAACCGTAACAATGGATAATCGAGACTTTATTTATTATCGTACCAACGGAAGTAATGACGATCGAGGCTAGGCTAACATTGAATCACTAATATCTCCGTTCAGAGTGAAGCGATTTGACTGAAATATTCAGCATATTCTGTTTTCATTATCTATTTTTTAACTAGCTAGTATAGTGAGAACTGTCTAGACTACTAGCCCCCACACCACCCCCACCAATTACTTTAAACGATGGGACATTATATATTGGAATTACACATTCTATAGAATACACATTACCGTTATTACCTAGAAATGGTTCCACTACATGATGTCTTCCATCGTGCCCCAGCCACAGTAGCGGGCCGTCCTAAGACCCTCCTTTCAGCAAGTGTTGCAGTCATTTGACTACAAAAAGTCACTGGCCTATAACTCCCGTAATTTCCAATTACACTGGCCCCAAACTGTACTGTACATAGCTTAACATATAATAAACCAATTCCCATTGAAATAAAGGTGAAACCATGCCGCATAATTATATGAGTTGATTAAATCCAATTGCGATGCGAAATTTCTGTTGATTTTAAAATGGCCGTCGAACTAGAATTACGCGATTTTATGTCACTCGAAAATATAGAATAACTGTTCGAAAAGATAAGATTTAAGATTTCAGTGTTCCACTCTTCACTATTTGTAACACAATTACTTATTTCCATGCAAACTGATATGTGTTAAACATTTGGCAATTGAAAATAATTTTACTTGCTCAAAGCCTCGAAAAGTGTGTCAATTGTATCCATAAATAAGAATTATCACGGCTACAAATATTGCAGCTATTCATTACCGAGCGACGTTTTGACAAGGATTCAGTCATGTTTCTGGAGCAACGACTGCAAGATGTACGGTGTAAGTAGTTAAAGCGAGATCGAGCCTTCTATCGAAGACCGCATTCAGTAGACTTATCAAACTATGATCAAGGACGGTTCCAGAGACCATGGATAGGAGAGTGGTGGGCGCACGGGCCTCCACCGGAAAATTTCGAAAACTAGAAGCCCGGAAATGCCATTTCTCGTGATCTGAGACAAGAATCCGGTTCAAAAATAATGAATTATAATGGGACTGTTTCAGTCAGAAATCCAGATAGGAGGGGCGTGCGCCGGGTGCGCTTCCCATTAGATCCGCCCTTGATGGTTTAATGTCTCAGGATTTTCTATAAATGTATTATTGCTTGATTAAGACTAAATAATCGAAGTGGAAACGTCACTCAGTAATGAACAGTTTGTATTCCATAGAAAGAACAAATGAAATGGGGTTTAACGTCCTACTTTACTGCACCAACTGGGATAATGAAATCGGGGTTACGGCATACAGTGTGTCGGGGGGGGGGGGGATTTTTACCGGACAACGGCGCTACGACTTACTACAATTTCGAATTCCAACTGTCAGGGGATCTTTTATGTGCACGACAATGCGTACATCCGAACGACTATACACTATGCTATGACGGTAAAACTGGTGATGTATGACAGATCGTGTAAATTCATCTCCTATAAGCCTATATGTTTGTATTACTATAAATATATTATGTCACTGTTATAATATTACAAATAAAATTTACTTCTAATCTGTTCATCTAGCCATTTTTTAATATCCTATCCCTAAAGACCCACATTCAGAACCGAAGAAGTGTATTAATTGTTACCGTACAAACTCTCTCCTAGTCCCAGAATTACTGCAATAAATCTCAAGCCCGTTTTCCATGTAGGTGTTGTCGCCGGTTACATCGATACCCTCCAGGCCCGTAACTAGGGGTCGGGGGGGGGGGGGCACAAAGCCCTCCCTGCAAAAAGTTTTGCCCTGTGAAAAAGTTGTCGACCATAAAAACAATTTCACAGCACCCCCTGAGAACACTTCCCGCCCCCTCGTCGCTCTGAGCTAGTTACGTCCCTGATACGGTCCCATTACATTTGCGTTGGACCAATTTGTTCGCCGGCGAAAACGCCGCAAACACACGCATACAGAAAACGGGCCCTAAGGGTGAACCTATAAAAAATTATTGGCATAACATTACACTGGGTAGCCCAGCCTATTCATTTTTATGTGCAGAAATCAATTATCTCCCATTAAATAACTCTTGTATAGGGGCAGACCACTATTAAATTTCACCCTGTCGCTATTTATAGCAATCCCCCCCCCCCCCCCTTCTCTCTTTTCTCCCCTTTAGCTTGCCCATTTTTTGGTCTAGAATGGTCAAGAGGGTTTGAATTGACATTTTCTGCTAGGTTTTGGTAAATATTCTTGATTTAGAGGCGGCAGGATAACAGAGTTAACAGGTTGGTTACGGTGATATGTACGGCGAATAGTTACATGTTTTTAGTATGCTACTTCAAGCTTGTGTATCTCAAAATTTTAGTGGTCAACCTCATACAAATTTTGGTGCAAAGACATGACCATTTGTTGGAGCTAGGCAAAGAAACCAGAATTAACATTGAAGTCAATGGGGAAATTAATGGTGGTCTGCCTCCTGTACCGCCTCAGACTTAATTATCTCCCCCTTGACTAGGCCGTAGAGCCGCTGTCTGGGCAAAATTTCCCTCCTAGCACATTTGGTGTATACCCGACTTCATTAGCCCAGTAGGGCATTAAACATAACTTCATTTCATTTCATGTATCCTGTAACAACTGAGTTAATGAAAACAGACATACACCACAGTGTGCTGTAAGGGACATTTTGCCTGGACAGCGACAATCCCATTTCATTTCTTTTTATTTCTATCATGAAAACATGAGAAATAGTTACTAATCTTTGACAATATCACTCTCGGTATCAAAATACTTGACTTCATATTATTCATCTACAGTTTCCAAAGATAATGCAATAAGATGATAAAGAGATGGATGGGGTTGAACGTCCACTTAACACAAACTAGGTCATTTTTGGACCAACATGGTTCAATATAATTTTAATAATTCGTTTGCGTGTAGGCATCTTTCAATCTGATTAAAATACAGATCTATATTTCGTCTCTTTTTTTTAAAAAAAATACTTTCAAAAGCCTACACTACATGGAGATCTTACAAGTTGTACTCAAGGTTGGTAGGTTCGTGTCAGGGGTCGTACGAGCGACTTTTGACCCTATGACATCAGACATTGAGTAATCAATCAGCGTTTCTAATGCTTTACCCTGTAACAGACTGTTTCACTGGCTTATCCCTCCCTCGCTGGTAATATGACAATTCTTCCAGATCCTAATGTAGTAAAAACAAGAAAATCAAAATTTTGAACTATAAAAAACGAAACGAAATAGGATCCGTGTTTTAATCAAATTGGGCATCTTTGTACTGGGAGGAAATAGGAGACCAATAGCCGAACCCATTATAAAAACGATAACAGATTGTCATTTCATTTTATTATGTGAACATTTAATTCATTAACAATATTACATAATAGATTATTGATGTGTAGATGGGAGGTATTGGGGGGTGATTCCAAATTGATAAACTTGCAGTCAAGTGAAATGGAATTAATTCCAAAGACAGTTCTGCCAGACACGATATCAGAAGTACAAGTAGAATCATGACCTTACCGAACCAAGAGAATTCATATGTGCCTGAGCAGGGTTTCATGTATCGGATCAGGGGCTCCGATGCAAGAATGCTGGCCATGCTGAGGTAAAATAAAATTAAATAGATATCAATGCTGATGTAACAAATTTTTGAAGATATTTATGCCCCCCTCCCCCCCACAGGGAAATTCCAGGATCTTTGAGCATGCACTGGCTGCATGTCACAAGGGTGGTTAGGGGTGGTCTAAGGAGCCCCAGTTGAGGTCACTGGGTGGTTTGGTCTAAGGAGCCCTAGTTGAGGTCACTGGGTGGTTTGGTCTAAGGAGCCCTAGTTGAGGCCGCTGGGTGGTTTGGTCTAAGAAGCCCTAGTTGGGGTCACTGGGTGATTTGGGCGATTGAGTGCTAAAGTCTTAACATACATTATATTTATATACAGCAGTATTTAATTATTAGCACTATTAAACACATTTCTATAATACCCATTCAAAATAACACTTTTAAATTTGGCTGCTTATATCTACGGTTTAACAACACTACTAAATACTTCACATCAAGGCTTTATTAAAAATCCTGCTGGAAAGCATTCTTATGTTTCAACCAACATCATATTGAAAATATACTGTAGTTATTTACCAGTTCATTTTAATGTAATGAAATATATATATATATATATATAGTTTTAACATATTCTTATATATACCTACAATATACTGGCCTGTAATTCATATAGCTATGTATGGAAGCAGAACAATTGTCTCTTCCGTCAGCAGTTGTCCCCATCAGCAATTATACTAGATCCAACTTGAATAGATTTATTCTCAATCTTCAAACACAATCAAATTGTACATCGGGGGTGACTTTCTTGGGGGCTGGCAAATTATCTAAGTGCATACCAGAAATATTCATTTTGTAAGAATATTTTTCTTAATAAAAAATACATATATATGTAATATTGCAAAAGTATCTATAAACATCAACAGGTACAATGTTTATATTTTGTAAAATGTACATGTGTCTACATGTTGCAGGCAATATTTCCCTCATAGCACACTGTATGGCCTAGTCGGAGTAGAACAGTAGAACGTTAAACCAGATTTTATTTCATTTCGTGTCTACAAGTTTTCTTCCAAACTTTGCTGTTCAACATCAAGTAAATAAAAGTTCACCATCCTCGTCAATGACTTGTCGACGATATATCAACGTCTCCTTACATCTATACTCTTAACTAATTGTTCTCCTAGAATTTTAAAGTCTTCAATTATAGCGTCTATATTACACTCAAGCACAACATCATCTCCTCTGGTAGATGGCTTACTTTTACATAGATTCGGTACCTAGAAATAAAAAGAGAGTGAGAAGTGGGGTTTAACATCCATTCGACACAAACTAGTTGATTTTGAGACTAACATATGTTTCAATTTTATTTCAATAATTCGCTTGTGTGTAGAGGTCTTTAGTAGTGGGAGGAAACCAGAGGACCCAGAGAAAACCCAAGAGGTTGGACAGGCGCCCCTCTTTTTATCACATACAACCAGGGAATCGAAACCACGCCAGTTGACTCAATGACAGACCTTATGATACAACGGGCACAAGCTCACCATTCGGCCATCCGCCCCCCCCCCCTCCCCCAACCGTAATTCCAAGAAATAAACTTTAAAAATAATGACTACTGGTATTGATGATGATGATGTTGTTGATGACACAGATGCTAAAATATTTTTAGGCTGATGAAATTTTTGAAGGAGTTCAACTTACCTTGACATCTTTTTTATGAAAAACATTAGGTCTCCATAAAACCCCAATACACGATCCACCGAACTGATCATAAAAGAATAAAGCTACGTCATCATAAATCTCCTGAAAATAAAACAATATCACAATGAGAAGAATATTAATCATACATATTTAACCCTTTCGTTACATGGAGATTTTGGGACCTGGTGACCGAGCCCCAGCTAGGCCTAGAGGTGCCCAGATCATCATGCACCTCACAAATACAAGGCTATAAAAACCAAAAATGTCAACGACCATATAGTAAACAATGAAACCACAATGAACAAAAGCGAATTGCCATGGGCGTAGCGCAGCATATTCATGTAAATACACTTTTCCCCAAACCCCAAATTTGAGCACAATTATAATGCAGAACTTTCCAAAATGTACGCAAGACGTGCGTTTATGTATCTCAAATTTGAATAAGATGAATTACAGTCTATCCATCGGGGAATTTCTACTAGTACTACTGAGTACAGTTTCCAAACGGTACGCTATGCCCATGATATCCATTATGCCCGGGGGCGACACTTCTTGGGGGGTGGCAAATTATCTAAGTGCATACCAGAAATATTCATTTCGTAAGGATATTCTTAATAAAATATAAAAAATTGAATTTTAAAATTTCTTTAATCACAAAAAGTCAACTGAGCGCAGGCACTTAACAAAGCAGTTACAGTATGCAAAGGGGTGGGGGGAAACTTGCCACTGAAACTTTTGCCCAGGTGTGCCATAAAGGCTTGTGAGATCCCTGTGTATGATTGACACGTTGCCTGTACATGATTTGAAATAATGATACTCCAACACCACATGATGTCATATCTGTATTTGAATGTGGAATATAGGGCCTTTAACAACAATAATGTGGAATATAGGGCCTTTAATAACAATAATGCGGAAGCCTAATAATCATAATAATGGAATAAAAATAAAACATACCCTTAATTCGTGTAGGTATAACTGACAAGTATCGTAATCTATGAGAGGAAATGTTTTATCGTCAGCATCTTTTACATCTGGTACAAGTTTATCTCGAGGATTATCTATAGCTTGGTAGGATCGTGGTAAGAGAGATGTATTAAGATGAATCAAAGCATCATACGATTCTAATGGTGGTCGAAATACTTGCTGAAATAAATAGACAAATGAAATGGGGTTTAACATTCTACTTTTCTGCACTATCTGGGGTTATGAAGAAGAAATGAAATGGGGTTTAACGTCCTACTGTTCCGCTTTGAACGGTGTGCCATACAGTGTGCTATGAGGGAAGTTTTGCCCGGACAGCGGCACTATGACCTGCTCTTATATCGAATTCCAACTGCCAAGGGATCTTTTACATACATGAGTCCTCGGTTTCCGTATCATCAAAACGACTAGCCAGCTCAGACCCTTTTGTCCTTCACTACTAACAAGGGGGGAAACCATACCCGAAAATCCTGATGAACTTTCTCGGCCAACACCGGGAGCGAATCCGCAACCTTCAGACTGGCAAACCAGCGTCTTACTCACTCAGCCACTGTGGCTCCTATGATTGATGATAGTATACACCACACATGTACATTGTACTATGAGGGAGGGACATTGTGCTATGAGAGACATTGCCTACTCTTATTTCGAAATACAACAGTCCAGGGCTCTGGTTAGCGAGTCAGCATCTTACTCACTTACATGGTTCCCCATAGGTAGATATAGAAGGAGAACAAAATATTTCAGCTATGTGAATTACTCAAATGAATAAGCAAGCCTGGAAATAAGGCACCTGCCACTGACAATGTCAGGCACAGATTCAGGCTTTGTCAGGCACAAAACCTCTGGTGCCTGTCATTTTGGGCACTGATATGTCTTTTTTGCTGATATTAATAATACACGTCCGGCATTAAGTTGAAAATGTCAGGTACTATTTCATTACTGCCTGACATTTTGTCAGGTACATCTAAAAGTGTTATTTCCAGGCCTGTGAATAATTGTATCAAGTGCTTTGTAAATGGAGCTATGGAGGCTTGATATTATATATACTATTCAAAAAAAGTAGGGGATATTTGATTTTTAAGTGTTATTAAAGTCACCTAATGAAACTGACGAAGAAACAAATGACAAAATGAAATGAAGTTCACATTCATCGATTTATTCCAAATGATCGTTAGACTAAGTAAGGCACAGACTGACCATTATAAGGGTAAAATGATACCCGGGGTCAAACAGCAAAGTTACCACAGCATCACAACCAAGCATTGATCCGACGTGGCATACTCCTAATGAGACGTCTAAGGTCATTTTGGTCCAGATTGTCCCATTCCTGTTGCAACGCAGCAGTAAGTTCTTGGACATTGGCAGGACGTTGTTGACGTCATAACAGAACCACCCCCAAATCGATCATGTCTGATGACGTTAACGTCTTGGAAGCGCTCGTTTCGACGACGCCACACCCTCCTACGTCTGTCCAAAAAATCAACAGTGAACCTTGACTCATCTGAAAACATCACATTGCTCCAGCGTCGATTATCCCAGTGTTGACGATCCCTACACCAACGACGTCTTGCCTGAATGTGATGATCTCTCAAACAAGGGATCAAGCGAGGACGTCGGGCGCGAAGGTGACCCCTATGCAGTCGATTCCGAATCGTCTGGCCACTCACTCTCACACCAGTGTCTGTTTGAAGACGAGCGCTGATCTGATTTGCTGTGATGACACGATTTCTCAAGGCCAAGGTACGGATAAATCGATCCTGGCTTGAGTTGTCGCCCTTGGTCGACCTGAGCGTGGTCTGTCCTGTACAGATTGTGTATCACGGTATCTGGACCATAGCCTGCTTATGACAGACTGAGAAACATTCATCGTCCGCGCCACAACCGCCTGTGTTGTGCCGATCTGTAGCATGCCAAGGGCACGTAACCTTTCATTTTCATTTTGGGTAAGCCGACGCATATCAAAATTTGTTTTCTGGTCACTAAAACAATTAAACTGATGTTTCCACCCTGGAATTCAATGCCACAATGACTGTAACATTCAAAGTCAGAGTCGTGCAAATCTTGGGTTGGACCCCCATGATGATCCCAAGCATCACCTGCATTCCATGCGGTAGCTATTGGTGCGTTTGGGCGTCACATGTAACTGGAAATGTTTCTTCTGTTAGGTTCTATAGTGACTTTTTCGTAGTCATTTGCATATTTTAGTATTATGCCCCCAAAATCAAATATCCCCTACTTTTTTTGAATAGTATACCTAGTTGTTTGGTTGTTACAAAAATCTGAGAACGGAGTGTTGGATTTCTCTGTTTAAAAAAACTCAATGTGTATGTATATACGACAAAATGATAATAGAGACCATGTACTTCTTAAAAATTTCAAATTTTCATTGTCTCAGGTACTGGGCAAACCCTCTCCTGCGAATATTCCTGGATCTTCCGATGAAAAGGTACAAACATTGAAATATTTCCAAGATTTGAAAGATTTTTGAACTAAGCTATACCTTAATATCATCTTCAGCCGAAGGATTCAGAACTTGATCTTGTAGTAAAGTTAAAGATTCTTTGGCTAGAACAGCCAGACGACTGAGGATCATAGCTGTTGGTTTCTCCGTCGTCCAGTAACTACTCCATCTATCGTATGGTGTAGACAGAAACATGAGAGGAAATTTTTCTCTTTCTTTCTGGAATCGAGCTGGTATATCAATAAAATCTTCAGCTGTATAAAAATAAAAAATACAAATAATAGATATTTAAAAATCCCTGCACAACAGCAGTACAAAAACAGAATGTTTCGGGTTAAAAAAACGTTTATCAGCAGTTACACAGATCTATTGGCTTGTCCAGTCTCTGCTATTTTTAACCCTCATCTCTCAATTCCTATAAAATTCAAATAAGTAATGAAACTTATTTAGCACTCGCCTTAAATACTGTCTATCAAGTATACACCAAGTTTCATCACTCTCACTTAATTAGAACTAAAGTTATTGTGTCCCAAAGCATCAAACAATCAAACTGTTTATCTCTGCTTACCCTAGGCAGAAAATGCTCATCTTCGAACTCCATCAAAGTATCGACCTAATAAACACCTACACCAAGTTTGTACATTCTAGCTCAATTAGAAGGAGAGTTATTCTGTCCCAAAAAGTGTGACGGACGGACGGACAGACAGACACAGACAGACAAATGAACCCATTTTAGTAAATAAAACTTTTCAATGGGGATAAGCATAGAAAATTCAAATAAGCAAACGAACCCTAGAAGTTGATTCCCGTAAATGTTGGGGGGAGGGGGGGGGGGGGAGAGAGACAGAGAGAACAACTTGACACATACAAGGTCATTTTGGGACTAACATAAGATTCAATTTATTTCAATAATTCGCTTGTGTGTTGGGGTCTTTGGCCATGGGAGGAAAAAGAGGACTCAGAGAATACCCAAGAGGTTGGACAGGAGACACTACTCCTTATCATGTACAAGCAGGGAATCATAACCAAACCTCCTGATTTTCAATGACAGACCTTATGATCTACTGTCCACGGGTTAATCCATTCAGCCACCCAACCCCCTGTACTAATATAGGATGTCTGTATCATTCTGCTTTGAAGTTCCACAGATTATTTTTACCTGTAAATTCTGTATTCAGATTTATCAGTAATGGCGTATTCTTCCAATCAAAGGTAGATAATAATTGTAAAAATCGTAGGAAACCAGCCCCTGGAGATCTATAATAAAAGAAATTAATTGTAATATGGCATTTAATATGTGGTTTTTACTGTGAGAACTAAGCTTTTCCACATTAAACAGTGGATTCCTTTTCCCACAGGGTTTTATCAATCCGCTACGACGGCATCCTGGACCTTCTGTGTTAACTTAGTTTCATTATATCAAAGTGAGAAGATGACCTGCCCTCTCAGCGATTTTAAAACTGTGCTTTAAAGTGACTTTTATATAAACAAAAACTTTTTATTTTTTAGTGTTTCTAAACAACATCAACAACATATGATATATATATGCTATGCAGTGTGCTATGAAGGAAACTTTGCCTGCCCCTGCTTGCAACTTTTTGGATAGCCTTGTTTATCACACTGCAATCTCTGGTAAATCAGTTATACTGAATTTCGTGCATTGTGGCGTAATTTAGACATGATCGCCATTATACAATTTTACGTCAACATATTTTGAGCACTGGTTAAATGTGATTGCTTTGTTACACTGTAATTGATTGGTTGTTAACCTGATTGTTAACCAGTCATGGGGGGTTGAATGGCTGAATGGTTAGCACGTGCGTGCTGTATCATACGGCCTGTCATTGAGTCAACTGGCGTGGTTTCGAATCCCCGGTTGTACGTGACAAGGAGTAGGGGTGCCTGTCCAATCTCGTGGGTTTTCTCCGGGTCCTCCGGTTTCCTCCCACTGCTAAAGACCCCTACGCGCAAGCGAATTATTGAAATAAAATGAAACCATATGTTAGTCCCGAAATGACCTAGTTTGAGTCGAGTGGACGTTAAACCCAATTTCTCTCTCTCTCTCTCTCTAACCAGTCATAATTTTGGACTGGAATCATCAGACAGTCCAGCAGTGTTTGAGAGTATAGTCAAACGAAACACTGCAAGTACTAGAGTTTATTAACAATCTGATTCAAATACAGATCTATATTTTGTTTCGTTTTTTATACTTTCAATGGCCTGCACTATATGAAGATCTGACAAGTTATAGTGGGAGTTCATGTCAGGGGTCAAACGAGTGGCTTTTGACCCTATGACATCAGACATTGATTAATCAATCAGCGTTGTCGTTTCTAGCGGTTTACCCACAGTTCCGTGCATAAAAAAGGCCAAGAACTTGCCGTAACAGATCATTTCATTGGCTAATTCCTCACATCAAGTAGAACGCCTGTTATATAACATCTCTTCCAGATCCTAGTGTAATAAAGACAAGTAAAACAAAATTTTGAACTATAAAACAAAACGAAATAGGATCTGTGTTTTAATCAGACTGAGATTAGTAAAGTATATATTTACTTACCCTGGTTTAGTATAAGGTGCTGGTGTAAGATAAATATGACATACTATTAATTCTATAGCTAACTCAGGTATATGATCTGATAATAACTGGGCTGAAACCCATCGTTTAGCTAATCTTACAGCACAACTCACTGTATTATGTTGTTGATAAATACTGAAACAAATGAAAATACGAAGACAGGCCATAAAAAATATTACAACTGGAAAAAAACCTGATATAAATACAAGACAGAGAGAGAAATGGGGTTTAACATCCACTCAACACAAACTAGGTCATTTTGGGACTAACATATGGTTCAATTTTATTTCAGTAATTTGCTTTCTTGACAGACCTTATGATACAATGCGCACACGCTAAACATTTGGCTATCCAACTCCCTGATATAAATATAATGTACAGGGGTAGACACAAAACTTCTATCTAAATACACTGAGATATAATCATAGTGTCAACTGTATATACACCCAATAAATCTATAGTAGGCTACGCTACTGGTAAGTTTAGGTAAAGCTATACAGTCTAGTTCAGATCTAGTTCCCTAACCGCTGTTCCATTTCCCTCCCTCTAATTTTTATATCCCAATAGAGAATAATCATGGAACATAGTACCGGTAAAGCTATGGAACAGTGCGGTTCAGATCTTTTTCACTAACCCCTGTTCCATTTCCCTCCCTTTAATTTGTATATCACGACAGAGAAGAACAGCTTTTCTATTTCCCTCCCTCTAATTTTAGTGACACATACCCGTATATTTATAGTACCGGTAAGTTTAGGTAAAGTTATATAGAACAGTGTGGTTCAGATCTAGTTCCATTTCCCTCCCTCTAATTGTTATATCACAATAGAGAATAATAGTGAAACATATAATTGGTAAGTTTAGGTATAAACTATGGAACAGTGTGGTTCAGATCTAGTTCCCTAACTGCTGTTCCATTTCCCTCCCTCTAATTGTTATATCCCGATGGAGAATAATAGTGAAACATACCCATGTATAGTACTGGTAAGTTTAGGTAAAGCTATCACTGTTTTTTCAAACTCCATTGATTGATCTGTAGTCTGTACACGTAACATACCAGATTTACTAGTTGTAGATTTCAATATACTTAATTCTCTTAAAGCTGATATAGTTATACGGAACACATAACCATCCTAATACATAGAAAAATATAAACAAATAATATCAAATATCAATACAAAGAAAATATAACAAATAATATTAAATATCAATACAAAGAAAATATAACAAATAATATCAAATATCAACACACAGAAAATATTTAAAAAAACAACAAAAAAAACACCATCAAAAATATCAGTCTTTGAATGGCATTTAGCGATTGAACATAATATTGTGAAACCCTATTAACGTCGGTCTTCGATCTTTAGTATTATCACTGTTACTGCCAACATCTCAGGTACTGATTATCTTTTCACTAGCTTCTAAAGGGCTAATTATCTATTATTATTTGTCTTATTATTGTCATTATGGTTGCTTTTTTAATTATTATAATGGTATCCTCTTGTTAATAATTAATTTGCTGTAAGCCAAAATATGTATAAATCAGCCGACTAGATGGATATTTATCTTGTCTACAATATCACCCTTGGTGGAAGGGGACGTAAAACTCCAGGAACGAACAAACAGATATTTATCATTAACTTGAAAAAAACATGACACGAACCGTTGAACTGTTAGAACCATTAAACGTTGTTTATACCATGTGTTGTGCTTTGTTATGAATAGTTAACCCTGCTTCTAGATGTCATTTAAAGAGAGAGAGAGAGAGAGAGAGAGAGAGAGAGATTGATGGGGTTTACTCGACACAAACTAGGTCATTTGGGAACCAACAAATGGTTCAATTTTATTTCAATAATTCATTTGCGCGTAGGGGTCTTCAGCAATGGGAGGAAACTGGAGGACCTGGAGAAAACCCACGAGGTTGGACAGGCGACCCTACTCCTTGTCACGTACAACCGGGGAATCGAAACCACCAAAACTTGAAAAAATATACAGAATCTTATAATTACCTTCATGATGTCTATATAGGTGGCATGAAGATAAACTTTTAAATTCTTGTCAGTGCTTAAACCTTTGGATATTTGAATATAAATAGCTGCCTTCAATCTCTTTATAGCATCTATATTATCAGGCCATTTACCACTTCCTTCCAATACACACATAACTTAAACACAACAATACATATTAAATAAAACATATATACAGTACACTTCCTTCCAATACACACATAACTTAAACACGATAATACATCAAATAAAACATATATACAGTACACTTCCTTCCAATACACACATAACTTAAACACACTGCATATTAAATAAAATATATATACAGTACATTGTTTTTACATGGACCATATTATAAAGTACATTGTTTTACATGGACCATATATAAAGTACACTGTTTATATAGACCATATATATGACGGTATCTAAAAGACATCATTTTTACGTGGACCCTATATAAAGTATATGGTTTTTACATGGACCTTATATAAAGTACATTATGTTTACATGGCCCAAAAATAGAGAGAGAGAGAGAGAGAGAGAGAGAGAGAGAGAGAGAGAGAGAGAGAGAGAGAGAAAAATGGGGTTTAATGTCCACTCGACACAAACTAGGTCATTTCGGGACTAACATATGGTTTAATTTTATTTCAATAATTCGATTGCGCGTAGGGGTCTTTAGCAGTGGGAGGAAACCGGAGGACCCGGAGAAAACCCACGAGGTTGGACAGGCGACCCTACTCCTTGTCACGTACAACCGGGGATTCGAAACCATGCCAGTCGACTCAATGACAGACTTTATCATACAGCGCGCGCACGCTAATCATTCAGCCAGCTATTTGACTGATGAAATTCGAAACACTGCAATAAAGTAAGTTCATAGCTGTGTTTTTCTTTATTTAGTTTGTCATTCTATGTGTCTATGACAGTCTGTGTCTACAGCTGTATGCCGTCTATGACATGCCATGTTTTTATTTTGCAAAATTCAAATATTTTTCATTAATATTTAGCTAGGTGTGCTGCTATTTTTCCATTTTTCCATTAAATTGTCAAGACAGCCCAATGAACATGATGACAATATATAATCATACTGAAATATGGTGTATGAGAAATTTTACCTGGTAAAACAGGGTGAAACGGTGGAGCAGATTGAGATCTAGTAGGGAAATATTTATCACCAATCTTCTTTGTTTCTTTAAACTGATTTAATGCCATCACTGGAAATACCTGTACAATAACAACAATAAATACATATATATATGTCATTGTCAGAATGAAGTAAAGTGGAGAATTTTTTACCTGAACATATTTTTTATTTATTTATGTATTTAACTACCGTAAACAAAGAAGTACTTGTACTTTATCGACAAATAATGTAGTTCTTTTTTCAAAAACTTTTATATTTTTGTGTGTGTGTATATATATATATATATATATAATATATATATATATATATATATATATATATATATATATATATATATTAGAAATAAAGTTGTTTTAGGAAAGAAAACTAGGTTTTTGCTTGTACTTTCCCCTTATAAGCGTCTTCAGGCAAACTTTACTAATTCCTATATAATAGGAGATATACAAACATAAAATGTGGCATGAAATAATTAAGCTGACCTAAATGTGACATAAAATTGTTCCAAGAGGCCTTGTGTCAGGATAAATATGGCATGAAATCTTGTGTCAAAATAAATGTGATATAAATTGTTTCTGATCGACCTTATGTTTAGATAAATGTGGCATTAACTGTTCTGAACGACCGTGTGTCAAGATAAATATGGCATAAAATTGTGCACTGTATGATAAGGTCTGACATTGAGTCAACTGGCAGGGTTTCGATTCCCCGGTTGTACGTGACAAGGAGTAGGGTCGGCTGTCCAACCTCGTGGGTTTTCTCCGGGTCTTCCGGTTTCCTCCCACTGCTAAAGACTCTTACGCGCAAGCGAATTATGAAAATAAATTTAAAAACCATATGTTAGTCCCAAAATGACCTAGCTTGTGTCGAGTGGACGTTAAACCCCATTTCTCTCTCTCTCTGTCAAGATAAATGTGGGCTTGTTCCTAACTGACAGATTGTTTGGTTTATTTGCATTTATAAAAAACACAATCCTTTCATGCAGAACTTAACCATAAATCATGCAAGAGCTAAATCTGCCTATTGCAGGTCTTTCTTTAAGCCTAAAATGTTATCTAAATTATTAATTAGACATTAATTTACTTATCCAGACCATAATCAACTGTCGATGTCATCGCTAGCCTACAATATTTACTGGATTACAATCCGATCTGCTGCTCAACGCTTATTAAATAAAAAAATGGATAATCAAGACTATGTTTTTATTGTACCGACTTTAGTAATGATGATCCAGACTAGGTCTAAAAGTCAATTGCTAAATTCTCGGTTAAGACTGTATCAATTTGACTGAAATTTTCAGCAAATTCCCTTTACATTACCTTTTTTAACTATTATAGTGAGAACTGCCAGCTGTTTATCTAATCTCCCATAATGTATCTTTAAAATATGTTAAATCTGTAGCCTCTATTGGATGGACGGACATGGGTGATGACATAATTCACCCACATTGAAATATGGTTTATAAGTAGATTATATTAACTTACATCAGTAAATCTGAAGACAGGATGGATACCTTGTATAGTATTTATACGTAACGGTAAATCAGGTAGGGCACGTAAAGATTTACGTAACGAGTCGTACGTCTGTAACAGTACTGCATGTTGTTCCTCCCCTGTACCATAAACTGGTAAATCAGGCTGTTTGGGAAACGGTAGATGTAACGGTATGTCAAATTCTTCACCAATAAATCTGATATCATCAATATCTATACCAGCGTATCTGGAAAACAGAAATACTAATGTACAGACATCTTTAAAATTTACATGTCAAATATTTTCATAATATATCAAAGGAAATGGAATTTTAACGTCCTACTTTTCTGCAACGCTAATGTAGATGGACAGTGGCACTATGGCCTACTCATATATCGAGTTCGAACAGTCAAGGATTTTTTTTTACGTTCACGACAATGTGTATTCAGGACATTGTTTATTTTTTGTCCCATCCGAATAACTGGATACCAGTACTGCTCCTTGTAAGGCCCTCTGTCCTGCACCACTGACAAGGGAAAACCACGCTCGAAAATCGTGAGGAACTTTCTCGGTCAACACCAGGAGCGAATCCGCGATCTCCAGGTTAGTGAATTGAAATGAAATGGGGTTTAAAGTCCCACTGTTCTGCTCCTAAACTGGGCTAATGAAGGCGGGTATACGCCATACAGTGTGGTATGAGGGAAATTTTGCCCAGGCAGCAGCGCTGCGGCCTACTCTTATATCGAAGACCAACTGCCAAGGGATCTTTTACGTGCTTGCCAATATGTACGCGGGACCTCCCCAAACCCCCCTCTGGATCCACCCCAGCTCTTTTAAAGAAATAAATGAAATGAAATCTGTTCTGCTCCAAACTGGGCTAATGAAGACGGGCATACGCCATATCGAATTCCAACTGCCATGGGATCTTTTACGTGCTTGCCAATATGTACACAGGACCGCGGTTTTTCGTCCCATCCGAACGACTAGACAACTGTCCTTGTCAGGCCCTCCGTCCTGCATCACTGACAAGAGGAAACCACACCGGAAAATCTGGATGAACTATCTTGGCCAATGCAGGGATCGAACACCCAACCTCCAGGCTAGCGAGCCAGCGTCTTACCCACTTAGCCACGCGATCCCCCCTGGTTAGTGAACCAGCATCTTACTTACTGAGCCATCGGGGCTCCCAGATTTAAAAAAGGTTGAGAAAAGTTGTTGATGATTGAAACGACTAAAATCTACAAGTCAATAAGCAAATACTTTTTTTATATCAGTTGCAAATCTCAATTTTAAATAAATTGCAAAATTGTGAATTTCTTAACACACAAAAATAAACAGACAAAATTATGATGAATTTTAAAGGCTAAAATCCATGACATTGGCAAAAAAAAAAAAAGCTTATTAGTTTTTATATATTTTCTAAATTCACACAATTATTAATAAACAGACAGCTTTATGGATAACATTCACTAGGTTTATTAACTGCAACGTTTCAATGATGAAACTCTCACAGTTATCAAGTGAGAGTATCGTCACTGGAACGTTGCAGTTAATAAACCTAGTGAATGATGTTATCCATAAAGCTGTCTGTTTATTATATATCGCTTTCACTAAATGCCTTTCAAAGACACTATAACACACATTTATTAACTGAAATTTATTCACAACTCACTTCTTTAAAATATAAGGAACTATCTTAGAAGAAACCAGTCTTTTCTTTCTGTAGCTTGAACCTTTTGACCAGACAATAGCTTCACAAATACTGCCATCTTGAAATCTTCGTAATTCAGACACCTCACCCCAAAATTCTCTGAATCCTCGTGCCTTAGAAGATTTATAAAACAATTAAAACAGCGAGAAGAGATGATCAGTTGTACAGTGATGTTAAAGATACAACAGAAACGCTTTCAGAAGGTAAAGACATAAGAGTGATGTTGGAAAAGACAATGTGAAAGCCGAAATTAGGAAAACTAGAAATAAAGTAATTTGGAAATGCATTTCTGTCCTGTTGCATTCTTTCTGATTTATGTGCGATAATGATATCTCTCTCTCTGCTCAGGGTTGGCGGCTACACCAGGGCTGTCCCGAGGCTGATATTTGTTGTAACATGGGCTAGGTGGCATTGGCCTACCTCTTTCCGGTTCAGAGTTAAACTACTTTCAATCCATACGGCGTCAGGTAATTCGCTAGTTATTAATATTGTTAAGGCTTAATATTTACCACAAAGAGATATAAACTTGTATTGAATTATGGTATCTTTTTGTGAAAAACTTGTTTTAGAGACATAAACTTGTATTATGGTATCTTTTTGTGAGAAACTAGTTTTAGGAACTTACCTGCGGAGAATCGGCAGCTGGACCCTTTTCAACAGCTCTAACAGATACAAGTGTATCAACTAATATACCTATAGTTACTCTCTCTATACCATCACATGTTCTTACTTCTTCATTTATATCCCACTAAAATATATACAATTACACCTCAACAATACATTAATCAACAATACATTTATATCCCACTTTAACAATACATTTATCAACAATACATTTATATCATACTAAAATATATACAATAACACCTTAATAATATATTTATATTACCCCAAATTAACAAGCCAATAGCCAGGCTGATGTTCCCCGCCTTAATCCCAAATTAAAGAGACAAAATTAATTTATCTTTTTGATTGAAATTGGTCAAGTTAGAATCCAACCAATCAAATTGTTTATCTTAGCCTAAGCAGAAAATGATACTGTTGAACTCCGTCAAGACATTTACCTAACAACCATCAAGTTTAAATATTAGCCTAAGCAGAAAATGCTCACCATTCCACTTACTCAAGGTATTGATGCAGTGAAACTATACACCAAGTTTCATTACTCTCACTTAATTCGAATCAAAGTTATCATGATATGACAGATCGAATTGAATATACGACATAACTCTGGTCTGAGCAGAAAATGCATTCACCCAATAAACATCAACACCAATTAGAGGCAGAGTTACTGTTTTCTATAAAAGTGACACAGACAGATGGATGTACCCATTTTAATAGTCCCTTGCTTTCTCTTTCCTCCACCAGATTATTTTAAAACCCAGCTGATGTAGATCTTGTTTAATTTTATATACAAAGAGAGAGAGAGGAATGGGGTTTAACGTCCACACAACACAAACAAGGTCATTTCGGGACTAGCACATGGTTCAATGTTATTTCCATATTCGCTTTCGTGTAGGGGTCTTCAGCAGTGTGGGTAAACCGGAGGACCCAAAGAAAACCCACTAGGTTGGATAGGCGAGCTTGACCTTGCTCCTCCCCCCCCTCTAATTTTATATATAAAAGTAATATTATATATACCTGTGGAGTAGGACAAGCTCTAGATTGTATTAAATATATTCGTTTATCTAGAGCTTTCTGTAAGATATTTAATACAGCTGGTAGATAAGCATGTAAATAGTGTCCACCATTATCTACCATCTTGTGTATACCACCCAATTCTTCACCCTTCTCTACCATAGGTCGGATATTCTCTATACTGTAAAAATTGTATGGTATTTAATAAAAATTTAGTATACTTGAGTTAAATATTTATTGTCTGTTTCCATACTGATCTTGGGATTTATCTGTATTTTGGTCATCTTTATTGGCATCACATTTCTTAATTCAGAACAAGTTAAAGGATTAAGCAAGCCAACAGAGAAATTGGATTCCCCATTTGGTGACATATTTAAAAGCACATTATGTAAGATTTAGATAAAGAGCTTGCCGTTCTCGCTATAATATTGCAAAAATAGTTATTGCAAAATGAATATATTAAAAATTGTAGTTGTAGTTTTGACAAGATGTGTTGTGCATTGATCGTAGCCACCGCACTGGTCATTCGAGTCTTAGCCTCATTTCTTCATTTTTAAATTAAATCATTAAACTGTTCTAATCTACTTAAAATCGGAGCCATCCAATAGCATCAAGAGTTGATTATGATCATGTCATGTTTATAAATGTCTAATTAACAGTTTGTATAAGATTTAAAGATACATTACGGGAGATTAGATAAAGAGCTGGTAGTTCTCACTATAATAGTTAAAAACTAGATACTGTAAAGGGAATTTGCTGAAAATTTATGGCAAATTGATCCACTGTGAACCAAGATTTTAGCGATTAAATTTTCGGCCTAGCCTCAATCATCATTACTAAAGTCGGTAGGATAAAAAACATAGTCTTGATTATCCATTTCATGATTTAATTATGAATGGAAAGCGAACAGCAAATCGGAACCTAATCCAAAAAACATTGATGGCTAGCAATGCCATCGAGAGTTGATTATGGTCTGGATAAGTTAATCAATGTCTAATTAATAATTTAGATAACATTTCAGGCCTAAAGAACTAAAGAAAGACCTGCAATAGGTAGATTTAGCTCTTGTGTACTGTATGTTTAAAATTAAAGTACACTTACTGGAAACAATAATCAAACTTTCTATCAAAGGTAACTGGAGTCATCAGGAGAAGATCAAAAGCTTCACTTGTTTTACCAGTTAAATAATCAGCCGATAACTTGGCTTCATGAATAACCTAAATAAACGAAACAACAACTAAACACATATAAAAACAACAACTAAACACATTTAAAAATGTATCAACAGTTAGGCCTGTTTTCCATTTACGCATTTACCCGGCAAAAAGTCAGTATAATGCAAATGTAATGGGATCGTTTCCATGTAGCTAATGAAGAGGGGAGTGGAAAGTCGCGGAAGCACATACAATAAAAACAGCGACTAAGTCTAGACCAATAAAATTGTGTGTCTCTGCTTAACCTATGCAGAAAATGCTCATCATCATACTCAGTCACAGCATTCATCTAATACACATCAATATCAAGATTGCACTGTTCAGGTCAATAAGAAGCAGAATTATTGCCACAAAAAGTGTGACGGACAGACAGACGGGCATAGGCGAGGCACAAGAAACAATTGAAGGGACATAAAGACAGAATAAAAGTCAACCATGTATATTGTATGCAATGGGCGTCCTCGCTGAAGGAATTCCCACCAGGTGTCGCTAGTAAAAACTTGGTTCCACGTGACCTTTTCAATGGTAAGAGAATCGTATCGGTATTAAATTCCATATTAACGACAAAAACAACGTTTGTCAACACACAAGTTCGTAATGAATGTACAGGAAAACTGTGCTTTACGGTAAACAATGAGGTCACGTGGGACCCCCTCGCCTATAAATTATGTCCCTTTATCTCTAGCGAGGACGCACATCGAAAGTACTCTTAGAAATACATATTGGTTCAAATATTATTGCAACACGTATGTGAATCTAAACTGTCTGTCTAATAATAAGTTAAAAAATTTGATGCATCATTTGCATTTTAGCTAAAATATCAAATTTCTCACAGCTAAATATTTGAGTAATATGAATAGATGAAATTTCAATTGATCATAACTTTTAAGTAGAACTGTTTTATTTAAAAATTGAAACTTTACAGTTTAGAACAGAAATACTAAGGGCTCTTCTGTTAGGGGGGGGTGGGGGGAAATAATTACAATTAAAATACAGATGTGATGTCATTCTTTTGATGTTGGTTATCATTATTTGGAGGGGTAATGTGCCACGTGTACATTATTTATACTAAAAATTTTGGACACGTGTGACGTATTTAATTGCAAAACATGTACTAGTGTCTGTATTTTAAGTTGTTTAATGGTCTTGAGCTTAAGACATTGCGTTATATATTGAAACAATAACTCGGGACTGATGTCCCTTGTGTTGTTTCAATATATTACTCAATGTTTCGTTCTCGACCATTAAACCACACCTATATGAAGTAATAATATATACAGGGAGTCGCAATGTCTCAGTGAGTAAGACAATGGCTTGCTAACCAGGTCACCAAGATAATTCATCAGGATTTTCTGCCGGGGCTTCCCCCTTGTCATTAGTACAGGACGGAGGGTCTGACACGGAACAGTGTCTAGTCATACGGATAGTACAGATGTGCACGTAAAAGAACCCTTGACAGAATTTGAGGCTGTAGTGCCGCTGTCCTGGCAAAATGTCCCTAATGCACACTGTTGGTGCAGAAAAGGAGGTTAATCCCTATTTTATTTAATTCCTTACCCTTTGAAAAAGAGATTTATTAAGAGTAGAACACCTTACCCTTTGAAAGAGAGATTTATTTAGAGTTGAACAAATATTAACGAGACCAGTAGTATCTAGAAAGACCACATCAAATACTGACATCATATCTTTCTCCCTTGTATCAGTACCAGATTTCTTATTACGATACAATGATGGTGGTTTACTCAACCAATCACTACGAGCTGAAATATATAAACAGTACTGATCAGCTAATCAACTATACATCATCTTTAAACAACATCAATCAAATATACATCATCTTTATACAATATTTACCAAATCAATCAAATATACATTATCAATACAACATTTACCCAATCAATCAAATATACATCATCTTACAATATCAATCAAATATACATTATCTTTATACAATATTTACCCCATCAATCAAATATACTTTATCGTTATACAACATTTACCAAATTAATCAAAAATATACATCATTTTTATACAATAGTTTTAGCTGGACATGTGAAAAATAAATTATTCCTAAACAATAATTAAATATGTCGGATCTCAAAAGGGAGCTAAAACCTAAATTTCTATGTTTTAAGGATACATTATTATTTAGATATTTATTCACATGACAAGCCTATAATAAACTCTCTAGACACCGGATGGCGATGCTTTAAAAACAAATTTTTGTTACGATAATATTAATAAACAATCTATGCCATATCTTTTCAAAAACTCCAAACAGTGAGTGATAACTTAGCTCAGAATGAAGTAATTTGAATGGAATTTTCAATATATTCATTTTTCAGGATCAATTAGTTATAAAAGTATGTAAATTCTTACCTAACTGTATCAGAGTACTTCTAAATACTTGATAACTACTCATCATTTTATTGAGTAGACGTTGAGACAATAAATATACCACATACATAGTCATAATATAACTGTTGAAATAACCATAACCCTGTAATATATAACAGATTCATAACATAACTAAAATAACCCTGTAAAATATAACATAGTCATAATACAATAAAATACTTATAAATATGAGACAACTTAAAAATGATATCACTAGAATGTTTTTATTAAGTATAGAATGAATAAAAACAAGGGAATGTACAGACTTTTTTTTTTAGTTTTCTGTTATCTAGTGGCAGTCAATTATTTTTTTGTCAGATATCCTCCCAGTCTCATATAACAACTTTTGGTCTTCCTTCGAAGGAATTATTAGTGAGCAGAAATTTGCCCATGTATCTGTTATCACTTGTTACTTCAGTCAGTTATATAGTAGGATAACTCATATTTTCCTTTTGCATTCATCTGTTCCCTTTCTTGAAATCTTCATAACGCATCTATCGTAGCAATGATCTCTGTGTTAAAATTATATTTGAAACGTGTTTAACAAGTTCTATCACATATGTGATAATGACTGACACCAATATTGTCCTTTAACTTTTGTTAGGGGTGGGATAATAAACATTAAACATACCTTATCCAACTCACGTTGTCGTAACCAAATCTTGAGTAATTTGATCCCCTCAGTAAAACCTGATAAATCAGTCAATGTTTTCTCCAGGTGATCTGTATTTTGTTGGAGAGTTAAATCTTCTAATACAGCCATATTACTTATAGGAGTAGGTTTTAATACGACATCATCTACAAACAGTAAAAGGCTGAGTTTATTTTTATATATTCTGAATTACAAAGTCCTCATAACCCTTTGACCACCTGAAACTACTACTCCCACTACTGATCCAGGATATAAAAACCCCCATACCCCTTTGACCACCTGAAACTACTACTACCACTACTGATCCTAATAATACAGCCATATTCCTAGATACCCTGTTAACCCTTTGACAACCTGAAGCTTCTACTCCCAGTACTGATCCTGAACTACTCAAGTAATGTGAATAGCTGTGGATTACTGTATAAAAGACCTATGAATGCATTTATTTGAAGAGATCAAGTGGTTTCGAAAATAAGCTACCATACTGATGGCATGTTTTGACACCATCATACATGTATATACGTTCTCTGTGGATGTCAGATGTTGACAAATCTTCAGTTTGTCATATCTTCGTAAATATTGAACCATTTTTAGACTGATATTTCTTTTAGAGATTCAACGTTCACAATATTGCAGTTGGCAAGGGATTGACGTTCCTTGACTTTAAGTGTTATGGTGCCCTTTTAAAGATGGAATATGTAAGAGCTAAATCTGACTATTGTTATATAAATTATTATTTAGACATTTATTCACATGACAAGCCATACTCAACTCTCTAGATCATTGGATGGCCAAGATTTAAATGGATTTGAACACCCGCAAGATTTAAAAATTCAACGCTAAAATGGATAATCAAGACTTAGCCTCGGTTGTCAAGTACCATTTCTACGATAAGAAACGATCTCTGCCACATTTTTAAACAGTCATAACTTCGCCCAGAATATAGAAATTTGTATAAAATTTTAAATATATTAATTTTTCATTACCTTTTTTTGAACTATTATAGCAAGAATGGTCAGCTCTTTATCTAAATCTTACATAATGCATCTTAAAAAAAAAAATAGTCCAATTGGATTTATATTACCTTTATCCTCTAGTTGAGTGACATCTTTCCACCATTTTGTATTGACGTTACATTTATTGATGTTAAATAACTCGGGATTAAAGGCATCACTGGACATAACAACATGTATATGTACTGTGATTGGTCGACTATCTCCTGTAATTACGATGGTAGGATTTCAATACATTTCATCCTAAAATCTTATAAAGTATATGAATACAGTAAACATTGCATAAGTTAGATTGGTATAAATGGGATCTTCCCGCAACTCGGATAAAATTGTTTGGAAACTTTGATCCATTGATCTAATTCCGGCTTTTTTCCTTTGCCTAAGTCGGAATTTGACTAAGTCAGTTTCGACTCGATGGTCTAAAACACGGTTAGCTATTCCATGCACAGAGCCCCAAAATACTTTCCCCTACCATTTTGACTCAAATCAGCCTACGTGACGCAACACAATAATAGAATTTTCCTGGAAAACTCTAAACTAGGTGTCAAAGATGGCAACAAAACGGAAGTTATCTACTGGCACCACATGGAAGTTATCTACTGGCACCACATGGAAGTTATCTACTCGCACATATGAACAAAAGCTTGAGATGTGGGTTTAAATCAATTATTATCCGGCTCTTGCAGTTTATTTCTAATCGGGCTAAGATTAATTTCAGTCTTCGGGTAACTCGGATCTACACTTAACTCGGATAAAATTGGTCAGTCCACTTAGATCAGACTTATCTGAAGTTTACTGTATTATCTCTTGTAGAAAGAATATCTAACAAATGAGGGTGGGTGGGTTGGTGGTCTAACGAGTCTGGTTAAGAACATAAGGTCAAGTGGTGGGATTTTGACTCAAATGCTTGTAGGTGACAAGGAGTAGGGTTGCCTGCCAACACTCGGGTGTTTTCACTAAGACCTTCGGTCCCCAACTGCTTAATGAATGCCGTATTTTGGGCCTGAAATGACTTAGCTTGTGTCGAGTGGATGTTTAACCCCATTTCCCTCTAACAAATTAACATTTTTTTTAGGAGTAAAAATAAAGAAGAATTTGAATTCGCTTCTGATTAAACATCATTTCATACATTTCCTGGGTTTAACCTTTCCCAAGAATCTACAAAATTAAATCTTACCTTTTAGAGTGACGACCAGAATGGGTTTCAGATGGTTGCCATGGAGATATGTAAACCGTAAATGTTCACACTGTGAATCTTTGTTGAGATGTGTTGCTATGCAAGCCAGATATAAAGCTCTCTTTCTAAGATAACGGTGGTTCTGGCTGTCATTTTCAGATACACAGGCCTAAGAGAAATACAAATGGCATTTAATAATTGAACACATAAATAATCACACTGCAGATCAACAGGATTCTCCAGGTATCATTTAATCTTGTGTATCCAGCACTAATTTCTGTCCAGTGAAAGAAATTAGTGCTAGATACACAAGATTAAATGATACCTGGGTTACAGTGAAACAAGTGATCAATTTCTACAACTCAGAAATTCTTGAAAATCAACATGCTTCTTCTTCTTCATGAACAATTGTTTATAAATTTCAAAATATTGGATGATAACTTTAGCTGCTATAGCATACACAAGATATTGTCCAAAGTGGTTAAGGGCAAAAACTTGGATATTAATTCTTGGCATCTCCATCTCATGAACACTGTGCATGAATTACAACTCGATCAGATGATAAATTTAGCCTCTAAATAATGTCCACAACGAACGGACAATATTCAACCACATTAAAATATGGGTGTGTGAACAATCCTACACGTACCTTTGGCATCTCCACCATTAGATCAACGACTGTATCTGGTTTAACAACTGTATCTAGTAGATAACTACCAATAATTCTAACAGACAAGGGAGGTAAGAACTGAAACTTTCCCTTCATACAACTTGATGCCTGATGTATAGGTAGTTTTACTTTCTGTTTTGTTAACCACTTTGTGTCTTTCAACTGAAAAGATAATTGAAAAATTTCTGTTAAAGATGCATTACGTAAGAGCCAAATCTGTCTATTTCAGGTCTTTATTTTGGCTTCAAATTTATTATTTAGACATTTATTCACATGACAAGCCTATAATCAACTGTCTAGAACATTGGTGATTGAAACTTGATTGCCATTTAATGATTTAATAAAAAACTGGTGAATTGAGGGCGAGTCTCGATTAATAAGTACCGTTGCTACGATAATAAACAATCTATGCCACATCCTGTCAAAACCTAAAACAGTGATAACTTCGGTCAGAATAAAGTAATTTGAAAGAAATTTTCAATATATTCATTTTGCATTATCTTATTTGAAACTATTATAGCAAGGACGGGCAGCTCTTTCTTTAAATCTTACATAATGCATCCTTAATGAGCAATGTACATTTAAACAACAACTGCCAAAGATAACTACTTAAAATACGTGACTGCACCATCCTGACTAATTAATGAATACAGACACATGCTATCAACACAAAATTCTGCCCTGACAACAGTGTTATGGCCTACTCTTATTTTTTTATTATTGCCATAGGCAGATGATATACACTAAATTTTTGATTTTTGTCCACTCGGACTAGACACCTTTCCTTCAAAGTCCACGTCCATCACCGCTAACAAGGTGAGGCCTGGCAGAAAAATCTGAGGAACTTTCTCGACCAACATAGGGATCAAACCCAGCCCCTCCTGGTTAGTGAGCCAGAGGCATACTAACAGAGTCACTGTGGCCCCCATGTTGCTTAATTAACTAGCTTGTCTGATCTCCTCTAAAATTACAAATTTCTGCTCAATGTAGCTATAAAAATAATGAAAATGAGAGAGAGAGAAATGGGGTTTAACTCCACTCAACACAAACTAGGTCATTTCGGGACTAACATGTGGTTTAATTTTATTTCAATAATTCGCTTGCGCGTAGGGGTCTTTAGCAGTGGGAGGAAACCGGAGTGCCCAGAGAAAACCTACGAGGTTGGACAGGTGACCCTACTCCTTGTCACGTTAAACCAGGGATTCAAAACCACACCAGTTGACTCAATGACAGACTTTATGATACAGCCATCCAACTAATGAAAATGAATTGATCCTATTGAAAATGAATTGATATGGGGTATAACGTCCTGCTCCGACTGGGCGAATGAAGATGGGCCATGCAGTGTTGTATGAGAGAAATTCTGTCCAGACATCAGTGCTACAGATGTAGGGATCTTTTACATGCACGCCAATGTGTATATGGGACCTCGTTTTTTTCGTCCCATCCGAACAACAAAACATTGGCCCTTGCTATAAAAATAACAGGTTCCATGCAAAGATTTAAAAAAACTTAAACCTACATCATATTGTTCACTAGCTGGTATATCTAGAATTGTTTCTTTCAATGTTGATATCAATTTCTCTGCTTGTCTCTTGTGTTTTTCTTTCAAAGAAACTTCTTTTAACACTTCAGTTATCTACAAGAAAATTTAAAACAGTTTCAAATAAATATTGCATCAAACAAAAGATAAAAGTCTAAAAAAAATTTTAAATAAATATTGCGTTAAAATTTAAAAAAAACCCACCAAATAATCTTGATGAGGTGTTAAGATATTTACAAGCAAGAACTATGCTTTTTAAACCAGCTGAAGACCTATTTTTTATGCCAAATTTATATTTGAATAATTTTTGCCTAGCTGTTACTCTGAGTGCAATCAAGTCAAGTCACAACCCAATCATCTATACATTCACATTGTTAGTTGCAACATGGATGTATTATAAAATGAAATGGGGTTTAATGTCCTATTGTTCTGCTCCGATTAGACAAATAAAGACGTGCATGCTCCATACAGCGTGCTCTGAGGGAAATTTTGCCCAGGCAACGTCACTATGGCCTACTCTTTATATCAAAATCCAAATGTCAAGGGATCTTTTACACGCACGCCAATGTATACATGGGACTTCAGTTTTTCGTCCCATCTGAATGACTAGACGGCTGACATTGTCAGGCCCTCTGTCCTGCACCAATGACAAGAGGAAACCACGCCGTAAAATCACAGATGAACTTTCTCGGCCAATGCAGGGAACGAACATGCGACCTCCAGGCTAGCGAGCCAGCGTCTTACCCACTAAGCCACTGTGGCTCCCAGAATATATAAGTTCCATGGTTACAATAAACATTATGGATTTATGTTAATATTAATATGTTTTAACCTGTAGTCTAAAAAGATTTGAGTGGAATAGATTTTCTGTTTCTTTCATCTGATTTAACTCTTCAACTGTTGGCTCTTTATACAACTTTTCTCTTTCTTTCTTAGTCATCTTCTTCATAGGTTCTCCAGTTACCTCCCTTTGCTGTGCTGTTAACGTTTGAAGAACATCTTCATCATCCTCTTCTATATCATCAGGTAAAGACCCCTCTGACTGAAAAATATGCAAATCTTTGATAACTAAAACAGATTTTATCTGTAAACAGAAGTTAGTTCGTTCATTAAGTAGGAAAAATAAAAGCAGGATCTAGTAAAAAGGCATCCACAACCATTTCTATACCTAAGAAGAGATATGGTCATGTGAATACTGAATATTGTATTTTTCAAGGGTTAGTTTAAGGTTTAACAGTCATTGCTTTCTCATTAGAATTGTTCAACTCATGCAAAAATAGGCAAACGTCATTGGATCTACTTAAGTACGGTACCTAACATTCTGGCATAACTCATGTTGGTGACTACTGACTAAGTACTATAAAAATAATCTATGATTATAGTCTTATCCTATAAAATTCAATACCAGAACACTTATTCTGGATTTTTACATGTACATGTAGGCCTACATCCAGTGAGCACCCTCTATTTTCAGACAAACTCTGTCTTGGTCTATGGAAACACGAATTGGAAACAATGCATCTATTGCGACAGGTATCATATGAGTAGGCAACATCTACATGTACTTAAATTTACCAAAATCATGTCATTGGGAAGGGTGTATACACAGTATTCAACTGACAGATATAGCACAGATGGCAACTGAAAAATTATTAAGGAGTAATCTGAACCTGTTTTTGTTATTTGTTCATCCTAATCCTAGAAAACACAACTTTTCATGTGTATGCTACTTCCATGCGCATGGTGCCTTCTCTATCTTTGGCTTCGCATGGTTGTTTGCCACCCAGGTTTATTAATTATGTCAAGTCATTTAACTGTGTTCTACATAGTCTAAGATATATTTACTGTGCCACTGTCAGTCAAATCCCTCACTACTCATTAACATCAATTTATAATTAGGCCTAAAATACAAGACAAATTTGTACACCCATTCCACATTCAGAAATTATGTGCGTTGCGTACATGCATGTATTGGCGAAGACTAGACGAGATGCCTGCACTTCCAGCATTCGGAAACTACAAATCTATCAAGGTCTTTAATTTTAAGTTTATCCTTTCTAGAATTGCTAGCTACTGACTACTCCATATGGTTTCTCAAACATGTTTGCGACTGTTTACAGCTAGCTAGTCTACAATTTCACAAGAAAAATGACATCTATATAATCGAAAATAATTGTAATAGACAAAATAATAGTTCAAGTTAAAAATCTACCTCATGTCTTTCCCGTTTTCCACCCATTTTGCTAAATACTTTTTATTTTTCTCTAATTATTAGTATCAACAACACCACGTGTAGTAATTCATAACATGGCCCTCACCTTCCAAACAAGGGAGATAACTCTTTTTAAAGAAATATTACTCCGTTACCCAGACTGTCAAACATGACGTCTATATGATGTCAATGATCACCATCGTTTGTCGACGATTTACTAATAAAATAATCAAAATTAATTTTTATCAGATAGTTTGGACATAAAAAACTAAATTAAAGGAGAATTACCACTTTTAGCAAGAAATTAAACATCCATTTCATTACTTTTGAACATCTAAAATCGACTTAGGCAGATATAATATTGTGCCTCACCTAGTAATTTTATTGTTTTGAATAGCCTATATTATATCGAATTACTTAGCCTACCTACAAGGCTACTAGCACATTATTTTACATGACCGATGGTTAAATTCTTAAAACTTCTATAGGGCCTATATCCTTTCGTTCCGGGGGGGGGGGGGGGTGGATGGCTGAATGGTTAGCGTGCGCGCGCTGTATCGTAAAGTCTGTCATTGAGTCGACTGGCGTGGTTTCGAATCCCCGGTTGTACGTGACAAGGAGTAGGGTTGCCTGTCCAACCTCGTGGGTTTTCTCCGGGTCCTCCGGTTTCCTCCCACTGCTAAAGACCCCTATGCGCAAGCGAATTATTGAAATAAAATTAAACCATATGTTAGTCCCGAAATGACCTAGTTTGTGTCGAGTGGACGTTAAACCCCATTTCTCTCTCTCTCTCTCCTTTCGTTCCTTTCCGGTAGGGTGTGGAGTTTAGGGCGTTATTAGATCATATAACGTCTGTCATTGAGTCAATGTGTGGCTTGCAGGTTTCGAGCCCATTTGTAGGTGACAAGGAGTAGGATCGCCTGTCCATCCCCGTGGTTTTTCTGGGTCTCCCGTTTAACCCCCATGTAAAGACCCATACGATTAAACGAATTATTGAAATAAAAACTGAACCATAAGTTAGAAATGACATAGTTTGTGTCGATTGAAGGCTTAACCCCATTTCTCTCTCTCTCCCTTGTCAGTGGTACAGGACTAAAGGCCTAGCCCTTCGGACTAATGTAGCACCATAGGTCTTCTGTCTGACGTGGAGAGCGGGCATATGTCGGAAACCGTTCGCCACATCCTACATACGACCCATGCATCTTTTCTTACTACATATTTCTGTAGCCTTGTGATCGTCTAGAATTTGTCTCTAGCTGTCTTTACTTCTGCTTCACGTCGTGTATTTACTTCTTACAGTTTCTTAAGACGTTTGTCTTACCAGGAATAACAATGCAACAGTTTGCTTCTACATTTTACATATATATAGCTGAATACAGGTATACAAGCATAATAGATAACAATACTAGCTAAAACCATTTCTCTACCCTAGCCAGCCTCGCAGCTGTCTAGGATGGAAGCTCTCTGGAACCTAATAGAAGTCTGGCGAATTCTCACCAGTATCCTAATTTTGTATCTACTGGTTTTGGACATTCAATTATCCAATTGGTCAAATATGATGTAAATAATTATAGAGATTGGTTAATTGAGCCCAATGACGTCGACAACCCACCCTTATATGGTGGAATGGAATTTTACTGAAGAATATTCTCATGAGATATCTGTTAACATGTTGTTGACATAGAACCAGTTATGTTATGGCTCTACAAGTGTTTTTATATCACAATATGTCATTCAAACCCTAAGTTGATTTAAGTATTTTAAGTACATATCACATATTATGCGAATATGTTATTTCTCGAGCAAAAATTCTACTAAAAGTATTACACTAAAACCGCGGTCCCGTACGTGTGCACATAAAGAACCATTGACAGTTGGATTTCGAAGAGTTGGTGGATAGGCCGCTGGCCGGACTAAATGTAGGGTTATGACTCCGTATTTATTACCCCGGTTGGTGCAGAAAAGTTAGTCTCGGTCACCCAGAACCCCCTAGTCTTCAACTTACGGAAGGTAGAATATTTGTCTGGGTGATATAGATTACAGAAAAGTAGGAAGTTAAAACTCATTACATTACATTTCATTTCTATATCTGTTCGAAGGTTGACAGGCATACCATGAAACCAAACCCATCGCCAATCGATTTAATAAATGGTTGAGGTTATGTGCCTATTAGTCTTTTTAAGAAAATTAACGCCTTCTGCGTCTGTGTTTGCAGTTGCCCTGTCGTTTCACGACAACCATATGCCCTTAAGATTTGGGGAGCCAAAGTTACTGTTTTTACGAGACACGCCCAATTAAAGATACATTATGTAAGATTTAGATAAAGAGCTAGCCATTCTTGCTATAATAGTTCGAAAATAGATAATGTAGAACGAATAATTTGCAAATGTCATTGCGAGCGAATATATTAGCCTTTTAAGGTTTGATAAGACGTGTGCAATAATTTCAACCACCGTAATGGTTGTTCGAAGCTAAGTCTCGCTCTTCCATTTTTAGTTTAAATCAAAATATGACTGAACTGTTTAATATCGGAGAAACCCGATGCCATCGAGAGTTGATTATGGTCTGGATAAGTTAATTAATGTCTAATTAATAATTTAGATAACATTTAAGGCCTAAAGAAAAACCTGCAATAGGCAGATTTAGCTCTTGCATAATGTATGTTTAACTTACACAATCAAACATTAATATAATTGATATTGTCGTCACACATGGTAGACAGCGAAAAGGATTCCTTGGACGGAAGAAACAGAAACTCAACCGGTTAAGGTATACTTGGGACCTCCATTTTTCGTCCAATCCGAACGACTAGACGTACTGTTAATGACTGAAAACTTCGATAATAAGTTTTTTTATATTCTTTACTACTTCATGTTTTACGTCCAATCCGAAGGACTAGACACTATCCGTATCAGGCCCTCCGTCATGGACCACTGGCAAGGGAAATCCGCACGGGATCGAAACAGGGGCGTTCTAATACTTAGCCTTGTGTCCTTGATAAACGAGGAACACGCCCCCGTATATCGGTTGATAAATAATTTGCATTTGATAACTAAACATCTCCCGAATGATCACATAACGTGTTAGATCTAAATATTAAGGCCACTTGCAGATTCCGTCAAGGTCACAAGACCTAGCCCTAACCCATACTCTAAACCCTGATCCACACTCCCCGGCAACAATCATGTGCCGTAACCCTTTTTGCATCTCGTGACCATGACGAAATCTGTAGATGGCCTTAATATTTAGATATGACCTAACGTAATGTCGTAAGAGCACGAGAAAAATTGTCTTTTGTAATGCATGTGACGGGGACGACATTTTTGTTTTCGTTTATATTCAGAATTTCAAAGATGAATAATGCTGCAAAGCATTCAAACCAAAACATGAAATCGTCTGAAATGGAAGGTCAAATAAATTACTGCCTCTCATATTTCTTAATTTTAGCTTTGTGTAAGATATCTATAAATATTTTCCATCAGAGAGACCTTTTTTTTTTAAAAAAAACCCCAAGCCTACGCACGATATATTGTTTCAAGAATTGTATCACCTCTCACGACATGACATTTATTACGTTCATATACACTACTATGTTTCTCTAGACAAAGCTGCCTTTGTTTCATGGTTATCTTTCACTTTAAGAAAGTTGATATCCCATTAACTTACAGGTTTCGTTCCATGGCAGACGAAACAAAAACACCCAGCACAAAATATACTTATTGCGATTTTTAACTCCGTCAAACGAATAGACGTATATTTTTTTTTATTCCATAGAGAAAATTACTTTTTCATATTTGAATATTATGATATATTTTATCTATTTATAAGTCGAAGTGTTATCCAGTCATCTTGTCTGGTGATTTGAAATATATACTTGTAAGTAGGCTGTCATAGATTAAATCATTAGACTTCTGTTAATAACGTTTTAACGAACTCCACCACTTGTATGCCGATGGCACCACCAAATGAATCAAATTCATGATAAGACAAGAGATTTAACTTTCCTAATGAAAACGGACGTGCGTTATAAAGGAAATTTTACCCTGACAGTGGCGCTTTAAAGTGTTGCCGATGGTATGCATCAGTTTCGTCCTATCCGAAAGATATGAAATGGGGTTTAACGTCCAACTGTTCTGCTATCTGAAAGACTAGTTGTGAGAAAGTGCTCTATAACTTTCATCAAATTGAACGATTATTTAGGTGCATAGAACTTATTGACCCCCAGCTGGTTTTGATACTATAAGATATTGTTATTCATCTATAAGGACGTAATTGAAGGCTATCAATTCCACATGTGTGGACAATGTAGATAAGATCTGTATACATTTATACCAATCAGCGAAATTAAGATTGTAAACTCCATATATAGTAATGATAACGTGTGTGTAGACCCACGTGAAAGGTACCATCAGTTTGCTAACAGTTAGGGAGACGCAGACGAGGGACAGAGGCGAGGCGGGGGGAAGTGAGAAGAGACCGGCGTATGGACTAACCGAGTTCAGCCGCTGCGTGTTAATGTTATTGTTTATGTTCCTGGTGTAGTTTAGTTCCTGTTTGATTTATGTTTCTGTGTATGTATGTTCCTGTTCCCGATGTAAATAAATCCCGTATATACGAAACTGATATCTGTTATCACTGTAATAGTGTTACATAGACACCATTTCTCGCCAGCTGCCCTGCACGTCGAACAATATAAAAACCAACATGGAAATTTCTCGGCTAACACCGGGATCGAATAGGGGATCTCGGCGAGTAAGGCAGTGGCGCACTAACCAGGAGGTCCCGGGTTCGATTCCGGTATTGACCAAAAAAGTAAGGTGTAATTTTTCAGCTTGGTTTCAATTGCCGGTGGTGCAGGACTGACGAAAAAAGAAACAAAGAACGAAAGAAATTTATAATAAACCATTGTATACAATATGTATCTATACAATCTAAAAATATACAAAAAATTGGACCTCAAATTTATAAATGGACAGTGTTTAAATCACTTTAAACTTCGGGTCTAAATTTAAAGCTTTCTATATCTAAAAGTTTATATACAGATATCGCTGGAAGTAAACAATACATCTAGTTAAGGCGAAGACAAAAGGTTTTTGTAAGAAACATATCATAAATAATACGATATCTAGTATCATTTAATATACACAGACTACAATAATTCACAGCCAGAAAAAAATCTAGCCGAAAATAAATTTAAATATATACAAATGATAAAATTAATACGGAATAAACCCCCATTGTAAATCATTCGTGGGAAAAACTTGTATAATTCGGTCAGCTATATATCTGACAATCAGAGTAAATTTTAAACTAAATTCAAAATGAAATCATATGTTAGAATGTATCCTTATGCTGTCTAAAGTTTTAAGTTTACTGTAAAGGGAAACAACAAGATAAATGAATATCCAAAGTTGAAGCGATATAATTTTGCATCTTATCTTATTGGTGGTAACTGCTGTAATATGGTTTTTGTATAGGCTAATTATCATTGCCGATTATTTCACCGAGAATTTTGCAAAAATTAAATGATTCTCGTGGCCAATATTATATCGATGCCAGACCACAATTATCGGTGCGAGGTAGTCGTGTAAAATGCGCATGACGATTGGCGTATGACGACAAAAGCCTTTTGGGTTTTATAACGCGACACCCAATTGTCAGGGCAAAATGAAAAAGCGGATTTAGAGATATACTAAATAACAAAACGAAAGACGACTGACCATGTACACACCAACAGTACAGATATTGTCGAGATTAAAATTTGCTCAGCCCCCCCCCCTCATTCGGTGTATGATTTAGCCTTTGAACCTTATCCTGACATTTTACTAGACCACAGTCTGGAGATGGGTAAAGAGCGTGGGAAAGTTAGTGGTTAGATCCCATCTTGGTAATTGAAATTCAAGGTAGAAACACAGTTGTCCGATAAAATGTCTAAGCCTAGCAATCTCTGCTAATATTTGTGACTACACTAAGACTGTCCCGAGGCTGAAATTTGGTGTTGGATAGCTAAGGCTATATTTATATATAAATATCAGATTTTAGCATTAAAATAAGTAACACACTGAACAAGATGTCGTGGCGTTAAAGATACACCAGACTGAGCAAGATGGCGTTAAATAACATCACATTGAACACAATATGACGTGATGTTAAAGAGACACCACACTGAAAAAGTAAAGGTTACGTGATGTTAAAGGGGCCTCACATTGGACACGATGACGTGGCGTTCAATAGATATTAACACATTTAACATAGATATATAAACTAAGAAAATATAAAGGTAGTTGACTAATTTGATTTTATATAACATTATAATTATTCAATATAAAGCTAGACCAACCTAATTAACTAAAATCCAAGGACTGGTTTACTTAGACCCCCACCCCCTTCCCTCCTGAATTCTCCGAAAACCGTTGTAGGGGCTATAATAGTGTATGAATAGTAATGCATCTTTAAACGTGTTTATTGACCGATGTGTCGAAAGATTTGTACACAATCTTATTTGGAAGTGGTCTAATCACGGCAAAATATGTTTTGTACCAACAGACGACAATGTTCAAAGCATTAATGTCTCTTTAAGTCCAATTGTTTTCCATCTGTCAAACGTGTACTTAAGTTATAACAAAATACGTGTATAAAGATATAAAATAATATCTAATGTACAATTCGGTCATTAGAGAATAATAACGACGGTTTGTGACTTAACTATAAACATCAAATTAAACTTCAAAGAAGAATAATATACACACAAAATGTCTGGGTTTGTAAAACCACATAAAACATTACACTACTAAGGTTTATATCCTTCAAGCGGTGTTTCGAGTATAGGCTGTACAAATAAACAAGAATTGGAAACCTGAAGGGAATATGGAACTAACAACACACACACACACGCAGGTCTCTAATATTTCTGATTTCAAGAAATGATGGGGTTCACACCAGAATTATTCTTGTTTATACGTTCTATAACAGTCAAGATTTCAGTTTTTCAAGATACCAGTATATTATTAGGTCCCTAAATGAATATATAATCTACAAGTTACTTGTCCAGGTCAATTCTATATGACTGCAGTTTGTTCTTGTTCAGTTCCATTCGAATGTTTCCAATGACAAGTTGTCGACCTCGGGACCCACGTTGAGTATTCATTTCAGACACTCTCTTGTTGGGATATAAACAAATGACGGGTTTTATTCGTTGGGCACACGCAACGTTTTCATTTCCGGCACACTCTTGGTAGACTATAAGCAATGACAAGGTTTCTTCCTGATGCCCACGCCGGGTACTTATTTTAGGCCTTGGAAGTCGGGTGTTGTCTTTTAATTAGAGTTAAAAATCCGAAACATTTTTAATCTGAATAATTGACAAGTAACACTACTATATATTCTTTCCAAATTGTCATATTGACATCAAACTATTCCATAATGTTGTATATAATGTAATCATTTTAATATGAGTAATATCTATCATTGATGATATACATCAATCAAGTACATTATTTGCTTTTAACCAAAAAGAGAGGCTTCGAATCTGCCCATCTCTTATGATGTTTGTGACGATTACAGAGAGCACGTTTCACCATTTTAAGCAACTGGCATTCCTCGATAAATTCCGACGCATTTGGGTGTTTTTCCAGAGCATCACACGGCAGAAAAGTTAACCGTGAAAGTAGGAGGAATTATTTCCTATTACGACTAGACTAGATAATTGAAGCGTTATGAGACCAATACAAATGCAAATCACTACACATCTTCTATAAAATGTCGTTTATTTTGAAGTTTGCTTTAACTCTGTTAGCTACTGACCATCTATCTACTACAGACCAGAGATATCAATCATTGGAATATTCATTCTAAGGTATATTAATGGATCCATGCATATTACAATTCAGCAATTAGCATCCAATAGACATTTCCAAAGTATTATAATTTGGCAGTGTATATGGTAAGTCTAGACTTGGTTAGATTACATCGAATGTTATTTGTTTGGAATTCAGTCTTTATTATCCCCAGTGTCGTGAACATCATCAATACCAAACATTATTACCGGCAGTGTATTTGGTCAGCTGTAAAATTCTAGACTAGGCTACAATCATTATGTGATGTGTCTGGAATTCAATCCTAATTTTCCCCAATGTCTTTAACAGTAACAATTCCAAAGACTATCATTGGCTACGATTGTTTACTGAATTCAGTCTTTATTATTGTCGGTGTCTTTAACAGTGTCAATTCCAAAGACTATAATTCAGTCTTTGTTATCCTCAGTGTCTTTAACAGTATCAATCTCAGCATATTGTGATTCATCTTCAGTATTTATATTCATATACACCTGGAAATAAAATATACAGATTAATGTGGAGAAATTCAAATCAAGGACACATCCATCAGTCCAAATAATTATCTGTGTTCCGCCCCTACCCCCACCCTCTCAGTGGTTTGAAAATTTGTGTTAATGTTATAATAAAATGAATTGAAATGGCGGTTAACTAGCTAGTTCTTTTCCAGGTAATCTGCCCTGCATTACTAATAAGGGGCAATCTGGTCGGACCCCCCCCCCCCCAGCTTCCGAACTTGCTCGACCAAAACCGGAACCGAATATAATTCGACACCTGAAAGTTGTGTGACCTCATATTTCCGGGAGAGCAGCTGTTTATCCGTCATTGGGCGGTAGAAAATCGCAGTTTTGTAAAAACGGAAGTAGATGCCTCCTAAACCGGAAGTGATAATATATTTATAGATTATGTAAGCACCCTATATACCTGACTATCTTCAATGATTCGTTGTAATCTACCCTGAATTTCTGGAAATGTTGGTCGTCGTTCTGGTCGTTCATTCCAGCATTGTAACATCATTGCATACCTAAAATATAATACAATATTTTATAACACCATTGCATACCTACATATATGATATTATGCCTTTAATAACCATCTCCAACAAGGCCAGGTTAAGAATATCAATTCTAATCACATGCCATCTAGAAGCAGGATAAAATATTAAAGGCTCAATACCACTCTTGTTGTAACTGAATAATATGTCCCAATCTTTATTCTGGTCAACAAAATGTACTATTTTACAATATTCCAATTAATTGATGATACAAATTTCATCTTAACACACCTAATTTAAAAAATTGGAAAAATATAACTAAATGATTTGAAAAGCCTGACGTAAAGCTTTTCAAATGTTGCTTGGATTTAAAAATATTTTTGAACCCTCTGGACAAGTAAAATAGGATTTTATGGATAATGTACACAACAGGTAGGACACTAACACATCTAGTACTTAGAATAAGGCTATTTTTTTTATTCTTTGGAGCTGTCAACCCAGCAAGAGTGTTATTGTCCCTTTAACAACAAACACAAGGTATATATGGGTATAACTACTTCTCTGTTATTTACTAACCACGTTTCGTAACATACAGGTAATGTTTTCAAATGTAATCTTTTACTATTAATTAGTTTGGTGTAAGCTTGCATAATAGGCTGACTTGATGTATATTTATCATACAGCTCATATCATGTACATCATGTATTAGTGTATGTGTTTCATGAAACGTCGTTATTAAACATACTTTATTCAAGAGCTAAATCTGCCTAGTGCAGGTCTTTCTTTAGGACTGAAATGTTATCTAAATTATTTTAAATAGATATTAATGAACTTATCCAGATCATAATCAACCCTCGTTGCCATCGCTAGCCTGCGCTATTTAGCGGATTGGAATACATTTTGTGAAAGATGATTAAACGTAAATATGGATAATCGAGACTTTGTTTTTTATCGTACCGACTTTAGTAATGATGATCGGGGTTTTTGCCTAAAATTGAAAAGCTATATCTCGGTTCAGAGTGGAGCAGTTATCTACTTTTTAACTATTATAGCGAGAACTGTCAACTCATTATCTAATCTCCCATTATGCCCCTTTAAATAACGGAGAAGTAGGTATATATCGATATATACCTTGTGTTAATAAATAACAGGAAAAACGATACATGTATATATAAATTATATCCATATATATCTTGTGTTATTAAATAACATAGAAGTAGTTATATCCAAATATACCACGTGTTATTAGATATAACAGAGAAGTAGTTATATCCCTATATACCACGTGTTTGTTGTCGTGACAGTTAAGAATAGAGAAACGGGGTACATAATGCCGCCCACTCTTCCTATAAATTGACGGGATAGTTTAAATGTTTAACATATCCTTGCACTTAGACAAGCATTCTGTCGAGAGGGCTGACAGTGTAAATAATCGCCCGGGCCCTGTTTCTCGAAATCTTAAGTAAAGATAAAATCCAAAGTTTAGTAGATACTTCAATTTTGATTGGCTAAGCACTAAAATCAACCTGATATTATCCAATCAAATTACTAAAATTTGGATTTTATCTTAGTTAAAATTTTGTGAAACAGGCCCCTGCTCTACGGCATCCTAGAGGAACCAATCAGTAGAAAATTAGATAATCAAAATTCCTGTATCCTAAAATTCATTTTCAAGAATATTGCGCTTTAAAAATATTGCGGTCGACAATCTTCCAGGATTAATAGATGATTAAAGCGATAATTTCATATTTTCTAAGAAAGTCAAAACATAATTATTTCTATGTCTTTTGCTCGATAGGTTATCAACTCACTATTATACGATCATAGGTGTCATTCTCACACTTAAAAATCATTGACACAGGAAATAATAACACAATTACCTCCCTTGTTTTCCTATTGCCTCCATGCATTAGCTACCCTCAAACGTTGGAATTTGAAGTTAAAAATGATATTTTTGCCAATTTCTCAGCTGGCAATAGTGAATTATAGGATTAATAGGATTATTCTTTAACAAGGTAGGACGGTTTATGGATACCATCTATTTTAAGGCTTTATTTTAATAAATTTTAAAAATATAACTTAAAAATATGAAATTGCAGCTTTAAAATAAAAACTTACAGATTTTGATCACACAGTGAAGGTTTCTTGAGACGATAACCATCCTTGAGAAAGTTAAATAACTGTTGTGTGTCTATACAGGCGTAAGGTGTACCACCTAGTGTAAATATCTCCCATAATAATATACCAAAACCCCACCTGAAACAATAATAATTTATAAAAACATATAATAATATATCAAAACCTCACCTGAAAACAACAATGACTAAATAAAACAATATAATAATATATTAAACTCCCACCTGAAAACATTAACAAAACTATTTACATGTAATAATATAGCAAAACTCAATCTGAAAACAATAATAAAACTACATAACCATATACCAAAACTCCATGTGAAAACAATAATAAAACCACATAACCATATACCAAAACCCCACCCCACGTGAAAACAATAATAAAACCACATAACCATATACCAAAACTCCACGTGAAAACGTATGCCATACACTGTGCTATAAGGGGAAATTTGCCCACACAGCCTACTCTTATATCAAAATCTAACTGCCAAGGGATCTTTTACGTGCACGCCAATGTGTACACGGGACCTTGGTTTTTCGTTCCATCCGAACGACCAGACAGCTGTCCTTGTCACCTTATCAGGCCCTCTGTCCTGCACCACGGACAAGGGCAAACCACGTCGGAAAGTCCCGATGAACTTTCTCGGTCAACACCGGGAGCGAACCCACGACCTTTATGCTAGCGAAATGAAATGAGGTTTAACGTCCTACTGTTCTGCTCCGAACTGGGCTAATGAAGACGGTTAGGCTAGCGAGGCAGCGTCTCACTCATTTATCCACCGTGGCTCCTATGATTGATGATAGGTACATGATTGACAGGTGAATTTTGTGGATGAGATACGGTTACTTTGCTGCATCAATGGTGTGCCACGAAAACTATGTACAAGCGGATGGTGCGGCTAGTAAATGAAATGGCGGATCTTGGTGACGGGATACGGGTACTTTGCTGCAAAAATGGTGGACGCGGATGCTACGAGGGTGATATCCTTTAAACATAACCATATGGTGTAACAACATAGCATCATCATCAGCAGCATATGGAATGCAGTGATCGGCACGAGATCTAAGAAAGTATCAAGTTATAATGCAATACATAATAACTGTATGAATATGTTAAAGAAAACCATTGTTAAGTGGTATTTTAGAGGAAACACATGTCAAGTAGGGGTAATTCTATTATAGGTTATACTAGTCATTGTTTCAACTTGGAAATATAAAACTTTACGTTACATTCTTTCCACCCTACAGACTTTTCGACTTCCACTTTTAAGTACAAGAAAAAATTTTGAAATGTTGATACAACAAATTCCTTAGAGCAAACGCACATACTAAAGCCAGTGATCAACATTTGCATTTTTGTGAAGATATCTAATGTACTCATACTAATTATTTAAAATTTAATTAAGAAAAGAAAATTAGTATATAATAAGTAGATATTCTCTGGGCCTTGGTTTCAATGGGATTAAAATGAGGCCCATCGAATGATTCTGTGCAATTCATAGTTGGTGGTGCCTTATGTTGATAAGATCTTATATATCATATACAGTGGCTGTCGAGTGTTGACATATTTTCAGCTCATCATATCTTTGTAAATACTGAACGGAATTATACCATTTTTGGACTGATATTCGTTTTTTTAAAATCCCCTTGTAATGTTCAAAATCTACATATGGCAATATAATGTGTCTGTGCATACATGCAGTATATTAAGTTAAATGTGAGTTAATCGAGTCTAATTGCATATTGTAGGATATTATCTAGTGTCTTGAAAATCGAGTCAGTTGCTTAGCAACCGAGCGGATGTTGTGAACATGTGCGATGAAAGTAAAGATGAAAGTGCGTGATGTGAGCTGGTGACAGCGTACTGTTTTCTACCGCAAGTTAACACGAGCCAAAACGCTAAGATTATCTATGTATGTATCTATCAGAATATGACTTGTAACCAGTGAACCTTTGTGAAATAACTAATGTGATGGTGAATAAATAGTTGTTATGTTGCAGTTTCATATTTCTTATGGACACATCATGGGGTTTTATCAAAGCGGTGACGCGCGTATGTAACGATATGCTGAAAAGGGACTAGCTTAGATTTGTAGCGGTGTCATGTGAATAATTTAGTGGGGTGAACTTCATCGAACTAGTCTTCACCAGCTCGGCATCCACACCCCTCTTTTCATTATTGTAGTTGACCAAGGAATTAAAACTCACTTAAATGATGAGATTGAGCCATTTTGAGCTGATATTTATTTTTAAGATCTAGACTTTTCAATATTGTAGTTTACCAAGGAATTACAAAATCACTTAAATGACGGAACTGAGCCATTTTGAACTGATATTTATTTTGAATACTGTATTTACCTAGGATTAAACATCCCTCAAAATGACGACCACAGACAGTAAGTCAATATAAACTACAAATGGCGATCAGAGACATTAAGTCAATATAAACTTCAAATGACGATCACAGACAGTAAGTCACTATAAACTACAAATGAAGATCACAGACAGTAAGTCACTATAAACTACAAATGACGACCCGACACAATAAACTACAAATGAGGACCAGAAACAGTAAGTCAATTCAAACTACAAATGACGAAAAGAAACAGTAAGTCATATAAACTACAAATGACGATCAGAGACAGTAAGTCAATATAAACTACAAATTGCAATCAGAGACCGTAAGTCAGCATAAACTATAAATGGAATCAATGAACGGTTAATCGGCTTTCAGTTTAGATTTATGCTAGGTTCACACTATCACGATTCGCGCTACGACTGAAGCCGTGTTTTTAATCCTGGAGTAATCTTGATGATCCTGTCAGGTCTTATCATATGTTGAGGTCAGTCGTAACAATCGTGAAGATCGTATTGAAACGTATCCTGACGTATTTACACGTACCAGATCGTGTACTCAACGGGAACAATCCTATCGTAACGCATCGCAGCACAGTGGGAACCTAGCATTAAGTTCAATAAAATAAAACCAAGTACGAACAATCCAAACCATTAGATAAAATTCGAAGTCCTAAAAAAACGGTATAGGCAAAATAGTGTAAACAGGCAAAATAGTGTAATCAGCATATTATGGACTGTTATAAGTTACTTACACGTCGCTTTTAGTGGTATATGTATTATTAAACAATGATTCGACAGCCATCCATCTAACTGGCACACGCGTCTGAAATAATAAAACATGAGGAATATTATCTTTAAATTTAAAAACTGTAGGAAAATAATTCATTAAATGGCAGAAAGATATTTAGATACCTTGACTGTATTAGCTGATTGTTATCTTTAGCATCTTATTATTTGCATCAATCCGAGCAATCGTTATAAATAAATGCATCCGGCCAATGGCCCTGATTTTATGTATATATCTTCGATAAAAAATAATGATTTACTTTAACTTACCCGAGAAGTTTTGACATATGTATCATCATTTTTAGACAAACCGAAGTCGGCTATTTTAGCTGTTAAATGGTCAGCTAATAAAACATTTCTAGCTGCCACATCACGGTGAATTATCTAAAACAAAATCAATTAGAAGATTAACGTTTGAGATGAGCATTTTAAATGGTATAAATGTGGCATTTGGTATATTTGTACACTCTAGACGACCTGGGGCGAGTTTCCTACCGAGAGAGAGAGAGAGAGAAATGGAGTTTAACGTCCACTCGACACAAACTAGGTCATTTCGGGACTAACATATGGTTCAATTTTATTCCCATAAATTGCTTGCGCGTAGGGGTCTTTAGCAGTGGGAGGAAACCGGAGGACCCGGAGAAAACCCACGAGGTTGGACAGGCGACCCTACTCCTTGTCACGTACAACCGGGGATTCTTTCCTACCGAGGGATGGCCGATTGGTTTATAGAAGTAAAAGAGACTAGGCATAATTTTATCCTATCTCCGACGGCAAGCGCTTTAAATAACAAGATCTGTCATTGAGTTAAGTGGCGTGGCTTAAATTCACAGCTTGTACGTGACAATGGGAAAGGTCGCATGTCCAACCTCTTGAGATTTCTCAGTGTCTCTCGGTTTCCTCCCGCGTATGCGGATTGTTGAAATAATTGTGTTAGTTCCGGGTTTAACTAGTTCGTGTTGAGTGGACGTTAAACCCCTTTTCTCTCTTTCTCTCTAGTTCCCTACCGCTCGACCAGAAAGGTCCCATATTTCTTATTAAATGTCCTTAAGCAATATGTGGTATCGTTTCCAAACCATGTGGGGGTTGGATGGCTGTATCATAAGGCCTGTCATTGAGTCAACTGGCGTTGTTTCGAATCCCCGGTTATACGTGACAAGGAGTAAGGGTTGCCTGTCCATCCTCATGGGTTTTCTCCGGGTCCTCCGATTTCCTCCCACTGCTAAAGACCTCTACGCGCAAGCGAATTATTGAAATAAAATTGAACCATGTGTTAGTCCCGAAATTACCTAGTGAACGTTAAACCCCATTCTCTCTCTCTCTCTCTTTCCAAATCTGGTATAGATCTGTTATGGCTTAGTGTGATTGGTACGCGAAATGTCAGACATTATAATTATGTATACGGCTTATTTACAATTTAAGACAAAGAAGGATATGATATCGCATACTCGACAGACATGAATTGACAATGATAAATTACGAAGAAAACATAGAAGACGTGTTCTCATACAAACAATGCGATATGAGTGGAACCTGAACACAACTTGGCAATTACAAGGAAAAGGAATCGTAAACCCCCGGCGTTCTACTAGATGCAAAAGTTAAAATTTGATAAATTACTTGACAGGGTAGTTGAGAAAAAGACGTGTATGGTGCAGATGGGTGTTAAAAACTTAAAGAAACTAAATGCCTTGGTATATTTGCAGTGCTATTTGTTGTTTTGTTTTTAAAAATTTGCGGGGTCACGGTGGCTAAGTGGGAAAGGCGCTGGCTCACTAGCCTGGAGGTCGGGTGTTCGATACCTGCATTGGCCGAGAAAGTTTATCCAGATTTTCCGGCGTGGTTCCCCCTTGTCAGTGATACGGAACGGAGGGCCGGACAAGGACAGTTGCCTAGTCATTCGGATGGGCGAAAAAAAACGAGGTCCCGTGTACACATTGACAGTTGTAATTCGATATAAGAGTAGGCCGTAGTCCGGGCAAAATTTCCCTCATAGCCCGTCTTCATTAGCTCAGTTCGGAGCAGAACAGTATGACGTTAAACCCTATTTCATTTCATTCAATTTTCATTTTATTAAAATTTAGTAGAAAAGAAATCGGCGCATAATGACCAAGAAATCAAATAATTGTTTAAAAATTTTCTTTACCCCTTTCTCTGCGATATACGCTAATCCACTAACAGTATCCAGAGCAAATTTTAAAAGTGTTGTTTGACGAAGTGTTGACGCCATATTGGCATATGTATGATGGTCTTTGTTTTTTCTGCTGCGTCTCAGGAAGGTTCGAAGGTCACCGTATCTGGCATATTCCATTGCAACATACATTACGCCTAAAAAAAATAATTAAATTCAAATTGAAAATAGAAGTTGTTCTCTTAAATTTAAAAATTTTGGCGAAATATCTGAACACATTAATAAATTGCAAATAACACAATAAACCATCGAACCGACGTAATGGGATGGATGTTGAAATAGGCGCTGTCTGTCCGCTCTTCCGTCCTGGTTGTATTTCCGGGGCATCTCTCTATACTAATATTTATGATTGTCTTTGTTTGTCTGTCCCGAGGCCTAAAGAAAGACCTACAATAGACAGATTTAGCTCTTGCATAATGTATGTTTAAATAGGTTTTTGGTATCCATGGACACGGGATATTAATGAATGAATCGAATCTTCGTGTTTTATTAAATCACATCAACCTACAGAAGCAACTCACCTCGAATATGACAAGCACCAACAAGACAAACAACATTAGGATGTTTACCCACTTTCTTCCAGATATTCAACTCGTTTAGAAAATCTGTTTTGTCCTTTTCTGAGGCGTTGTCTGAAAATATTATTATCTAAATTGTATCCAAATTGGACATATATCATGATAAGGAAAATCTATACACAAAATAATTCCACCTAATTTAATTTCATTACTATCTTAATTGTACCCAAATTTAAACATCATGATATGGAAATAAAATGAATTGAGGTTTAAAGTCCACTTGACACAAACTAGGTCATTTCGAGATTAACATATGGTTCAATTTTATTTCAATAATTCTCTTACGCGTAGGGGTCTTTAGCACTGGGAGGAAACCGGAGGACCTAGAGAAAACTCACGAGGTTGGACATTCAATTTCAAAACGGGGTTTGAATTCCGACGTTTTTACTACACCGACCGGGTTAATGTGTACAAGGGACCTTCGGTTTTGTCCAATCCGAACAACTAGACGTACTGTAAATGATTGAAAATTTCGACAATAAGTTTTATATATTCTTTACGCCAGTTGACTCAATGACAGAACTTAGAATACAAAGTGCACGCGCTAAACATTTGGCCATGATAAGGAAAGACTGCCTATATCATAGATAAAACAATTTAACGTAGTGCTTGTTTCAATGGAATTTAGGGATTGAACTGGAAATACAGAGGCCACAGTTCTATGGAATGTCATTGCTGCTTATTATTAATGAGCGACGTTTTGACTAGGCTCAGAAATAAACACTAGTGTGTTCCATAGAACTGTAAACTGTGTACAGTCTACTAATTTCCAATGTTATCCCTTTCAGAGATATAATCTGAAAATATTATCATAATAATTATTTTTAAAACACAGATGTGACGTCATCCTTCGATGTTGGCGTACCAATATTTCAAAAAATGGTGCAGGAAATGTGCCAAGCGTGCATTATTTATACTAGTTGAAACTTTGAATCCGCGTGACGTATTTCATTGCAAAGCACGTGCGAGTGTCTGTATTTTACCACATATATTCTAACCATATAGAGAGCAACGTAAAAGTGTTGGGTAAATCCCTTTTAATCCGACTAAATCTAATTCGGGAGATTATCTGCCTGAATGCCTTGTTTTTTTAAATTATAATCATGCGAGTACATTGTTAATATGTATTTAACCGTGACAAAAACGATATAGTCATAAAAAAAACAGAATCGATTTCGGCGACACTACATAATTTCCCAAAACACATGAAAAATTCAATTATCTTTTAATGCTAAATTAGATTATGTACCTTTGGTGTATTGGTTTTGTTGTTTTTAATTAAATGTCATTTAATCAATGAGTGCATTTTTAAAATGTATTAAACCTTGGAAAATAAGAGGGAGTCACCAAAACTACACGATCGAGATCGGCGACGTTAAATAATTACCAACAACACAGGAAACATTCAGTTACCTTTTAATGACTTGATGGCAACCGGTTCCTGTCTGCCTCTTTCTTTAATAAATCCTTTCTTCACCTCCCCGAAATGACCATTACCCAGTTGCTGATTGGTTATGACAAGGTTGCTTCTGGCTATTTCCCATTGACTACCCTGGATATGTTCATAAGTATTTCTAACTCTTTCAGGGTCATCTTCAGCCTAAGGAAATAATCCATTAACATAATAATTTATAACCGCAATTTATATAAATCGTTAACATTATAAACCGTGTAAAACCTATATGAGCGGACAATATAAAAACCGATGTGAGTGGACAATATAAAAACCTATATGAGCGGACGAGGTAATAACGTATAAGCGCGGACAATGTAAAAACATACATGAGCAGACAATATAAAAACCTATATGAGCAGATAATATAAAATATAAAAACCTATATGAGCAGACAGTGTAATGACCTAGATGAGTGGACAATGTAATAACCGGCGTGGTTTCCCCTTGTCAGTGATGCAGGAGGGAGGGCCCGACAAGGACAGCTGTCTATTCGTTCGGATGGGACGAAAAACCGAGGTCCCGTGTACACATTGGCGTGCACGTAAAAGATCCCTTGGCAGTTGGAATTCGATATAAGAGTAGGCCGTAGCGCTGCCCGGCAAAATTTCCCTCATAGCACACTGTATGGCGTATGCCCGTCTTCATTAGCCCAGGTTAAGAGCAGAACAGTAGGACGTTAAACCCCATTTCATTTCATTTCAATGTAATAACCTATATGAGCGGACAATGTAATAACCTAGATGAGCGGACAATGTAATAACCTAGATGAGCGGACAATGTAATAACCTACATGTAGATCAGCGAGAAATGTAATAACCTAGATAAGCGGACAATGTAAAAAGCTATATTGAGAAGTCAAAGTAAAACCTTTTTTGAGCGGGCAATGTAAAACATATGGTTGGTAAGTGTAAAACCATATAACTGGTCAGTTCAAACCCTATATGAGCAGACCTTTTAAAACCTATTTGTATGACAGTTAAATTAAAAACTTATATGAGCGGACGCTGTAAACCCTATATGAGCGGATACTTTAGAATCTACATGAGCGGACATTGTAAGACATGTATGGGTGACCATTATAAAACCTAAATAGCTGGCCAATCTAAACCCCATATGGATAGTCAATGGAAAACATATGAGTTTCATTAAGATATTAAATAGATAGCCTGCGAATATAATAAGTCTGCACTTATTTTATTTTAAAATATGCACCTATCCGTATCAACAGAAATATCTCAAACGATAACAAACTGGAAAAAATTCCTTTAAAACAAACAACCTTTGAAATGTAATAGAATTTGTATCCCATGTGAACTGGGGATTTTGTTTTTTCATTTAATTATAATATGATAACACTTAGTTTGATGTCATCTGCACGCATTAAATATCTAATTGGTAAAACAAACACGCCTTGTCCCATGCCCATTTGAAGTAAATAAATAGTTAAAACATACGGGCATAACAAGTAATTACGAGTTCGTTCATACATGAAATTGCATAGCATATTCATAAAAATATGGAACAGTTTTTAAAAAAATTAAAAATTTTAAAATAATTAACTAGGTGGGGTAATATGTTATATTATGTCAGTATCATTAGCATTACAAATATAACATTCCGTGTTCATTCTTACGGAAGACTATTAGGGCCAAATAAATAAATTATCCTAAACTCCTAATCATGAAATACTAATTCATAATTGGGAGATAGTAACTCGTAATTAGGATTTAAGAGTTGGTGCCAAATAAATAAATTATCCTTAAGTCCTAATTATGAAATACTAATTCGTAATTAGGAGACAGTAACTCTTGATTAGGACTTGGTGTGTCCTAATTAGGACTTATTATTAGAGTCATATAAATAAATAAAAATAATGAGATTCTAAAAATTTTTTTGGCCCTAATACTCTTCCGTAGATTATGTCTAGTTTTTACCATTCCTAATTAGGATATAGTAACTCTTATTTTGGGACTCAGTGTGTCCTAATTAGGATTTATTATTAGGGCCAAAAATAAATAAAAATAATTCTTTTTAAGTGTTAATTAGGATAGACTATGTCCTAATTTGTCCTAATTAAGGGATATTTTCAAAATTTATTTGGCCCTAATATGCTTCCGTAGAGTTTTAACATAAATAGAGAGAGATAGAGAGAGAGAGAGATGGGGTTTAACGTCCACTCGACACAAACTAGGTCATTCGGGACTAACATATGGTTTAATTTTATTTACATAATTCGCTTGCGCGTAGGGGTCTTTAGCAGTGGGAGAAAACCGGAGGACCCGGAGAAAACCCACGAGGTTGGACAGGCGACCCTACTCCTTGCCACGTACAACCGGGGATTCGAAACCACGCCAGTCGACTCAATGACAGACTTTATGATACAGCGCGCGCAGGCTAACCATTCAGCCATCCAACCCCCCAACATAAATAGCGTTTACCATTAAAACAGCTGGGAGTTAGAATTGATAAACAATATCATTTTCAAAATTTTCATAAAAAATGGGGAAACTTTAGGACTAGATATATATTTTGGAAACATAGAATTTGTATGACGTCTTCAAATTGTTAACAAAATGGGAAATAGATATAAACAAATACCCACCCTAGAAGCTGTTTGAAGTCTGTTTGGTTTACTGCGCAGTTTGGGTCGTATCACCAAGAAGTATAGTGACATACAAGATAAAGCCGCTACCACAACTACCATGGCCACGATCAAGAAGGGTAGAATGGGTTTCAGATCAACTGTATCGCTTGATTCTAAATTAGCTAAAATACAAATTCGTGTACCTATATATTGCTATATATTTTGATCGTGTCACATTATACCCCTGCATTAGGTTTTATCAAAAGTTCTGCTTGTCGAAAGTTTTTACAAATCTTAAATTTTCACATGGATATATCTTCAACTGAAACTGATCAGTAAGATTTGTAGCGATGAAGTTCTATTTCCATTGCCGCTAATCTTATCATATATCCCTTGAGCAAGTGAATATCTTTGGGAGTCGACATGTACACGGTACCCCAGTTGTAGCACCTTCTGATGAACTATGCGTTGTTCTTTGTCATGCAGGAAACCCCGAAGAACTTCCTGGGCTAACAAACGGAATCTCCTGTTTATTGAGCCAGGGCATGATTCACTGAGTCATTAGCATGAAGTACATAAAGTCCAAAGGATATAAGGCAGTTGGAATATGATATAAGAGTAGGCCGTAGTGCCGCTGTCCGGGCAAAATTTCCCTCATAGCACACTGTATGGCATATGCCCAGTCGGGGCAGAACAGTAGGACTTTAAACCTCATTTCATTTCATTTTCAAAGGATATAGAACTAGTGCAATCGCCGAAGAAAAATACCAACCATGGGAGCATGTATTATATAGAGCTAGTGTGATAGTCGAATATAAATAAATCGCCGAAGAAAAATACCAACCATGGGAGCATGTATTATATAGAGCTAGTGTGATAGTCGAATATAAATACCATTCATGGGAGCATGTATTATATAGAGCGTGTGTGATAGTTGAATATAAATACTAACCATGGGAGCATGTATTATCTAACCAACCAGGCTGACATCCATCAGGACAATATCCAGTCATAGAATCACAAGTTGTTCCTTCTTTACACTGTCCACAACGAAACTTACAATTCTCTCCATAAAAACCAGCTTCACATTCTAAAATTAGAAAAGATACCACTGCGATCTAGAATCATGATATAAAACACCTAAAATTAGAAAGATACCACTACGATCTAGAATCATGATATAAAACACCTAAAATTAGAAAGATACCACTGCGATCTAGAATCATGATATAAAACACCTAAAATTAGAAAGATACCACTACGATCTAGAATCATTATATAAAACACCTAAAATTAGAAAGATACCACTGCGATCCAGAATCATGGCATAAAACACCTAAAATTAGAAAGATACCACTGTGATATCATGATATAAAACAGATAAAATTAGTGAGATGACCCTGTCATCTAGAATAAAAAAACATTTAAAATTAAAAAGATACCACTGTTATAATGATAAAAAAAAACATCTACAATTAAAGAGATACCGCGCTGCACTGCGATAATGATAAAATAAAATTGAACCATATGTTAGTCCCGAAATGACCTAGTTTGTGTTGAGTGGGCGTTTAAACCACTCTCTCCTCTCCATGTTACTTGCAGATCGATGTTACTTATTGGGTCAAGGATATAGTTCCTCGTTTGTAACTGAAAATAGTAAGAAACCCGGCCAAATGGGTACCGAGTATTGAACCACGACATTGACACGTTGTCACCAGTTGTGTGCCCCTTAAATCAGGTATACCCCATCCCCCGTTAGAATCTGTACATATCAGATATCCAAAACCCCTAAACTTACCTTCCATACAATAGACACCTCTCCACCCGGGTTCACACCCACTACAGATGCCATTTACACTATGACAAGATGTTTGTTTTTTACAATGTCCACAAGACTGAGAACAGTTATTACCATATGATCCAGGTTCACATTCTGTAAAATCAAACGTTGTAACTACATTAGAATTAAATGAATTTGCAATCCGGTCATATTAAGCGGGTGTCTGGTGTAATACTTCAGCGAAATCGCCCTCGATAATCCAATGAAAAATCACCGAAAAGTCCGTAAATCATCCTGACCTGTAGAGTGGACATTCGATATCGGATGCCTGACAAGTATCTACTTTTGGACCTTCAATGACGGCATTTACCTACCTGGTTAAATCTTACGTAAGGTCTAATTATAAGGATTGGCAAATAAGCTAGTGGATATTTTATTTTGTGTGCATAGCGTTTCTTTTTTCGTTGTATCAGACTCGCTGAACATTCAAATAGACTTAAAGAGTAGCTTTACCTACAACAGGGCGCATGCTTCTAAAGCTGGTGGTCACCTAGGCTTTGGGACCTATGGGAAAACTGAACATTCAGTCGCAGCAAGCCAAAACCTAACAAGTCACATTTTTATTTACATCAGATCGCAGGAATCCCGGAAAGCGCGGCGCCCAAGGCAAGGAGACCAACAACACCCAGTAGCAACAAGGCAGAACCTAGTAAGTCACTTTTTTATTTATAACAGATCACAGGATCCAGTGGTCAGTGTTTACCGCGGAGTGACTACGAAGATAACCATTCCTACATTGTGTACAACAGATCGTTGGATCAAGTGGTCAATTTTTGCCTTAGAGTGGCTACGAAAATAATCATTTCTACATTATCCTAACCATAGATCAGTCAATTTATCAAGAAGAAATAGAGGCCAACCCCTAAAAATTGCGAGAAAACGTTTTGTGGGGGTTTCTGGTATATATTGGATGTACTGAATGACATCCTAAACGTTTACCAAGATGGGAGTACTGGAAAGTTCCGAAATTGGGGGTACCAGTGTATACCTAATTTATAAATATTTATCAGGATGCTGGTCAAATTTACAAATGTGGGATTTGGTTACAAAGTCTGCGGGCGGTCTTCTAAGTAAATAAGCGAGAATTACTCCCCGGATATATTCATTTTCAATCATGGATACAATTAAAGCTGGATTACATTAATAAAACGAAGACTATATTTCTATTTAAATAATATATAATATAGTGTCTTCTTAATATATTATACTACACATCTTTTGCTTTAAATAATATTTTTTCTTCACCATTTCTAAAGAAATAAAGCCGCAATATCTACAGACATTACCGCTGCTATTAGAAACTGTACTTCCAGTTTGAACAAGGACTTCGAACCAATTTGATTAAAACACAGATCCTATTTCGTTTCGTTTTTTTATAGTTAAAAATTTCGTCTGGAAAAGTTGTTATATAACCTGCATTCTGGGTGCGTGGGGGATTCGCCAATGAAACCTTCTTGTGGGTAAACCTATGGATAAACCACTAGAAAAGTCAAGCTGATTGATCAATCAATGTCTAACGCCATATAGAGTCAAAGGCCCCTCGTACGACCATTGATCTTCATGTAGTGTAGGCCATCTAAAGTATAAAAAAAAACCGAAACGAAATTTGGATCTGTATTTTAATCAGATTGTCTTTGTACCGACAACACTCGATCATCATCCACAAAACAGTAACTGGGATTATAATTTGCAATGAAATTTGAATCAAGACACAGACATTAAACATTAGATCGGTGACGTCGAATATCGTGAGTTTGCATCCAGCTTTAAAGTGCATTAAACAATGTAAGAATTATTTTTAAAGTTAAGCAAACCTGATTGACATTGGAAACCACCCCATCCTCTGGCACATCCTTGGTTACAATAACCTGTTACATGATCACACGTTCCCTTGACACAAATACCACATGTTCCTAAACAACCACGCCCATAATGTCCAGCTTGACATCCTAAGATAAATAACAAAGACTTCTCTGACAAATAGATAGAAAGGTTGTTATAATAAACACAATATAATGATGGATCAAGTTCTTAAATGAAACGATATGGGGAAAGAGAGAGATGGGGTTTACGGTCCCTTTACCATCTACTTGAAACAAACTAGGTCATTTCGGGGGAGCGCGCACATGCTAACCATTCGGTCATCCACCCCCCACCCCCTCTAACACGAAATGGGGGTTAAGTCTTATTTTTTCTGCCCCAACTTGGATAATCAAGAGAGGTATACGCCATGCAAGGGGAGAGTCTTGTTTGGAAAGCGACATGTCCGCCCACTCTTCGTTGAATCGTAGGGGAGTTGGATAGCAAAATGGTTAGAGCGTGCACGTTGTATCATAAGATCTGTCATTGAGTCAACTGGCGTGGTTTCGAGTAGGGTCGCCTGTCCAACCTCTCGGTTTTATCCGGGTCCTCCGGTTTCCTCCCACTGCTAAAGACACCTACGCGCAAGGGAATTATTGAAATAAAATTGAACCGTTTGCTAGTCTCGAAATGACATAGTCTGTGTCAAATGGGCGTTACCCTCTCTCTCTCTCTCTCTCTCTCTCTCTCTCTCTCTCTCATTGAATTGTAACATTTAGTGCCAGGGCTTACGTGTATACCGGATCTCGGGTTTCGCCCCCCCCCCAGTTCCCATTCTGCACCATTGACTATAGTATAGGCTGGACGAAGTTTCCCACATAGCACACCGCGTGGCGTTTGTCCGTCGACATTAGCAATGTTGGTGCATAACAATAGGACATTAAGTAAAATTTGATTTTTATCCAAGTCTAACAAATGTTCCCCCGTTTAACGTATTCAATTGAACGAATTATTGCTGTGTAGTTATAACCATGTGTGAGAAAACTAGATACTCTAATACTAGTTACCGGATTTCCTCAAATTTATAATTGCAAGCAATCCAAGGTCGACATTCTGGTCACGATTCGCGCTTTACAACTAAAACATTTTTAGATGTTCTTCAGTTTATGATAAATATATAAACAAATGCAATGACATACTCAGCTGAAAAACAAATGTTTTATGGGCCTGGAGGTGTAATATTTAAATAAGTTCAATTATATTATGTGTGGGTTTTATAAATGTCAACATAAATTGCATTCCGTCCTGAATTCTATTGTCTCTTACTGTACTGGATGCAAACATGATGACTTAATCTCTTGACTCTTGTACTTGAATCACGTATCATCGTAAAGTTTAGAGGTAGAGCGCAAGTTGTTTCGTTTTACTTAAAATAACAGATTTCTCATCGTTGAGGGGGAGTGCAGTCAATATGTGTCCGCGATTCTCGTTCTGATTGAAACAGGACGGGTTTCCCCATGTTCCTGAAACAACGACCCCGAGTTTTACCATGAACCCTATAATATATGGACTGGTAACGGCTTAATGATCTAAACAGCGATGGATGCCGCGCTTTAATTTTAGACGGCCACTTTTTCGTTGGGCAGAACACGTTCTACCACAGATAGAGCAACATGTGGCAACCTCTTGCCCAAAAGCTCGTATGAGGTTCATCATGAAAAACTTGAGATACACATGCAATATTCCACCGTACATTTCAACCTAACCAACCTCTTAACTCTTGTATCCTTCCGTCTCAAAATCATGAATATTCACCAAAACCTGGCAGAAAATGTACATTCAAACCCTTTTTATTCAATTCAACAAAAAGAAAGTGGGCGGGAGGGGACTAAAAATAGAGTTGGCCCTTGTCCAGACGGCTTATCAGAAGTTATTAACGAGTTGTGGTTACCGGGCATGCGCACTGCTCCGTTATAATAATGACTTACTATAACATGTATAAAATAAATGTACGAGCTCTCGCCGAATGATGGGATTTTACCCGTATATTCCGGACTTGTCCGAATCTTTTTTCGAAACGCCCAAAATTGTCCGACCGGGAATATGCCCAATCGGACATCAAGACATGGTGAATAATATTCAAATTCCAAAATTAATATAGTGTACTGGGTTTTTATATTTACTGTTGATATACAACATGCTGCAAAATGTATTATAAGGTCAATGGTTTTACAACACCTACCCGTGATAGACCGCGCTTTTCTTAAACATATCGTGGCTATGTAGGTAAGACGCTGGTTTGCTAGCCTGGAGATCGCGTGTTCGATCCCTGCATTGGCCGAGAAATTTCATCAGGATTTCCCGACATGGTTTTCCCTTATCAGGTGTGCAGGACGGAGTCATCATCTGAACAAACGGGCCAAAAATATAACCTGTTTTAATTTGATTGTTTATCTTTAATATAATGAAGAATCTTTTCTTACTCTGTGTACATTTGGTACCAGTCCACCCTGGTGCACACCCCTTTAAACAATGACCGGTGTCATGGTTACAAGAAGTATTAGCCAGACAATGTCCACAGGTTAACATACAATCTACACCATATGACTTATTTGGACATCCTGAAAAACAAAATGGCGACATGGGAATCGTTTGGATAACATATATTTAGGCCTAGAGTTAATTAATATTCATATCTATAGATAATGACATTTAAGCCCATTTTGTTGCTTTAGCAAACGAAAACATGCATACCGTAAGCCCGAAGTTTCATATCCTTGGAAATATTTATGTTTATTTTATATGATTTAAACGTTAAAATTCTTATTTCTTACTTTCACTTTAGCAAATCCGATCACGTGCATAATTGGAAGTGTGCATTTTTATTCTATATGTTATAGGAGTTAAAATTCGTATTTCTTAGTTTCAATTTAGCAAACCCCGAACACATTTATACCGTAAGTCAGAAGTTTCATATAATTGGAAATATTTATGTTTATTTTATATGTTTTTAAAGTTAAAATTCTAATTTCTTACTATCACTTTGTATAACGGAAAGCTCGAAGTTTCATATAATTGGAAATATGCATTTTTATTAAGGTGTTTTAAAAGTTAAGATTCTTATTTTTTACTTCCACTTTCGCAAATCCGAACACGTGTATAATGTTTTAATGGTTAAAATTTGTATTTCTTACTTTCACTACAGGTCTTTCCTTTATAACCAGGCTCACATCCACCACTGCATTCACCCGACATTTTATTACAGTCCATCTTCAACCTACATTTACCACATTCCATGTTACAGTTGGCACCATAGGTAAACGGTTCACAAACTGAAAACATAAGTCTTATTTATTAATCAAAGTCACAGAGAAATAGTTAGAAAAATACAGTACAGTCCACGGGCTCATCTGACCATCATTGTCTATAGAACTGCAGTCAAGTTCAGTCAACGTCCACAGAAACTCATATAAGTTCTGAAGATGAGTAAAGTAGAAATACCCAAATTCTGCAGAATATAGCGAGACTTCATAAAAGAGTAGATCCAATAGAGCATCCCTCAAAGTCTATTGAACCTAGTCATGATGAAGAAGATCGCCTGGTACATCGCTTCTTCTGGAGCATCTTAGGGATCGCTCATATTCCACTGAACGAAGCCAAGATGGAGATGGTCACTCAATACATGACTCTTTGTGAAGACTCTAAGCTTGGATGAACAAAGAACAACAAATAATAATTTGAAAAAAAAAAACCACAACGGTTTTTGATATCATAAACAGAAACATTTACCTTGATCACATTTATCTCCAATCCATCCTGGTACACATCCACCGATTGGACAATCTCCGGTTATAGGATCACACGGTTTATCATTAGCACAAGATCCACAAGATCTAACACAATTAGCACCATATCTAAACTTTACACAATCTGTAATACACAAAATCTAACACAATTAGCCCCATATCAATACTTTACACAATCTGTAATACACAAGATCTAACACAATTAGCTCCATATAAATACTTTAGACAATCTACATGTATAACACACAAGATCTAACACAATTAGCGCCATATCTAAACTTTAGACACCCTGTGTAGATGTACAAAATGATATTTTTTAAAAGATGCATTATACAAGATTTAGATAAAGCGCTGGCAGTTCTCGCTATAATAGTTCAAAAAACAAATATTGAAATGGGAATATATTGAAAATTTACTTTATTCTGGGCGAAGATGAGACCGTTTGAAAAAGAGCGTAGTCTCGATTGTCATTGCTAAAGTCGTTACGATAATGAACAAAGTCTCGATTATCCACTCCTTAATCAAATTATTAACTGGTAAACGTGTTTAAATCCGTTGAAAATCACATCAATCCGATAATCTATAGACTTGATTATGGGTTAGACATGTGACTAAATGTCTAATTAATGATTGATATAATAATTGTTGACGCCAAACGAAAGATCTGCAAGAGGCAGATTTAGCTCTTACATAATGCATCTTTACATGCTTTACGTGTGGACCAATACATGTATTTGTCATTGGGGTTACTAATCATTATAGTTTGTTCGATCCCTGCATTGGCCGAGAAAGTTCATCCAGATTTTCCGGCGTGGTTCCCCCTTGTCAGTGATGCAGGACGGAGGGCCTGACAAGGACAGCTGTCTAGTCCTTCGGATGAGACGAAAAAACCGAGGTCCCGTGTATACATTGGAATGCACGTAAAAGGCCCATTGGCAGTTGGAATTCGATATAAGAGTAGGCGATAGTGCCGCTGCCCGGGCAAAATTTCCCTCATAGCACACTGTATGGCGTATGCCCGTCTTCATTAGCCCATTTTAGGAGCAGAACAGTAGGACGTTAAACCCCATTTCATTTCATTTCATTTTTAAATGGTAAATGACAACTACACCAAAATAGTAGAATTTTATAGATATTTCTCACTCAATAAATAATAGATTTAAACGTATATTTATTTATCGTGTTTTAGTCACGTGTCCTGATAGAGTACCCCAATTTGGTAGAAACCTTTACTAAAGTTCTATAGTATTTGTACAAAATGCTATAAATTTGCAATTTAAGTGTATATATACCGTGTAATGTTGTTACAAAATGCTGTCACTGATCAATTTAAGTGTACATTTACCGTGTAATGTTGTTATAAAATGCTATAAAGTAGCAAATTAAGTGTATATTTATCGTGTAATGTTGTTACAATGTTACAAAACGCTGTAAAGTGGCAAATTAAGAGTACATTTACCGTGTAATGTTGTTACAAAATGTTATTTATTATCAACTGAAGTGTTTGTTTGGTGGTAGGTTGTACGACAAGATATCATAATTATTATTACAATATCTGTCCAGGATACACACGAAATTCATAGAAGCCAATGTAAAGTTTAAACGGCCATTAAGTAAACTACATCTTTTACTACTTTTCCACGGACGGAAATCCACGTAGATATGACGTTTAGGTTTTTTATACTAAGATATAGAGCTTCCTTTGTTTCAAGATTTCTATTACATTGTGAAGAGGAAAGGCTTCAACCAATTACGCCAATTGTGTATGTTTGTCGTGTTTGAGTCGTGGTATCATTGGTCATTATAACATTCCCCTCTTCCATCTTAATTAAATAATTCACAACAGCTGTATAATATGCCATAAATAATCTTAGTGTGCATGTCTCGTGTTGGAGTCACCAATCATCATAAGTATCCGTCATGTAGCAATAGACCACAATATAATAACCTAATAGTACAAAATACTATGAGAGAGAGATGAGATTTAGAGGCAAATCAACACAAACTAGGTCATTTCGGGACTAAAAAAAGGTTCAATTTTTATATATCAACAATTTGCTTGCGCGTATGGGTTTTTAGCAGTGTGTGTGTGTGTGGTGGGGGGGGGGGCGGGCAAGCAACCCTACTCCTTGTTATGTAAAAGCCACCTCCACCCCCATCACCGAAGATAAGAAAATCAGCATTAATATGATAAACGTTTAATTATGTTATAATAGTTAAACTGGGAATAAAAATATTTATTTGAAATTTGATATTGTCTTTGATAAATAAAATTATTAAAAAAAACTTGCATTTTATTTTACGTCTTTAACTTTTAATTATTTAAAACACTGGCATTATTCACATCTCACATTTCCAAATGTTAAAAAATATTTTCTTTTTTTAACTTCTTAAATTTCCAAATTTTCTTTCATCTTTCCATTTATTGAAAACATTTATATTTTTTTCATCTTTAATAGAATAAAAGACTTACTTCTATCACACTGTAATCCCACCCAGCCATTTTTACAACCGCCTTCACAGACGCCATTATTAGGATCACATGTATGTAGACAACCTTCACTACACTTGTAAGAACAGTGTGGTCCATAAAACCCAACATCACAACCATTATCTGAAATACACGCACTTTAGATCGTAGGGTCCATAAAACCCAACATCACAACCATTACCTTAAATGCATTCACTTTAGATTATAAGGTCTATTATTGAGTCAAATAGCGTGATATGTAAAAAGGGGAAGGATCGCCTGTCCATACCCATGGGTATTCCCCGGGTCCTTCGATGATCCCTAACCATATGTTAGTCCTAACATGACCTAGTATGCGTCAATGTGTCAAGTGGACAATCAATCTGGTTAAAACACAGATCCTATTTCGTTTCGTTTTTATAGTTCAAAATTTCGTTTTACTTGTCGTTACTACACTTGGATCTGGAAGAGTTGTTATTAAACTCGTGTTCTGAATGGTGTCAGGGATAAGCCAATGAAACGGTCTGTTACGGCGAGCTTTAGGCGTGTTTTGCACGGAACTTTGGGTAATCCACTAGTAAGATCTTCATGTAGTGTAGGCCATCGAAAGTATAAAAAAAACGAAACGAAGTATGGATCTGTATTTTAATCAGATTGGTGGACAATTTACTGAAAATCTGCTCCAACTTATTATCAGCCAGAACCCATATCCTATAGTCCTTGGACACGTCATTAAACACAATTTTTAAAATTAACAAAATATTACATAACAGCAATCATAAACCTTAAGAGATTAAAGATACATAATGGGAGATAAGATAAAGAGCTGGTAGTTCTCATTAAAATAATTAAAAACTAGATGCTGTAATGGGAATATGCTGAAAATTTAGTCAAATTGCTTCACCTTAAGCCGAGAAAACCTTATTCTAAAATCTTTGTAGCCCCGATTGTCATTGTAAGCGATGTCACTAACAAAGTCTAGATCATCCATTTATGCGTTTAATCATCAATGGACCTTGAACAGCAGATCGGATTCAAATCCATTGTAAATCGCACAGATAATATGGCATCGACAGGTGATTATGGTTTTTTCATGTTAATAAATGTCTAATTAATAGTTAATATAACATTTCAGGCCTAAAGAAAGACATGCAATAGGAAGATTTAGCTCTTGCATAATGTATGTTTAATAATTATAAGTACATGTACATCAAACATTAAAATGCGTGGCATCTGCCTTGACAATTCACAAAGATGATCAAGGTACTTTTTGTGATAAGCATCGTGACAAATCAGAGATGACACCATCAGTGGCGTATCGGCAGAAAATAGCGCCTGTGCAAGCATTTGAACTAAACATCTGACATCCATTTTGTTAAAGATAACTTTACCATAAAATCAGTTCAAAAATACAATTGAAAAATACAATTGCACCATCCTTTATTTCACTGATGCAATGGTCTTAATCTAAGTTGCGCCTCTTTCAAATGGAGCCCAGTGCACGGGCCCTATCTGCAATATGGCACATACCTCACTGCGACACATTTATTGAATTATATAAACTAGGCGGTATGGATTAAAATAGCTACCTAAATATGTAACAAAAAGTTCGTGCATGATATGTGATGACATTATCGGGGGTTGCTTCTAATAATAAAAAGAAAATACATATGGAATTCGAGCTATTTTCTTGTCGGAAATAATAATAGGTTTTCATTTATCAATACGACAATGTATAGGTTTACAATTATTTTCAGAATTCAGTTGGTGTCGTGTTCTAAAAGTTCTGCCCAGATAGAATGTCTCCATAAGCTAACTGTGTCATATATATCTGGGAATGAATGTACAAAATGCTATTTTTGGCTTCTTATTTCAAGACGAAATTTGTAAACTAGAATATAAGGAAGAAGTTTTTTCCATATTTAGATGTGTAATATTTTTGTACACGGTTTTGATGAATCTGTCCTTCATCTACAGTAGTTCCGAACTTTACTACCATCGCGTCATCTTTTTAATAGCCATTCAGGGCCCTGTTTCTCGAAATTTTAACTAAAGATAAAATCCAATTTTAGTATATACTTCAAATTTGATTGACTAAGCACTAAAATCAATCTAATATTATCCAATCAAATTACTAAAATTTGGATTTTATCTTAGTTAAAATTTCGTGAAACAGGCCCAAATCAAAAACGTGGCACATTATCCCATAACAAGATGATCAGAATTTTTTGGGACCAGGAACTGGTCGCTAACCGCTACTTATCTTAGGACGTTAAACTCCATTTCATTTCATTTTTGCTACTTATCTTGTTCTTCTTCTTGGGGGTGACGCTCTTCACAAAAGCCTAAGGCTCCGTCAATTCAAGTCCGATCGACATGAAAATTGACATGATTGTTCGTTGACAAATTTTGCATGGATTTGGTGAACTCTATGTTGGAATATCATCAGTTCCTGGTCCATAGTACGATCATACTTGTTCTTAATTTGACTGATGTCAGCTACTAAAATTCACGGCCCGAATACCAACAATTGCGTACCTAATTGTGTGTGTGTGTGGGGGGGTGTGTGTGTGAGAGAGAGAGAGAGAGAGAGAGAGAGAGAGAGAGAGAGAGAGAAGTGGGGTTTAACGTCCACTCAACACAAACTAGGTCATTTCGGGACTAACATATGGTTTAATTTTATTTCAATAATTCGTTTGCGCGTAGGGGTTTTTAGCAGTGGGAGGAAACCGGAGGACCCGGAGAAAACCCACGAGGTTGGACAGGCGACCCTACTCCTTGACACGTACAACCGGGGATTCGAAACCACACCAGTCGACTCAATGACAGACTTTATGATACAGCGCGCTCACGCTAACCATTCAGCCATCCACCCCCCCCCCCCCCGCCCCCCCGTACCTAATTGTACATGGGTTTCTGTTTGCACGGACTTCAAAACATCATTCATAAATCCCTATGGTGTCTGCTCTAGTTGAATCAAATGCATTAGGTATGTTATCTCAGGAAATTTAAATAATTTGTTTTCACTCTAGGCCTCTTCCTCGCGGCCATTCGTTTATAACCAATTTATAAACAATTTACGAAACATTTCTTTAGATGAAACAAATACACTATATATGTTATCCCCGAAATTTAGTTAAATTTTTAACAAAAAGACCAACCGTCTATTTCAGCAGATGAAATAAGTAACACAATTTAAAAATGAAATATTACAAATGAAAAATGATTTTTTTCTTTCACACAAAAATACACGTGTTAATGTTCAGATATTTTTTGTTTTTAACAACTACGTGAAAAATATGTATTTGTACCTAATCGACATGTGAGAAGCAAAGAAGCTAAAGGATGCCGCACTCTCTAAAAACACTTTAAACGGAAAAACAGTTTCATTTTAATTAGTCAATTTCTTTCATTCATTTCCTTCTATTGAACGGGTTTGGTGCTGTTGACGTGATGTCATTGTTCGCTATGATTCATTTACTAATTAAATTAATTTCTTAATCGATGAGTTTCACTGACGTCAACAGGATATGAAAGCGATATTTTTTTTATTACTTTAGTGGAGCAGTGGGTCAATTTTCTGCCCATAAAAAGGCTGACCACTTCTTGGTACAATGTATGTGATATAACCCGCTAATGAAAAGTAGGGTATAGAATTGAGATATTATCTTTTGGCATTTGTAGTGCACCAACTACATTTTAATAACTAATATATTTGTGACTGTTGTTTTATTGTTTGTCGGGAGCCATGGTGGTTAAGTGAGTAAGATGATGGTTCGCTAGCCTGGAGGTCCAAGGTTCGATCCCGGTGTTGGCCGAAAAAGGTTCATCGTTATTTTCCGGCGTGGTACAGGACTGAGGGTCGGACAAAGACAGCTGTTCGAATTGGACGAAAAACTGAGGCTCTGTGTACACACTTGTGTGCACGTAAAAGATCCCTTGGCAATCCCTCGTAATTTGTTTTTATTTAGGGGTTTTAGCGTTATTCCTATTTATTTAAAGAAAACCAAATCTACTCTAGCGACGTGGTTTTCCCTTATCAGTGGTGCAAGACGGAGAGTCTGACAAGGAGAGCTGTCTAGTCGTTCGGATGGGATAAAAAAAACGAGGTCCCGTCTATACATTGTCATGCGCGTACAAATCCCATGACAGTTGGAATTCGATATAAGATTAGGCCATAGTGCCGCTGCCCGAGCAAAATTTCCCTCATAGCCACTGTATGGCGTATGCCCATCTTCATTAGCCCAGTAGGGCGTTAAACCCTATTTCATTTCATTGCCCGTCTTCATTATCCCAGTCGGACCAGAACAGTAGGACGTTTCTAACGGCAATAGTGAACCATGCAATATATTTTACTACAGAACGAATAAAATGGCAAAGCTCAGGTGTTGCTTCAACAAATCATTTTCTTTGAAATTAACCCCGGAGAAAGAAAACAGCCGACAGACTTAAAACCTAGTAAATTCTTCAGCTATCGTTACAAAGATAATATATGCCGATATTTCTTTTGTGCATATAAATACAAACAACAGCTCTCTGGTAAAAAAACAATTTCTCTTATCACCATTAACACAGACAACTTGATTAGTGATAAACGAGGGATCTAACAAAGTGAATCAATCAGAAGTGCACTAAACACATGCTCGAAACACAGATTATATGTCCGTAGGTAAGAAATTGGTCCTGTTATAGCGACCAGATAATAATGGTGTTATCTGGGAGGGAAGGGCCAACTGCTCGTCTTTTAGATTAACTAAGGTTAAAACCGTGTATCTCCTGCAGTATTTACCTTTCAATGGCATCTTTCACGTTGAATACAAAGTCTTAATTGTTCGTGTTTCAGATAAGAAATACAAAAAATATGTTTAATGGGTGTCGTAATGTTGGAAATCGTGTGATATTCTGCACTGATGTTAAAATTCGTGCGATATTCTGCATTAAACGGAATACAGATTTCTCGATTAAGTGTTAATATTTGGGCGAATTGATAAGTCATATATGTTAACGAACCACGAATGTGGACTATGGAGAATATTTTATTGGTTTACCCCAGGGTTCCCTTCTTGAACGTATTTTATTACGTCTAATTATTAATTAACACCCCAACTCAATCCGAAAAGTAAAAATATATGAGTATATTTGTGATAACATCTCCTTTGCCAGCCTGGTGATTTTCAGAAGGTTTATTTGAAAAACTATTACCCTTTGAAATGTTCTGAATATAAAAAGTCCATTTTAATCCAGTATCAATTTTAACCAAACCAGTCTGTTACACGACAGATGAAATGGGTTTAACGTCCACCCGACACAAACTAGGTAATTTCGGGACTAACACATGGTTCAATTTTATTTCAATAATTCGCTAGCGCGTAGGGGTCTTTAGCAGTGGAAGGAAACTGGAGAATCCACAGAAAACCCACGAGGTTGGAAGGCGACCCTACTCCTTGTCACGTACAACCTGGGAATCGAAACCACGCCAGTTGACTCAATGGCAGACCGTATGATACAGCGTGCACGTGCTAACCATTCGCCCCCCCCCCCCCATGGCTAATAAATACACAATGATAATAAATTGATCGAAATTAAATAAGGAGGTAAGTAAACGTAATCGTACTTAAGAAAATCTATTCAAATCCATCAAGTCAGTGCGCTTATTCACAGATTGAGAAAAGGATCGAAGTTCGATATAGCCAGGCACATTTAATCTTACCAGCAACCGCCAGCCCCTCCTAACAACAAGAACTCCCCGATTTAAACCTGTGGATTTACATATTAAATTGATATATGTAGTCCATTGAATGTACTCTTAGCTAAAGAAAAACGAACAACTTTATGAAAATTCTTTCGATTTTTCCCATTCCGCTATTGGATTTAGGCCCATGATTGCCCCATATGATCTTTTAGGAGCTGTATTTTATATTCGTTACAATATTAACAATTCTTGAAACATTTTCTTAGAAGACAGATTCTGAACTTAACAGTTATTCTGTGATTTGTTTAAAGGAGCTAAGTCTCTACCATCATAACAGTCGAAATTAAAAACACAAATTAGAATTCAATATTTGTCCATTTCAATCCACTTTGATGTTGTTATATTGCCGTGAAAATGTGGTAATATCCAATATTTAAGACACAGTGAACGTTTTAAAATACGGTACACGAGTCGTGTACCGTATCGTTTATGGCGCAAAATCAATGAAGAAAGAAAAAATACTATGCGACAGTAAATATAATAATGGCTGATTCAGAAATGATAGAATAATAATAATAATAAAAAAAACATTTAGAACGGACGAAGCAGGCGTAAACGACTGTCGTTCAGTTTGGACTGTTCCCGTATTTCACCGAACATAATTGATTAGAAATTACAATTTTTTAAAAAAAAAGAACTACACTCATTATACATTAATATGTGCTGTTAGAACCATATATGGTTTCAAAAAATAAAGCCATGCGCCCCTTAATTAAATCGTAATATGGTTTTACAGTAAAATAAGATGTGAATATATCAACTACTGGGGTATAGATGATCTGGCGACATGCTACAATATTCTATTGTTTGATTAAAATAAATATAAGAAAACAAACATAAATATTTTTAAATTAAGATATAAATATAAGAAAAGGGCATACCCTCGCTGTTGACAAGATAAAACTGTATAAAAACAAACTGGAACCACAGAAACAAGACTGTCATTTTGATACTTCGTATTTTCTCCGTCTTCTACTGTTTATACTGTTCAAAAAGATGAAATTTTCTTCTGCAATGTATCCAACAGTGAGAATGAATCTGTCACGCTGCGATTTAAGCCACTTCTTTTATTTCCTGTGCACTCTCATTAAAATGGCTAAAATAGCGACTACACATATCTGTACTTGAACTCCAGCTATAGTCGACGTCTTTTCACGACGTCCAAATCTCATACAGTTGAAGAAAGAAAACTAAAGGAGGTTTTCCTGTAACTTAAAACCCCCCAATCATGTTTGTGTCACAAAAAATAGTGAACGCAAACGTTTGCTAAAACTTGTGAAGTTAACTGACTCACTTTGCGCTACTCCAAAAAAAAAATCATCAACAAAGAACGTACTATTTATTTCATTTTTATTTGAAAAAAAAGAATCCCCGAGAATGCTGAGAATAAACGGTTTGTTTTGTCGCTGCTGATAGGGTTCTGGCTCATGCGCTGTGAATTGCTACAGTCGTTTCTCACAATGCACCCCCTTGTAGAAACTGGTAAGCTCGTGTCATGATGTGCAAATAATGAAACTGTTTCCCCAGTTCATCAAGTTCCAGTGATGTATGGTTTCGTGCCACTGCTGTAGACCGCGCTTTTAACTGCAGTAAAGATCTTGAGTGGGAAGAAAGATCATTTAAAACACAATATCCTCATGTTTCATTAGTCGTCAGAAACATGGAAACACTTTTATACTGTATTTTCATTTCTTTAAAATCTGTATTAGCTTTTAGAATTTGTTTACATAATATTTTTTTGTTTAATCCTTTAATTCAAATTAAATCTGAAACGGCTCTATTCTGTTTCTAAATGATATTTCTACATATGGAAATAATGACTTTTCATTTTGTTATTTTTGCAACTGGAGTCTAGTTGTAGCCTAATAATGCAGGTGTTTAACTCGCTACGTCAAAGTTTTTACACGTTTCTGTTTGAAAGATGGTGTGAGCCACCGTGGCTCAGTGCGAAAGACGCTAGCTTATACTAGGACGGAGCCACCGTGGCTAGGTGGGTTACGCTGGCTCACTAGCCTGGACAGTTAACTAGTCGTTCGGATGGTACGAAAAACCGAGGTCCCGTGTATATTGGCGTGCACGTAAAAGGTCCCGTGACAGTTGGAATTCGATATAAGAGTAGGCCATTATAGTGCCGCTTCCCGTCTTCATTAGCCCAGTCGGAGGAAAACATTGGCCGAGAAAGTTCATCGGGATATTCCGACTTGGTGTCCCATTATCAGTGGTTCCTGACGGAGGGCCTGACCTAGTTCCCGTGTGCACGTTGACGTGCTCGTAAAATAATCCTTTACAGTTGGAATTCAGTTGCTGCCAGGGCAAAATTGCTCCCATAGCACACAGTATGGCGTATGACCGTCTTCATTATCCCGGTTGGTGCAGAAAAGTAGGACGTTGATATTCCATTCTTTAAATACATTGAAAGGTGGTGAGTTCTGTTCCTTGGATGTATTCGTTGATAATTCATTCATTAAATACATTGAAAGGTGGTTAGTTCGGTTCGACATATAGAATTAGCTATATACCGATCACAATTCTATGGAATACAATTAAACTCAGCAATAAGCAATAATTGTATTCTATAGAATCTCAATAATAAGCAGTAATCGCATTCCATGGGAGCTCCGTAATAATCCGTAATTGTATTCTATAGAAGTTCAGTAAAGCAGTAATTGTATCTTATAGAAGCTCCGTAATAAGCAGTAATTGTATCTTATAGAAGCTCCGTAATAAGCAGTAATTTTATCTTATAGAAGCTCCGTAATAAGCAGTAATTGTATTCTATAGAAGCTTCGTAATAAGCAGTAATTGTATTCTATAGAAGCTTCGTAATAAGCAGTAATTGTATTCTATAGAAGCTCCGTAATAAGCAGTAACTGCATTCCATAGAACTGTGACCTGTTTATTCCAGTTCAATTACTAAATGCCATTAAAGCAATTGATAGTATTAAACGAATCTTCCTTTTCAACAGAAAGCCAGAATAGTTCGGTATGTATAGCGCTAATATTAACAAACCACATAGTACCACATCTATTTTTTTCAGTCAAGTTTCCCCTTGTCGCGGGTCAAAGAAGGGGGAGGGGGGAGGGCAATAAGTAAAGGTTACGAAAAACCAGGTATACGTTGGCGTGCACGTAAAAGAATCCTTGGAAGTTGGAATTATTGCATAAAGTTATCCCGGTTGATGAGGAAAGGTACGAAGTTAAATACAAATCCATTTTCTTTTTTAAAGAAAAACTTTAATTTTAACGTATGGTGGTGTACCTTTAAATCTTTTGGTATTAACAACAGCCTCAATAACACATGGCCTGACTAAACTACATGTATACAGAGGGGGGTTGGATGGCCGAATGGTTAGCACGTGCGCACTGTTTCATAAGGTCTGTCATTGAGTCAACTGGCATGGTTTTGATTCCCGGGTTGTCTGTGACAAGGAATAGGGTCGCCTGTCCAACCCCGTGGGTTTTCCCCGGGTGCTCCGGTTTCCTCCAACTGCTAAAGACCCCTATGCGCAAGCGAATTTTTGAAATAAAATTAAACCATGTTAGTCCCGAAATGACCTAGTTCGTGTCAAGTGGACGTTAAACCACATTTTTCTCTCTCACACATGTATACTGACAGATCCCTGATAATGTATAGAAGCTATTCTTCTACAGACTATTTAGTTTCGTCTTTAAGGTCGACCCATCTTCATTAGCCCAGTCGGACGTTAAACCCAATTTTATTTAATTTTCACTTTAAGATCAAGTTTTTCCTTTGTGACATGTTTCAGGTTAGAGACAGTGCAGTTACCATAATCAAAGATATTTCCGCTACGTATATGAATACTTGAAGGCCGTTTTCATCATCAGACCTCTTTTAAATAAAACACAGCACTGCTTTATTTAACTAAAAATAAAATAAACTCTCACTATATCTCAAAAATAGTTAATTTTATTCCAAATGTAATTTATACATCAGAAACAAGAAACCAACAGTGAATATATACAATGGCTTACTAAAACAACAACAATATATAATAGTGAAGACAGGCACCTGTAATCAGCATCACTCCACTACAGGTAGCATGCTACAATACAGGTACAACAGGTAGTAAAAGGCCAGACCAATTTCATTTTCAGTTACTTGATAAATACATAGCCACCCACGCGAGAGATGTTTTTTGGGGGGAATTTCAAAACTTAAAAATTTGGAACTGAAAGCTTTTGAACAGTATTATCAAGTACTTTTGGTTATTAATTAGTCTTTTACCTGAAGAAATAACAAGGTATTTTTGTTACAGGTGTTCTGGAAGAAGAGGAAATAAACAAGAGCATCGCTAACGCTGCAATATACGTCCACATTCCAGCTTTGATTGATATGGTACTTTTTAAAATGAAGAAAATGAAATATGAAATGGCTGTAATATGATCAGAGGCAAAGAAGGCTAGGCGTCGGGTTTGTTTTGCCAAATTTACAGACAAAATACTAACAGTAAAGTGGGTGTGACACTGCCCCAAGAGGTCCGGGCAAGTATCAAAATAAATTGTTGCTGTCTTTATGGTATAAGGAATAAATATGCAAAGTTCCAAGATGATTCAGAATTGCAGCCTGTAGACGATAAATACAAAAACTGGGCGTGGCTCTGCCCATGGGGGTTGGATATGGAAACAATATAAACAGGTACCATCCTGTTATTGAAATGGCAACATCACTAGTTGCCGTCCTTAGGGTATAAGGAATAAGTACACCAAGTTCCAAAATAATCCATTCAGAATTGTGGCCTTTGGGCGTTAAAGGCAAAAATTGGGCGTTGCTCTGCCCCTGGGCGTTGGGGCATTCACCAAAATCAATAGTTGATGCCCTTAGGCTATAAGGAATACATATGCCAAATACCAAGTTGATCCATCCAGAATTCGGGCCTGTAAACGATAAACATAAAAATTGGGCATGACTGCCCCTGGGGGTCGTGACATGCAGTTGTCGTCCTTAGGCTATAAGGAAAACATATCCCAAGTTCAAAGACAATCCATTAGGAATCGTGGCCTGTAGGCAACTCACAGAGACACAAAGAAAAAATGGGTGTGGCTCTGCCCCTGGGGGTTGGGCAATCACCAAAAAAATAGAGGTCAGCCTTGGGGTATAATGTATAAGTATAAAAAAGTTTTCAAGATGATCGATTAAGCATTGCAGGCTGTAGGTGACATACAGACACACAAAAAGAAAATGGGTGTGGCTCTGTCCCTGGGGGCTGGGCATTCACCACAAACAATAGGGATGTTCCTTAGGATAGAAGGAGTAAGCATGCAAAGTTTCAAGGTGATACGTTACGAAATGCGGTCTGTAGATAACAAACAATGAATATAAGAAATGGGCGTGGCTCTGCCACTGGGGGTCGGACATGCACCAAGAACAATAGGGATCATCCTTAGGGTATAAGGAATTCATATGAAATTTTTTCAAGACGGTCGATTAAGAATTGTGGCCTGTAGGCGACACACAGACACACAAAGAGAAAATGGGCGTGGCTCTGCCCCTGGGGGTTGGGCATGCACCCCAAACGATAGGGGTGTTCCTTAGGGTACAAAGAAAAAGTATGCAAAGTTTCAATATGATGCGTTAAGAAATGCGGCCTGTAGACGACAAACAAACAAATACAAGAAATGGGCGTGGCTCTGCCCCTGGGGATCGGGCATGCACCAAAAACAATAGGGATCATCCTTAGGGTATAAGGAATAAGTATGTAAAGATTCAAGATGATAACTTAAGAATTGTGGCCTGTAGGCGACACACAGACACACAAAAAAAAAATGGGCGTGGCTCTGCCCCTGGGGGTTGGGCATGCACCCCAAACGATAGGGATGTTCCTTAGGGTACAAAGAATAAGTAAGAAATGTGTTAAGAAATGTGGCCTGTAGACGACAAACAAACAAATACAAGAAATGGGCGTGGCTCTGCCCCTGGGGGTCGGGCATGCACCAAAAACAATAGGGATCTTCCTTGGGGTATAAGGAATAAGTATACCAAGTTTGAAGAAAATCCATGAAGAATTGCGCCCTGTAGGCGAACCACAGACACACACACACACACACACACATACATACATACACACACACACACACACAGACAGGGGCGACGGCATAATACGTTCACATTATGAATGTGGACGTATAAAAAGGTGTGTGGCCCAAGTATGTGCAAATATATGTATAACAGCTAAAGAACAATTTCCACTGACATCAAACAAATAAACAATATATCCAGTGATACTACCTCTCAAATCTAACAAAATATTGATCACTCCAACAACAGTACATGTATTATCAAATTGGAATAAAACTTGTCTTTCAGTTGAGTGATTTGTTTCTCTTCTTAATATGAATAACATATATGGGCTCTTCTTTGATTTTTCATGAAGTTGTGGCCATTTTACAAGTGTTTTAAGACAATAATAAGACTAACACGACTAATAACTAATGCTTAGTGAAACTGAATTTGTTTACACTATTAGATATTATCATGTATAACAAAACACATATAATATACAACATTAAGAAAGGTGAAGATATAAAACTTGTTGGTAACAAGTCTCGTCATTTGTATATCTTAGGCCAAACCAATTTAATCTTCAGTTCTTCAGGGTCTTGATAATAAATAGAGAGAAATAGGGTTTAATGTCAACTCGACACAAATTAGGTCATTTTGGGAGTAAAGTATGGTTCAATTTTATTTCAATAATTCACATGCATGTAGGGGTCTTTAGCAGTGGGTGGAAATCGGAGGACCCGGAGAAAGCCCGTGAGGTTGGATAGGCAACCCTACTCCGTGTCACGTACAACCGGGGAATCGAAACCATGCCGGTTGACTCAATGATAGACCTAATGATACAACATTCACACGCTAATCATTCGGCCATCCAACACCCAAAAGCTATTGAACAGTGCATCCAAGTACTTTGGATTTTTAAGTTAATCTTTTTCCTTTAAGAAATAAGAAGCCATATTTAAACAGGAGTTGCGGAAGAACAGAAGTTCAAATTGGTATTGCCTTATGGTGAAATTATAGTTTGATTCATAATTACAAAAATAGACAAATATTTTACTTATGAATGAAGCAATTATAAATTAAATCTATCGCTGAATTAGAGATTAATAATAAATGCTTTAATAAATCATTTCTCGGATAATAAATAATAAAAATATGTAATAATTTGTAAAATAACAATAATACATGATATCTCAATAATACAACTATCCAGCATTGTAATCATATTTCTAGTTGATAAATATTATCAACAATATTATTAAATCATTATTAGATATAGGGCATTTATAATATTTAGCAATATCATATCAGTCATAAAGCCTGTATCATAGCATTATAACAGTATAGGACCTGTATAATATTTAGTAATATCAGTTAGAAAGCCTGTATCATAACATTACATCATTTGTTATATACATTTTTTTACATATGAAAATTAGGAATTGAACTGTATTTATAGTGTTTCAGATTAAATTCTTTTTGCATGGCATGTTATCATGTAAATTCACTAGGACTGAAGTTCCCAAAATGGTTAATCCCAATGTCAGTGAGTCACGACAGGCGAATATGATTGAAAACGAGAGCTTTGGTATATAAAAAATGATTTGAATATCATGGTTCATGTACCATGTATGAAGCCTTGAAGTCAAGGGATATTGAATAATAAAAGACATCCCAAAATTTCTTAAAATACTTTTATAAAATAAATTGGATGACAGCCCACACTACAATCTAGATATTAATGTATGAACTATGAACCCTTGAAGTCGAGGCTTATTGAATGATAAAAGCTATCCCAAAATTTCTAAAAATACTTTTATAAAAGGATTGGATGACACCCCACCCTACAATCTATTAATACTTAATAAACTTCAAATCCTGGTTCATGTACCAAATTTGAAACCTTGAAGGGAGTGGAAAAGCAGGCAGTTTAGCGATATGGCTAAATCTAATTGTTAAGGCCAGCTCAATTTTTGTCAAGGTCCTTAAGTTTTAAAAAAAGTTGGGGCAGGTGATTGTTGGCGAGATTGTAGGTTAGGGTAAGCATTGGGGCTAGGTACAGGGTTAGGGTTCAGGTTGGGATTAGCACTAGCCATTTACAGCTTTTGACATACATGTATGACGAAAAATTGAGCTGGCCTTATCGTTTAGCACTAACCCTAGCGATATTGTAAAGTGAAAGTTTAATGGACTGTATACCTCTAAATACATGTACTAAAATAGAAAGTTATATATGAGATACAAGTAGAATGAAGTAGTGAATAATCAACCTAATTAGATATACACTCCATTAAATTATATGATTGTAATCATGATACATACAACTTTACATCCAGTTAAAAATATCCCACATATAAAATTACATCTTGATCAAATGGCCTCTGTGATACAATTGAAAATAAAAGTAGACAAGTTTCCACTTCGTTTTGTCATTCGATAACTAAATAAATCCTTAACAAATTTTACAATGTAACTAAAATTCTTGTTGAAATAATACATGGTACTTTTATTTTTATATAAGATAACATGTATCAATTCACCATAAAGGCTGATTAGGAGTTGGAATTTTAAGTACATGGACGACTCGACAAACCTAAAGGGAGATAATTCTTCTATAATGGATTCAGACCAATATTAACTTCCCCACTGACTTTAATTTTAATTTTTGCCCCCTCCCCCCTCGGCTTCCAACATTGCCACCTTGATTTCCACTATGCTGAACATTCTCCACCACAGACGGAGCTTGTATTAAGTTGACCATTAAAGGAACTATATTTCTGGGTAATGAGGTGGGGAAATGAATTGGTGGTATGCCTCCTAAAGACTAAACAATTACATTTGGAGAAAATCATGACAGGCCATATAAAAAAAAATATACCGTTTCTCAGATAATCCTGAGTCACTTCAAAAGGGCTGCATGTTCTGTCTTTATTTCAAAAAATGAGAATATATTCTATCCTGGTTACAGGAAGTAAATCCATATACTATTTGAATGAATCCATAGGCTCATTTATCCAGTACACAACCCCTGCACCCCCTAAATCAGATATTTTTTTTGTTTGGCTTTACCGGTTATTCAAATTGTTTTCAGATCAGAAATGCTGTTTATGATTTTGTTTGTTTACCCCCCTTACATTGTAAGTTCATATTTACAATTAAAATCACAAAAATCAAAACAATTACATCTTGTTTTATTTACAAACCCTCCTCAAGTAATAACTCCCAGGTATTTCACAGATCTTGTTGTACTGGGTTCGCAATCTTATTGTCGCTCATCGTGTTCACAATTTCCAGATTAGGAATATCCGCTGCCACTGGATTTTTGATCATTTGATTGTCTGATAAATCTCCGATTGATACTTCTAACGGAGTATTGATAACTTCGTTAATATTGCCTGTCACTTCATTAGTTTCATTGATCTCCATATTTTCAACAAACTGTTCAAACTGAGCAGTTTCCACCTTGCCAGCGACCAGGATAGGATTTACTGCAGGTGATTTTTCTTCCCAGGGTGTATTAGGACGAACGGATACACCATACGGATCATCATCTGTGGCTTCAGATTCAGAATTAAATAACAAACTTCTTGATTTACCTGTAATGGAAGAAATGAATTATATTTTAATTTAATGTTATAGGGTATTATTTAAATATCATTACCAGTGAACAATAGCACACAGTGTCATTTTGCAACCGGAGCCAGTACACAGAGCATACTCTTTCTCCTACATGTACATTCATCACAATAACCTTGAGCAGAAATATTGTAAAATTTCCGACTAATTCCCACCTCCCCCCCCCCACCTCCCGACTTCAAAGAACAACTGGTCTCCCTACCTGCTCAAATTCCTGAACACGCTGGCGGCTCACTAACCAGAAGGTCCCGAATTTGATCCAAGTCCAGGATTATCCAGTCGGATTTCCCCTTGTCAGATGTGCAGGAGGGAGGTTCTAGCAAAGAACAGTGTCTAGTCATTTGGATGGGATGTAAAACCTAGGTTCAGAGTACATGTTGGCGTGCACGTAAAAGACCCATTGACAGTCGGAATTTGACAGAAACGCTAATGTCGGGGCACAACTTCCCTCAGCGTCAACTAACTGTATGTCTTTTGTTCATCTTCATTAACCCATTAAGTGCGTAGGTCGTTATATTACGTCCTGGACAACTGCCACTCACTGTGTGTAGGGCGTAATATAACGCCATGGAGGTATTTTCCCCAACCTATTCTTAGAACATAGTTCGTCACTTGGGGGAATACCTTGGGCATTCCCCGACGATCGCAGCATGTGTAGGACGTTATATTACGTCCTGGACAACTGCCACTCACTGTGTGTAGGGTGTAATATAACACCTTGGAGGTATTTTCCCCAACCTATTCTTAGAACATAGTACATAGTTCTTCGTCACTTCGTCAAATTAATTACACAATAGGGGACCGTAGTTAACGTTTTAAAAACGTCACGCTTAACGGGTTAACACAGTAGGTGCAGAAAAGCAAGACGTTTCTGTATATTTTTTTAAATACCAGTATTTGTATTGTTCAGTCAGTCTACTGTAGGCCTTTATAGACTACATGTATTTTTTGTATATATTATATAAAACAGTCATTTAGTGTTTATTATAAATAACAATATTGCCTACCTGGCATAACAATACTTTTAGGATGTTCGGATGATAATGATCTGCTTCCAAGAGGACTGAAGTTTGGCACCACCAAAAGCGCAAATGATAATAATAAAACCTGAAAAGTAGTAAAAATAAAACCTGAATTATAATTAATAAAAAAAGTTTTCTATTAAAATTTTCAGTAATTAATGTTTATTACTTGTTCTATACATAATCTTTGAGTGACATTTAGCGATCAGGAAACCCATCAATACATCCACCCAAAGAGTTGGCAATTTCTCAAATGCAAAAATTTTGTTAAAGAGGAGTTTGTTAGAAAAGTTTTCTGTTGTGTTCTCTCCAGGGTGGTAACACATTAATTTGATTAAGACTAATTTATGAAGACTATCTAAACTAAATTTTCACTATTTATTTGATGTCAATTAAACAATTAAAATAATGGAATTTGATCATTTTTTGTTCTTTAGGAAAATATGAAAAAAATTATAATATTAATGAATTCAATGAAATCATCCAATATTGAAAACTAAACAATCCTCAGTTCAAAAATTGATCATTTCAACTAAGTTGAACATTCAAATAGCTTTCAAATAATGTCTTAGAATATTCAAATAGTAAAATCCCTATTCGGCCAAAGGTCTCTATAAATAAAATGAGGCCAATTACCATAATACAAGTTGTCGTTTGAGCGGGTTTTGTTTTAGAAGTAATAAGAGCCTGAAGTTTCTTCAACTGGGACATCATTGATATATTTTGTTTTTCCAGGTTTTCAATTTTTTTCTGTAATTGTGAGTTCTCCACTGTACATAGCTTCACTCTTTGTTCCAGGCCTTCGACGTATTCTCCTTTTCGTTTACGACTCTCTTTAGCTGAGACTTTGTTTCGTATTTTTCGACGAATGGATCTTAACTGTTTTTCTTCCTCTTTCGTGAGTGGCATATTTGTAGGTAGTGTAATATTTTCTCGGGATAATAATTCCTTTTCTTCATCTGTTAGTCTTAATAATGGAAACTGAAAGATTAAAAAAAAAGATACAATGCATTAAACAAGAGCTAAATTGCCAATTGCAGGTCTTTCTTTAGGCCTAAAATGTTATATGTATATAATTTATAAACTATTAATTAGACATTTATTAACAAAACAAGACCATAATCAACTCTCGATGGCATCTGATACTCGAGATTTTAACTAGATTAGAACAGTTCGCCACTTAAAAATTTAATTTAAAAATGGGAAAGTGAGGTTAAGTCTTGAATATACCAGTCCCCTGGTTACCACTGTGCACACATCTTGTCAAAACTACAGTGATAACTTGGCTCAGAATGAAGTAATTTGAATTAAATTTTAAACATTTTCATTTTACGTTATCTATTTTTGAGCTATAATTAATAGCAAGAATAGTCAGCCATTTATCTAAATCTTACATAATGTATCTTTAATACATAGGGTATACATTGTGTGATAATTTGTGCCTGACAAAGCCTATGACAGGTGCCCCATATGCAGGCTTGTATACATGTATAATACAATTCTACAACCACAGAATGTACTATTCGATATGAATAAACTAGCATACCTGAGATAATGAAGAACTTGTGACCTCTGGACTAACATCTTTCATAGTAAAAGGTAGACTATCAGACGATGATGATGTTGTATGATAAGTATGTATCTGTACTGTTTTAGTTGTTGGACATGTGTCAACATCTATAGCTGAGCTGCTGGGTGTAGTAGAACACACGGATGTTAAAGGTAAATCTGTAATAATTATAATAACCATATTAAATTAACACTTTCTCACGGCTTAATAATCCATGCCCAATCTGATTAAAACAGAGATCCAATTTCGTTTCGCTTTTATAGTTCAAAATTTCGATTTTACTTGTCTTTACTACACTTGGATCTGGAAGCGTTGTTATTTAACTCGTGTTCTGCTTGAAATGAGGAGTCAGCCAATCAAATGGTCTGTCGAATCGAGCGTTTGACCTTTTTTGCACGGAACTGTGGGTAGACATGAGCGGCAATAGAAATCAAAACAAACCAAAAGTAGATAAAAAATACATGGCGGTTGCTAATTGGTTAATTGAATGACTGACGTAATCGGGTCAAATGTCGCTTGCTTGGTACCTGACGTCATAGAACGTGAACTCCCACTATAACTTGTTAGATCTATATGTAGTGTAGGCCATCGAAAGTATAAAAAACGAAACGAAATATAGATCTATATTTTAATTAGATTGATCCACGCCAATACATGTACATGTACTTGGATTGAGTAATTAACAATCTGATTTTTTATACTTTCGATGGCCTCTACTACAAATGTATGTACATAAAGATCTGGCCAGTTGTAATTGGAGGTCGCGTCAGGGGCCATATGAGTGGCTTTTGATCCTATGACGTCAGACATTTGATTAACCAATCAGCGTTTATGTTTCTAGTAGGAAACCCACAATTCCGTGCATCGCACGCCAAGAACTTGATGTAACAGACCGCTCTGTGCTGCACAACCAACAAGGGGGAAAGAATCATGTCGTAATATCCTGATGAATCTTTGCGCTATCACTGAGATCAAACATGGGACCTCCAGGTCTTCCTCACTGAGCCACCACCTCTCCCCAATATCTTGAAAGCTTACCATTAAAATCAATGGAAACTGTATCCTTTCCATCTGATGTGCTGCTTGTTGGTTGAAAATCAAAATTCTCAATGTAACCTGAAGAATTTACTCCATTAAAATTCACATTAATGTCCTTTAAATTAATATCCTCCAAACCAAATGGTGAGAAATCATAGTCCATAACAACAGAATTAGAAGGGGAATGCTGGGAAACGGGCGATCTAGAGAGCTGTTCTTCGATCAGCATCACCTCTGATTGGTCACCAGAAGAACCACGTGGAGAATCACCCATGGATTCTAAAGATATTCCACTGTCACTGTTATTTCCCGGGGATTTTTGAGCAAAGTAATCATGGTCAGCTTGTACTTGTTTAGCAACCGATTTATCGACTGCGGTTTCTTCTGCACTGTTTAAAACAGAACCATTCAGTAAGGTGCTGAATATATCATCTGATAGAATGTCTAAATCGGCCTGAAAGAGAGAAAACAAAAAAAAACTTGTAAGATTCGTTAATATATTGAAAACATGCTGACATTTAATATCAACCAAACCGAATCATTGTACTTTACTTTTTACTATCCCTGCACTGGCCGAGAAAGTTCATCAGGATTTTCTGACGGGGTTTCCTCTTGTCAGTGGTTCAGGATGAGGGCCTCACAAGGACAGCTGTCTAGTCGTTCGGATGGGACAAAAACCGAGGTGCTGTGTATACATTGGGGTGCACGTAAAAGATCCCTTCCTTGGCAGTTGGAATTTTATATATAAGTAGCCCATAGTGCCGCTGTCCAGGCAAAATTTCTCTCATAGCACACTGTATGACACTTTGTACATGAATTTAGGATTCTTATAAGGCTACAGCTACAATATACATAATTTTGTCTTGAATAAAATAAAAGTAAATCATTTTTCAATGTTCATGTCAGTTACAATACAACTTTTAAGCTCAACAGGATAAGTGTGATTGAGATACCAAGTTTACTGTAATCCGTCCATGTACAATACATAAACAGGTAATATATACACAAGGTCTTGACTACAAACTAGTACAAAGTTACGGAAATTGATGCACTTTCAAAAAAACTGTAACGTATTCATATATTCTAAAAGATTTTACATGATTTGAATACTAACGTTTACATCATCCCAAAATGAGCAATCCCAATCCTCCACAACACTGAAAGATTCTAACTCTGGAAAAATAACTCTGTCACTAGCGAGAGTGGCCATTATTGTAACAGAAGACGAATACTTAAATCACGTAGGTTACATGTACCAACACCGACCACAATTAGACTGAGATGATTTTGAAGTCTTGAAATTTTTCTATTTGTAGCAAGTCTTTATACATAATGTATGCGTGTTTCGGCCTTCGTGTACCGGTTATTTGGTTTCAAAATATATCTTTTGATAGAGTGTAAAGTTAAAATAATGTTCATAATTATTCAATGATTACAATAATCAATTATTTTCTATGTGGGTCGAATCGTTATTATTCGAACAGCTGTCACTTCTGATTGTTCAACTGATAAAACTATCAAAACACAATAAAAGTTGATCGATTTTCATAAACTACATGACAGCCATCATACAATGTACATCAACATGTATAGGCCTACTACTTGTACTAATAAAGATAAATTATATAAATACACGTCTTCATTCCACCAGTTCCAAAAAATTATGCCATTCTCACTGGAGAAATAGGCACGTGTACACTACAAATTCATCGTGGCATCACATGATATGACTAAGTATCACTCGACGTAGCAGATATTGCGTCGACTACTATGAATTTACGTAGTTGCACACTTACCAAATCAAATAGTTTCAAATCGTCCAAGTTGTCTTCTTTTTCGTGGAAAGGCGAGAATACTTCGGGTTGAGATTTATTTGTTGTTGGAAGAAATTCTGAAGTAAGGACGCCATCATTTTGATCAAATAAAAGGTCTAAAACCTGAGAAGAGGGGGTAGACCCCGACATCTTTTTGCAGAGTTAATTGTCTTCGACGCAGTAATGAAAACGCCAGCTGATAAAACGTGGAGTTTACAACATCAGCAAAGACACGTCACTTGTCAAAACACGACTGCTTCTTCCAATCAACAATTTGTATGGTGTAAGTTCCGGTTTGTTTTGACAACGAGATCAGGCACAAAATAAACATAAGCGTTGAAATAGCGTTTTCAAAATTTCATTAAACTGCTAAATGTATTAGCATGCTATATAATTTTGACTGTCAAGATAGCTAATCTTTAGATTTCAACCGTTTTGCAGAACATCAAGTCTTACTAAATGTCTATTTTTAGAACCAGCGTCATATACACAGATGACGTGGAAGTAGGTCAAATCTAAATGATGAAATTGTAAACTTCCGTACTACTCGAACATCTAGTCTTAATAGGGATGCAGTTATTACCCGAGACTTCACAAACTTCCCGCATTAATTTTCAATACTAACTTGTTATAAGAACAAAATTGTTGATGAACAGTTGTAATTATGTTCTTCTAATAGTATTTGGTATTAAATAGGTGATGTATAAGTTGTCGTTTTAATTTGTCAAATTGCTTCGTAAATGCTCGTGGCGAAAGTAGTGAGTGGTGATTTTAGAGTCTGGATAATCACACATCACGCGGCAAAAATAGCTATATATTAAGATGTAACCCGGAATAGAACCGAAACAATTATCTAATTGTTGTGGCTCCATAGACGCACTAATTAATGAATTTAGTATTATCCGCAATATCAGAGCATTTGCTTGTATGGATATTCACAAATATGCATTTTACTTTCCCACAACCGTTCCATTTTTATCGTTGAACGTCAACACACATCCTAGTACAAATTTTAGACCCAACAAAATTTTTCGAGCACCCAAATCAAACCAAAACAAAAGTTGTGTGGCAGGACTGACGAAGTTGAAATGTAGCTATTCCGTATTGGTAGGCCTAGATTATTGGGCTTCCGCCCTAACAGTATGGCAGAACATGGTAGCGTAATCGGTCTGTTCAACGACCTGTGCAAACTTCATTTAAAACACAAACCGAGAGCTTATTTAGTACAGCCAAAATCAAGCAAGGAACACGACTATAATTCATTTAGACGAAAGCTTTATAACACACTCTTTGATTCTCTGAAAGACTTGAAGGGAAAACAGAAGCTGCGTAATCAGCCCGTGTGTAAGGAGGTGGAAACTGTTTTGTGCTATGCATTTAATTTACGGTTACAAAGACGTTTTGACGACGCAAGTAGACTTGACCAATTGTTAGAAAAAGTGCTAAAAATAAATAAAGATTCCCCAAATTGTGAGATTCTTTCAGTTCTAACATTTATCACAAATTTAACTGACAGTAGACGAGATAGAAAGAGTTCTGATGCCTCTGTTATAGGTTACAGTCGGAAGAAAGTGCCAATTGTTTATGCAGATTGTGAAAACAAAGTTAGTTTGCCCGACGGTCCACGGTATTATGGGGACAGCCAGATGCCACAGCATGATAGTCAGTGGTACATGCATTATCCTTGTCATATCTTTGAAACTAAAGGCATCATTTTAAAAAGTACCGAAGAAGAAAAGAAAAATATATTTGAGTTAACACCTGGATCGAGTTTATCTGGGAATGGCTTGTTCAATGTGAAGGGCTGTATGAATGATGAATACGAAAGGACCAACACCCAAACATTATTCGGTGCTTTAGTTCAATCTCAGACTACCTCTTTAGATGTTAAGCTAGAAATTCCAGACTTCACAGAGGATGGATATATTCCAGAAATCAAAATACCCAAAACAATTTCTTCCAGCCAGTTGTCAGAGGATGAAGGCTTTGTGGAGACAAAGTCAGAAATTTCTTCTTCCACAACGTCCCTCGGGGGTTCATTTTATGAAGATGACAATATTTGGGAAAAGGCCCTGCACCACACCTTGAACAAACACTATACATGGGAACGGGTAGGCCTTGAAGCAGGAGCAACCGAACAGCCCTATTTAACAGAAGCTGGACCAGAAACATGCGATAAATTATGGCTGTACAAAACTCAGCAAATTAGCTTGCTCTTCAAAGAACCGACAGGGTTTCATAGAAAAGAAATAAGTCAACAAGAGATGGCCAAAGATGTCTTAAACCTCATGATTGGTGTTCAATCTACTACATTTATAGCTGACGAAAATAACAATAGTTTCCACTTTAAGCCTGGCGTATATGTGAGTGGTTTTACATCAGAGGCACTGGAAAGTTTTTTGTCAGAGTTTATTGACTGTGGGACAACTTACAAGCAATTAGAATCCTTCTCAAAACCACTAACGATCGACTCTTTCTATGAAGCTGGTCTAGTCTTCCAAGCATTTACTACTGCAATTAGGAAAGTTCTCCAGTATTACCGCGGCATAGTGCTGAATATGTCACAAGACTCCACCCTTATGGAAATCAAGTATATGTGTCATAAAATTCTTAATCAGCAGGATTATCTTTTAAAACTTTGCCAATATAGAGCTTACAGTTCTGACAACGCAAAATTCCCAAAGGGTATTGAACTTATTAGTTATTTGTACCAAGAAACACTGGAAGTCAACTGCACAGATACTTATCCTGTGATGCTCTCAATTTTGCAAACGACGTGTGCACCCTTCACCATCTTCCTTCAAAATTGGGTGTTTCATGGAATATTTCAGGATTTATATGGAGAATTCACTATTCAGGTTAACCACCAGCTTTTAGAGTCTAGAGATCGCCAGTACTGGACAAGCAGCTACACCATGACTTCCAAGAATATCGAAGATTGTGTTCCAATATTTCTTAGCAGTATGGCCAGCGATATTATCAACTGTGGTAAAACCCTGAACCTTTTAAAATTGTGTTACCCTGACCATTTTATGTGTAACATAAGCGATCAAGAGTTGCCCAGAGTCACGATCACCTTCTCCGAGGATGAATTGAGAGCTATCCATATATCAAGTGAGATGTACATAAGTCGTATGAAACAGATTGCCAGACAAGTTACGTTGTCGCGGAAAGAAAATCAGAGGCGAATAGAACAGGCTAAGCAAGATATGATAGGAAAAGCAAACACATTAGCAACAAAAGAGATGATTCGAATGCAAACTATTATCATGGATCAGAAGAAAGCAGAAGACACGAGGAAGAGACAAGAGTTTCAAAGACTCAAGGATCAAATGAAAGAGGATTTACAACGCAGAGCAACAACAATTGAAGACACTAAAGCCGATGATAAGCAATATATGGATGCATTCACCAAACGAGAGGCCGCTATGACAGAAGAGGAAAAGATTTTAGAAGAACAAGCAAGACAAGAAGTTATCGCGCATTATGCTGAACTCAGCGAAGAAGCTAGTAGAAGGGAACAGAAAGCTCTGTGGAAAGTTCGTAGAGCTAGACTAGATCTTAAAAGAACACAGTTCTTGATTGACGATGTTGACTTTTGGGAGAAAGAAATGGTTGACAATGAAGAGGCACGCAGTATTTTGAAGGACACAGGTGTTGAACTACCACAATGGGCTAAGACTAGCACACATTCGTCAATCGAATCAATCGAACCAAGGTCAAAGTGGAACGACAGACCTAAGATAGAAACTGTTTCAGAAGAACATGTAGAACATACTGAAGACGCTAATGTTGAGATCTTTAAAGAGGAGCATGAAGATGTGGATGCGGGTGACAAATTAAGCGACGTTTTATTTAATGGTAATATAACTGGAATCGTAGAAGAAAGTTCAAGTCAAAGTGTACCGGACAACGATTTTACTGTTGATGGAATCAGCTCTGAGAACAATGTTACATATACCACTGATGCAGATACAAAGGATATTTGCAAGGAAAGCGAATTGGAAATCCCCATTCCCTTAGACGATAAGCTAGATACACCGTCAGCAACAACACCTGTTAAAACATCGGTTAAATTGAACGAATCGATTTCTGCTACGTCAGAATCCGAACCAAGCCCTGAAAAGTATCATGTTCAACTGTCTGAAACAGCTAGCGCTACCAAAGAAACAACCGAATTTAAAGAAGCCAATCCAGCAATAAAGATGGTTTCTGATAAACACACTTCTTTGGAAACTGTGGAAGAGGAAACCCAGAAAGCCTCGGTAAAGATGGTTGATGAGAAACATTCTAGCAAAGAGTCAAAATCGGTTGAAGAAAAGTCACAGATTAGAACAAACCCAAATTTCCACCCTTCGATCGAAACGGATATCAGTGACGAAAACCCTGTTAAGAAACTGATGCCTGGTGCTCGTCATGCTTCAGACGAAACTCAACAAAAGGAATGGAAAGTAAAGCTAAAACACAAATTTGGTCATGCATCTGAAATGTCTAAAGAATCCAGTAAATTAATTCCAAGATTAAAGCAAACTCCCCGACAACATTTTAGTTTTGAGTCTAACTTTAAAGATTATGGAATAAAACCGAAAATAAGAATAAGCAAAACCATGTCTGTTAATAAAAGGAGCGACGAGGTCGATTCCGGTCCCAAGATTCGATCTAATGTAAACCTAGATTTTCATCCTTCTAAACAGTCGACATTTGTTGATCGCGGTCTTCTACGTAGTGAAATGTTCAAAGAGAGGAACGTTTATGGACATTCGTCCGATTCGAGCGTCCAGAAGTTGCTTTATGCAAACACAGAAAAAGGTAGATCTGGAAGCGATACAGGCAATCCTCTGAAACAACTCTTGCCAGCCGAAGATTGGCCAGTACTACCAGTGGAACCATTTGATACGGAATTCGACTTCTTGATGGATTTCCCTAAAGTAGATCTTATGAGTTCCATTCCGTTTGCGAGTTTAGGATCGTTTGGTAATTACGGAGTAAGCCAAAAGAACGACGTGGAGAAGTATAAGTATTTGTCTTTACCCTCTGTTCTAAAGCAGTCAATGATGACGCCATTGAAAGCCCAAATATCTTTGGTCAATAAGAGTGTGATTAACTATTTCTTCGTGGAGTTGAAGATGGAGGACCATTTTGAAGGATTGAGGCGTTACTTGTTAATGGAGGACGGCGATTTCTCTCAGATTCTTAGTGATACACTATTTGACAAATTAGCCACGAATCCATTACCCCAGGAAATGTTAAACCCGGTTTTTCTGAACGGTGTTTTAAAGAAGTCCCTTCAGTCGTCCATGCAATCAAATGATAAAATTGCCGAAAAACTTAGTTTTGTACTTAAATTCATCCCAACATCCTTTCAACTCACTTCCCATGATACGTTAGACTGCCTTGAGCTTCAATATAAAGTTGATTGGCCGCTTAACATTATTTTAACTGATGGCTGCATGAGTAAATATGGGCTTGTGTTTTCCTTCATGATGCAGCTAAAGCGGATTGTGTGGGTTCTAAAGGACGTGTGGTACAGATTGAAAAGGGACTCTTTAGTAAAAAAAGCTGGTAATTCTCCCCAGTTTAGACATTTCCAGTTGTTCAGACAAGAAATGCAACATTTCGTGAAGGTCATGCAAGGCTATATCGCTAATCAAGTTATTCATGTTACCTGGCAGGAATTTCAAGATGCCTTGAACAAGGATGTGGGCGACTTGGACGATCTTTATAAAGTTCATGGACAATATCTGGAGAAGGCTATATTCAGGTGTCTGTTGAACAAGAAAGCTAAGCCAGTTATGAAAATAATTCAGGACATATTCAGCCTTATTCTTAAATTCCGTATCCAATTATTGAGTGGTTCCTGGAAGGCTAGTGACAATTCCAGTGATTCCATTGTCCATTCGAACTTCCAACAGGTATCAGCATCATACAAAGCCTTCAGGCAGTATTCAGTGTTTTTGTTTGATGTTGTTAATAAACTGGCTATACGAGGCTATCAACCACATCTTCAAGAGTTACTCCTTAGACTGAATTTCAACAATTATTACAAGGATCAATAACTATACTTCCGGTATCCCATAATCGTAAAAGGTAAGCTTTTCCATGAAAGACCCAACTTGTCTCTTAAGATGGTATTCATTTGGTCAATGGTCAGACCGTCAGACCCAAAGGGAAAGGGGTTCAGTTGGTCAGCATTAAAGGGATACGAGCTTACTGTAAAAAAAAAAATAATTTTCTTTTCCCTCAGCAGCGTTTGTTTATTTGGGGATTGCTGACTGTCGGATTGTTTACTTTTCATATTAAATCCGCAAAGCAGAAAGTTGATGTTTATGGTCTTGTCATGTTAATGAATGTTTAAATGATAATTTATATAACCTTTGAACCCAGACAAAAAAAGATCTGTAGATTTAACTCTTATACAGTGAATCCTTTAATTTATTTATTTTTCAGGAAATTTCATTAAGTTATGAATTAACGGAACATAGGTCTGACAAAAGCAATCTGGTGATGACGATGACTACCAAGAACATATGCCTGGTTATATCAATATAGTGATGATGACTAGTGGAGGAGTGTTGGTTACCGAATCTATTAAAGTCTTCACCCTGTCCAAGAATCAAATTTCATTAAACGTGATAAATTAAAAATAATGAAATAGTTTTGTAAACATGTCAACAAATATGTATATTATTTATTGAGTGAGAAATATCTATAAAGTTCTAATATTTTGGTGTAGTTGTCATTTACCATTTAAAAATGAAATGAAATGGGGTTTAATGTCCTACTGTTCTGCTCCGAACTGGGCTAATGAAGACGGGCATACGCCATACAGTGTGCTATGAGGGAAATTTTGCCCGGACAGCGGCACTACGACCTACTCTTATATCGAATTCCAACTGTCAATCGACCTTTTACGTGCACTCCAATGTGTACACGGGACCTCGGTTTTTCGTTCCATCCGACGACTAGACCGCTGTCCTTGTCAGACCCTCCGACCTGCATCACATTTATCATTTAAAGAGCAAAGGTATGTTCAGTTTATGCTCAAATCCGAATCAAGATTCTTTCTAGATTCAGAATTAAACCAGTTTGGCTCCCGAGGCTTTTCAATTCTTACTCTAAATACACGAATGCATCGGATAGTGTTAGTTTCTAGATCCACAGTGACGCCATTCAGGTGCTACCCACAGAACATACATGTATTCGTTTTCCATGAAATCAAATCAGGAAGCCTAAAACTATTTGTGACTCAAAGAAGGGAAAAGCTTCACCTGGGATACTTGGCAATCAACCACACCTTTTGAACGAACTAACAGAAATCATTTTAAATATGACCACTGCCGCTTACCACAACAGATTGCCAGTCAACTAGTATCTTAAGGTGGGAGGGTTGGGTGGCCAAATGGGTAGTTGTGCGCGCTATATCATAATGTCTGCTATTGGGTCAACTGGCGTGCTTTCGATACCCCGGTTGTACATGATAAGGAGTAGGGTTGTCTGTCCAACCGCGTGGGTTTTCCCCGGGTCCCCCGGTTTTCTTCCACTGCTAAAGACCCCTACGCGCAAATGACTACTCAAATGAGTCAAAATGGTTAAAAATGTCCGTATTTTCATTGCTAATATAACTTAGATGGGATCTACAAAGACCCCTACGCGCATATGACTACTCAAATGAGTCAAAATGTCTAAAAATGTCCGTATTTTCATTGCTAATATAACTTAAATGGGATCTACAAATTTGTCAGGTTTAGAAATAGCCCCAACTTTCCTGCAGAAAATTGAAAATTGGTAACACTCAGTTAATAATGTACAGCAGATGGGTTTGTACAAAATGTTCAAAACAGGGGTTGGCTCAATTTTGTTACTGTATTACCCAGAACAAGCATTTTTTTTTCTTCTTTGTAACATTAAATTCTTCCATTTCCTTCACCTAGAAAGCAATATTCCAGTCATTTTTAACTGAGCCATTCCGTTAAGAGAGGTTATAAATGCCCCACCCACCCTTTTTTTTATTAATGTGTTTTGAGAGATTTAATTGTACCTGTGTTCACAATTAAATGATAGTAATCGCAATTTGTGGTTGAATTACAGCTAGGAATGTTATTTTTCATCAATAAATAGTTATTTTGTACATTTCAAAGATTTCTAACCCTTTTTGTTTAAAGTCAAACTTAGAACCCAGAGACATGTCAGGCCAATGAGACCACACTCTGATATAAAAATAGTGTAGATGTGTAAATTTCAGCTTAATGTTCAATATTTTCTTATCAAAATCTAGGATTTGTGGTGTTTGTTGCATTTATGTTACTTATAGAACAGTAAAATGTTAATTTCGCTCCTTTTCAGGCCTCCTTCATCTTGTCAACTCTCTCATAACTACTTTTTGGACTTCATTTTTTCAGGCAATTGATGTAAGGTCCAGACATCTTGCATCAGCACAAGAATTGCAATAAAGATTTGTATGGTGCCTCTGAGCCTTGAGATGTTGAAAACATTGAAATATTCCCAAATTTGTGAAAATTGTGTATTCTGTGGCCCTTTTGTTAGAGAGTGGTGGTCATAGACCAAATATGGCATTTTTTTCTTTCATCAATCCCTATTTTTAACCATAATTCATATTTAGTGCACATATTTTAGTTTATAGGTACATATATGTAAGCCAGGGATGGTAAAACATAGCGGTTGGACAGATTCCTTTTGTGATGTTACTTCTGCAACTGCAACCAAAGATTAGATTGATTCAGTCAGTGACATGTTTAGGGGGCGGGGATACATGTTTTAGTATAGATGTCTAATATTACAATCAATGCAGCTGATTTGTGATTTTTCTGTTTGCATATTGTACAGGGTTTCTAAAAATATATTCCTTGCCTTTGGCTATCTAAAAAATGGAAAATTATTGAGGTTTTTTGAAAGACGCTACATGTAAATTTTGTATATTTTTCATGACATGGCAGTAAAAAATTATATTTTTGAAAAAAAATTCAGCTTATGAATGTTTTCTGTGTAATTTGTTTGTAACTTGTCTAACTTTTTCACAGAACTCAAATATTGGCGAAAGTTATTTTTGATGCTTACTCTCCCTTTCCCTTTTCTCCCCTTTTGCATAGCAATTTTTTTGGTTGACATTTTGAAGTAGAAACGAAGAAAAGGGTTTGAAAATACATTTTCTGCCATGTTTTGGTGAATGATTTTGAGGCGGAAGGATACAAGAGTTGAGAGGCTGGTTAGGTTGAAATGTAGGGTCAAAAATTGCATGTTTACTTGTCTCTGCTTCCAGCTTGTGTATCTCAAGGTTTTCATGGTGAACCCCATACGTGCTTTTGGGCAAGAGGTTGCCGCATGTTGCTCCATCTGTGGAAGAAAGCGTTCTACCCAACGAAAATTTGGGAAAAAGTTAGAGCCGGTCTAAGAGACGAGAATTAACATTAAAGTCAATGGGGAAACCCTTACTGATCTGCGGCCAAATTTGATCATTGGGTGGTAGCATTGACATTTATGTCTATGGATGGTTTGGACTTAGTTTGTTATTGAACTAAGATAGGTCGTCTGCAGATTAGCTATCATTATGTTTCCGTAAGTTTATATCTACATGTATATTCTCTTTGAATGGAGGGGGTGGATGGCCGAATGGATAGCACGTGCGCGGCCTGTCGTTGAGTCAACTGGCGGGGTTTCGATGCCCCGGTTGTACGTGACAAGGAGTAGGGTCGCCTGTCCAACCTCGTGGGTTTTCTCCGGGTCCTCCCACTGCTAAAAACCCTACATGCAAGCGAATTATTGAAATAAAATTGAACCATGTGTTAGTCCCGAAATGACCTAGTTTGTATCGAGTGGACTTTAAACCCCATTTATCTCTCTCTCTCTGACTTATATCTTTTGGTGGGGCTCCCCCGCCTGTCTTGTGTTGGCTGGTCCTGTAGGACGTAAAAACCTTTCTAGCCTTTTGTGCTATGTTGCCCCATTTGTCTTTGACCTCTTTTATGCTTCGTGAGGCAACACCTTGCAAATTTACCTTTTGTGTAATATTTTCCCATATTTCATTTTTTTTACGATTTGTAATCGCATTAGACAATTTTGAATTTATAATGAGACTATGTTGTTCCACCAAGGATTGGGGATCACGTGACTAAGTGGGTAAGACGCTGGCTTGCTAGCCTAGAGGTTGGGTGTTCGATCCCTGCATTGGCAGAGAAAGTTCACCCAGATTTTCCGGCGTGGTTTCCCCTTGTCAGTGATGCGAGGGAGTGACAAGGACAGCTGTCTAGTCGTTCGGATAGGACGAAAAACCGAGGTCCCGTGTACATATAGGCGTGTACGTAAAAGATCCCTTGGCAGTAGGCCAGTTTAGGAGCAGAACCAAGGATTGGATTAGATTTTCTTCCTCAATTGTAAAATTCTTGCTTCTTGATTTTCTTTTTTGTCTTTTGCAGTAATGTCGGCCATTTTGCAAAAAATGTTTAATGTACCGGTAACCAGAATGTAGAAATGAATTGTAGGTAAAGTTATCCGTCTGCCCTTGGATGTAACGGATCGTTACAATAACTTAGTTTTAAGCAACCGGCCCCTGATAATTATTTATCCGGTTAATCTACAGAAAACCTGGGTTTTTTTCATATTCCTTTATTGATGTTCTGTAATTATATTATGGACATGCACCATTTCAAGCATCATTTTAAAAACTTTACTAAATTATATCACATTTTAAGAATTTACTATGTGAGTTCAGAGACATCTAGGTTTACCGTCTCAGATACAGTTATATTATTAGCAGCTGCTTTGATGACGTACTCGCCTCCATCTTCTGGCTGCATGCTATATGTCGTCATTATGATTTTCATCGTATCATTGTTGGTTAATTTCAGAATCTCAAAACCAGGAAAATCATCAGTTGTAATTCCGTTTATATTTTTATAAACCGTCACGCTTGGGTTACTAAACCCAAACACGTTACAATCTAAAGAAAATCGCGAGTCAATCCATACCATATAATTTTGATTCGGACATTCTACCGAGTTCTTTGAAACCATGTTTGGCCTCGTTTGATTGTTTGGGAAAACTCGATATATTCGCTTTACACCCAAAAACCATCGTAAACTCGGATTGTCGTTATATGATCGAAATTGAGTCTTAGTTGTATACAACCCATTGTTTGTAAAGTAATCAGAATGATCTATTGAATACTTCGCCATGACCATCCCTTTAGACCATTCGAATGCATCATCTGGGAGTTCATCGTTCCTGTAAGTCCATTCATCAGTCTTAAATAAAAATGAGGATTCGAAACCTACTAAATCTTTCTCGTCCGCCCTTATCTTTGAAAACAAACGTATCTTTGCTTGTTCATGTGGATCATAGGCTACACTGGATTGGTTGATGTATTGTACTGAGTATTTCGGAATCACTTCCTGTTTGACTTGGTGGGATTTTAGTTCACTTGAAATTTCGTGAAACTGGAAGATTATTGACATGTGATCGGCATGTGAGAGGGTAAAGCGAAAGGTCAGTTGATATTGTGAATTAATGGTTGGTTGGGAGTAGAGTTTTTGTACAAATATCAGTTTATGGAGGTTGCCCACTTTATAATCTATAAGGCAGACACCATACTCTGTAATAGAACAAAAATATATAAAAATAATTTGATCGCATTTTATTTCAATTGGAAAATACGTTTACACTCGCATTCGAACTTGATCGCATTTTATTCCAATCAATAATCGATTCAACGGGTATAGACTTAACACTCGCAATCGAAATGTGACCTTTTGGCTTTGACCGAGTATAAATAAGAGTTACTTCCCTTGAACCATTTTAATGTTTAAAAACATTCAAAAAAACATCAACTCTTTCGTTCGTCCGTTCGTTTGTTGGGTTTTACGTCCGCTCAAGGTTTCATTATCTAGGTTCGAAGCTGTCTCCTTCCTTAATAAACCCCGTTAACATATATACTATGAGTATATAATATTAAACAAACTTGTATTCGTTGCCAAGATTTCCGCAATAATCTACTTTCATTTTGTGGGTAACGATGAGAACAAAACATTTATTTCTAGTGTTATGTTTGGGTTTTCTCGTCATCATATGTTGTTAATACCCCCGTCAGATCGGGGTGGCGTTCTTACTGCATCATCATATACTGTTAAGTTTTTTTTTGGGGGGGGGGGATGGCAGGGTGGTTAGCACGTTGTTTCGAAACCCCGGTTCTACGTGACAAGGAGTAGGGTTGCCTGTCCAACCTCATGGGGTTTCTCTGGGTCCCCCGGTTTCCTCCCACTGTTAAAGACCCATACGCGCAAGAGAATTATTGAAATAAAATTAAACCATATTTTAGTCCCGAATGACCTAGTTTGTGTCGAGTGGACGTTAAACCTCATTTTTTTTCTCTCCCTCTCTTTTTCTCTGTTTTAAGGACACCTAGCTCGGGGTATCCACGTGCATTTATCCGACACTGCCACTGCACGGACCTTATAACCTTTTGCATTTTACCTCTTCCATGTGGAAATACGGACATACGATTTTCATATCAACGTGTGACGATTTAACAGAATCAGTAAAAATATTACCACACGTATCAGTAAAGATGGTTATTACAGAGTAGTGGCTACATGAAATTATAAATATTTACCACACGTATCAGTAAAGAGGGTTATAGAATACTGGATATTTGATATAAATATTTACCGCACGTATCAGGAAAGATGGTCACAGGGTAGTGGAGTAGTGATAGTAATAAATCCACCGTTATTCTGGGAGCAGTAGCATTCAGTTCCAATTCACAGCAAACAACAAACCAATCCCTGACTTCATCTGTCCAATAGCGTACTTTCATTTCACTGATATTAACCTGGGACATATCCTGATCACAACCAAAATATAACCAAAAAACTGTTATGTGGTCTGTAATACTATATTATCACGTTAATTTCATTTACTTAAACGGGGGAAGCTACCCCACCCATCGATTTGCAGAGAAACAATTGAAACGACATCAATCAATCAATCAATGCATAATTTGTATAGTGCAAACAATACTTCGATAAGATTCCTAATGAGCTTTAAAGCTAATGTGGATAATTTTAGTGTTTATTTTCGTCAAATAGATGTGCCTTCAAGTGTGACTTGAAGATGTCTAGAGTTTTTGATTCTTTGATGTCTTAGGGTAGAGAATTCCAGAGGCAGGGTTGTTCCGTGTAGGATAAAGCATGAGATTGAGGTTATGCTGGGGAAAGAAAGACTGAAGAAAATAACTCAAGAAAAAGAAAAACCGAGGCCGGTAGGCCGAGGTTTTTCTGTCGATGGTTTTTTCTGAAGGACTTTATCTAGCTTATAAACCGTCTATGTTTACATGTACGCAAAATGAGAATATCCCAAAATTCCCATAAGAAAAACCTTAGATCATGCTTTCTTATGGAGAAAAAACCCTACCCTGGAAGAATAACCTGTTACAGTTTGGAAGAAAAACTTTCAGAAGAATAACCCCAAATTCCCCTGTATATATCCAAAGCCGACCCCGACTTTCAGACCTCAAGTTATTCCGGGCATAGAATATACCCCAAAGATCAAAGAGAATTACCGTTACAGGTTTATAAGTGATCTTAAGGTTCTACTGGATTCATATGGAGTAAGTAGATCTTGTGGCGCTTGATTGTGGGGTGCTTTAAAAGTCAGTAAAGGTTTTTTGAATTTGATTTGCTGATTTATGGGTAACCGATGAAGAGGGATGTTCAGCATGCTATGTGCTAGGAGGGGTGAATTATGCTATGAGATTATGCAGGCGACCTTTACTCCTAGACTTAAGACAGATAACAGAGTTTATGATCTAGCTCAGTCGTTACACCACTCGGTCACAGAGGCGTACCCTTGACATCTGTTATTACGCCAGGCACTCTGCAATGCACTATTGACAAAGGGAAACCACGCCCGAAAATCCCGAGGAAATTTCTCGACCAAACCCCGGGATAGAACCCGGGACCTCCAGGTTTGCGATCGACTCCCATACTCACGACCACCTTAATTTATGGGGATAAAGTTATCAATAAATCGAACCCGCTACCTCCAGGTTTGCGATCGACTCCCATACCCACGACCACCTTAATTTATGGGGATAAAGTTATCAATAAATCGAACCCGCTACCTCCAGGTTTGCGATCGACTCCCATACTCACGACCACCTTAATTTATGGGGATAAAGTTATCAATAAATCGAACCCGCTACCTCCAGGTTTGCGATCGACTCCCATACTCACGACCACCTTAATTTATGGGGATAAAGTTATCAATAAATCGAACCCGCTACCTCCAGGTTTTCATTACTAACGACCCTATTAATTTATGGGATAGATCTGTCCAAAGATACAAATTAAATACCAGTAAATAATTCGCATGTTGCCTGTCAGAATGCCAGTAAATTAAGTTTAAACTAGACAACAAATCACAACCTATACTTGAAATATTTACCTCTTCTAGCTGTTTGTCCTCCAGATTTAATTCCATATTTTTATTATCAGATTGAAGACTCTATAAATAAAAAATACATAAAATTTCACAAACAGCGTTTGAAAGGCTTTGATTTGCTTGTTTATTGGATTCGATAATGATGGAAGAAGGAAACCCAGGAGGTTGAACAGGTGACCTTATTTGTTACCACAACAAGCTTGGAATCGAACCCACGCCACTTAACTCATTGGCGTACCTTATAATTTAATAAAACATACGCGTTGAACCACTCGCTACGCCCCAACTCACTGAGCTATCGTGGCTCCCCTTCCGCTACAAGATGAGACCAAAGGTTATACTTAGCAGGGTGGACCCGAGGGGCTCACCCATTTATTCAGTAAATATTATCACCCGACAGGCACTTAACAGGATCCAAGCATAATGAAAACACCATATCTAAATGGCGCCACATGACCTCACAGGATCAGCTCTTTGTGTTTTAAATACTTATATTACTTACCGTTGTGTGTTGTGGTCGAGTCCCGTTCTCAATTCTCTTCCAAACATTTCGACTGTCAAGTATTTCATATACATCTGACATCTATACAATAAAAATGCGAAACGTGCTAAATAAAATAAAACCAAGTACGAACAATCCAAACCATTAGACAAAATTCGAAGTCCTAAAAAAAAACGGTATAGGCAAAATAGTGTAAGTCAAAATAGTGTAATCAGCATATGGACTGTTCACCGTGTACAAAATACACGACAAACAGTGGTAACAGGTGTCCGGAAGAGTAAGCTTACCCTGCCTGTCGCCACACCCGCCATAGCTGCATCCGAACTATTAGGCGAAATCTCGGTAAAATAGCGTGATTGGCCAATGGACTATCAATGACAGCCTACACAGGTTGTGTTCCCAAAACAAACGGTATAGGCTAAATGTGTAATCAGCAAATGGACTGCTCACCGTGTACAAAATACACGACAAACAGTGGTAACAGGTGTCCGGAAGAGTAAGCTTACTAGTATAATTAATCATGATCATATTGTAACCTTCTAAATATTTCACCAGTATAATTAAACATGGTGTCATAAACATAATGTAACCTGCTAAATATTTCACCAGTATAATTAAACATGATGTTATAAACATGATGTAACATGCTAAATATTTCACCAATATAATTAAACATGATGTTATAAGCTAAATATTTTCCAGTATAATTAATCATGATGTTGTAATAAACATGATGTTATAAGCTAAATATTTTACCAGTATAATGAACTATTGTGGACCAGATATCAATCTGAAATTCAATACAAACCACTTACCCCATCTGATACTGTTTCTTTGTTATCTTTATCGTTGTCTTTATCTGTTTCTCCCTGAAACACAAAAAGAATACAGTTTATATCATAGAGACACGGTTTTCAAACTGTCGGCATAGTCTGTTAGAGGGAGAAGAGGGAATTTCGAGAATATTCAAGGAGGTGAGAAATTGCAGGGAAAATGGGACTAAAAGTGGTTTGGGTATAACACATGGGAACAATGGAATTATTGGCTGAAAATGGTTGTCAGCTCCAGGGGCGGATCCAGAGGGGGGATTCGGTGGCTCCGAACCCCACCCTGCTCAACTAATTTAAACAAATTGTAAAACAACACTTTATGAGAGAAGTGTAACGCCCGTGTGCTTTATCCGTGGGTTAGGATTGGCATTCAAAGCGCGAAATAATGATTTAGAAATGTGAGATATCACACTTAATGCTTTACATCAATGAATTTGAATTACAATGTGATACCATTAATGTATTATAAAAATTGACATCAAACGGGATGTTGGATTTTTCTCTTTAAAAATCTACCTTAGCCTACGTAATTTAGAGACGATAATTGCATCATGCATTGTCAATTGTCTAAATGTTCTTAACAGGAACCTAGCAAACCCCCTCCTGTAAAAATTCCAGAATCCGCGCCTGAGCTCACACTAGATACAGAAACGAAAGAAGCAACTGTACTATCCGCTGCATATTTGGTAGAACCCGTATCTTGCCCAAGTAATTACAAGACAACAGCGGTTCCTGTTGTCGACGATGGGTTACTGTATTCCTCTTTAGCTATATAAATGTAGTTATAATGTTCTTTGTTGGTTTATTTACAGGTTAAATCATACTCACTGTTAATATGGTTTCTTCTAGGTTTAACAATTCACTAAAAGATTCCAAATTCTCCCTAGTTTCTTTAATGTAATTTTCTGCTAACACCAGTTTCTCTAGAGTATTTCTGTAGGCTGTTTGTAGTCGTGTTCTCTCATCTTGTCTAACATGTAGACTGGATACAATCTGAGTGAGAACAATAAACTTAACATAAAATCAAAATTAATTTTGTTACTAGCAAAATAATTCAATCTGGGGCCGCTTGCTCAAAGCTCCGTTAACATTTAACATATCGTTAACTTGCCGTTATATTTAACGGAGGTGTTGGGTTCCGTTATCTGTTTAACGATGGCATTAGTGGGCTGTCGGTCGAAGTATACCCTTAGCCAAAGGTCATAGATTAACAGTGTAATTTTCTATATAACATTCTAGAGGGTTGGGCGATGAGGGGCTATTCCATTTTCTATAGCAAAATATTTCAGTAATCTTCTGATCAATAAATTAGAAAATAGTTCATTCAAATCTCAAATATTATGAAAAGGGTTTAACGTTTATGCACTGGCCTGATGAAGATGGGCATATACCATAATGTTCTATGAATTCCAATTCTCAAATAGTTTTGACCCATCCGAAAGACTAGACACCGTTCTTGCCACGACCCGATCCTGAAACACTGACAAGGGGAAACGGCGTCGGAATATCCCGAGGAACTTTGTCGTCCAAGACCGGTTAGCGAATAGGTTTCTTACTGAATAATTACTGCTCCGTCATCCAAAAGGACGGATGAGTGTGTGTGGACCGGGGGCTCTATTCGGCAATCTGCTGTATAATAAGATATGTGACTAGTGAAAATACCGACCCGGTAAGTAAATACAAACAATGTAGTATAATGGCAAGGCTGATAGAAAGCTGGAAGCTAGCTGAATGTGGCACAGCCAGGGCACTATCTATATGACATAATAGCACAGTCGCAAAATTGCCAGAGGACAACATATAAGTTGTATCAGGTGTTTCAGAAAGAATATACCACGCCCCTTGCAGGACACCTGTCCCAATTGTTTATAGCCGTGACAAAATATATATTTTAACCTATAAATCAACAAATAACCTAACAACATTTCAAGTTTGGTCTCTTGTTCCCACAAGCTTCTCTGATGACGATGAATTAAGCAGCGAAGCCTACGTGAAACTGAACCCTAATATACATCTTAGATAGAATGTAGATTAGAATAAACTCCTACCTGGACTATACACAGAATATAACATGGTATGCGAGTCTTAACACAGAGCATCGTGTGATCACTTCAACAACAGCAAACAACTCCTAAGACTGAATAGAAAGTAGTCAGGATGGAACTGTGGCAGAATGATCAATGATTATTTTTAACAGTTCATTTAAATACCAATTGGTCTTTTAATTACAGATAATCAAAATTGGTCCATGATAAAATTTAAAGGGAGACTACCGTGAAATATAAATTGACCACGCCTTTTGTACTTTTATATACAATTCGTCGCGTTTCTGGCGAACCGACGAATCTGATATATTTAAGTATTGAGAATTATGCGTTTGAAATTTGCGCTCTGATGTTATCTCTATGTCCATCAAATAATAACGTTTATGTAAATGACGTTCCGTGTTCTGATGTATATGTATGAAATATTAAATCATAAATAAATGTTAATATTTGATGGCTACAGAGATAACAACAGAACGCATAATTCTCAATACTTAAATATTTCGGTTCGCCAGAAAAGCGACGAATTCATCAAAAATTTTGATTATTCAAACTGTCAAATTTAATAGGAAATGTAATAGGCTTTAACGTCCTACTATTCTGCATGGGTCATACAGGGTGCTATGAGGAAAAATTTTCCCGGACAGCGGCGATTCGGCCTACTCTTATAGTGAATTCCAACTGCCAAGGAATCTTTTACGTGCATGCTAATGTATACATGGGACCTCGGTGTTTCGTCCCATCCAAACGATGTCACGTCCTCCGTCCTGCACCACTGACAAGGGGAAACCACGCCAGAAAATCTTACTACTGTGGGGTTTCTCCGGGTCCCCCGGTTTACTTTCACTGCTAAAGACCCCTACGCGAAATTATTGAGTGGTTCCTGGAAGGTTAGTAACAATTCCAGTGATTCGGGATTAACAGTAGTAATCTCTTCAAGTGCCTGTGGTATTCACGGAGTTAGGCGAACGTTCGTGAAAAATATTTTACTGTAAACAGGTCAGTTCTTGGATTTTCAATATCAGTTATAGTTGAGGAGGCTGACTCCATATGGCCTGCTTAGCGGGAAAAAATTCCCACTAAAATGATTCCTGATTTTTCTGAAACTATAGGATGGGTAGTGTTCCAGAAAAAATTCCCCCCGTTAATCGGCCTTGGGGAAAAAAAATTACAGCCATTTTTAGGTTTGGTATCCGAACTTTTGTGAAATTTCAGTTTTTCGGTCCCTGATTGGCCAATGGTACTTTGTATGGTGTCGATATATAGGTTTTCGGGGTCGGAGAATGTTTATTTTGTCGTACGGTTACCATGGTAACCATATTTTCAGGTTTGGTATCCGATTTTTGTGATTTTTTTCATAATTATTTTGTAGTACATGTGAGGTGTCAAAATATAGGTTTTTAGGGGCGCTGAGTCCGATTCTAAGGGTATTCTGTAGATAAGATGGCCCAATAGCCCATATTTGCCTTAATTTGGCCCAAAACTAGTAGAATGGAATCTAGTTATTGAATAGCTAAGACACTAATATGGGCCTACTACCACTGGAAGATTACATAGGCCAAATTACAAAATAAAAATACAAAAAATACTCGCATCCAATTTATTCCTCCAAATCAATCTGTTCTGCATTTTTACAACTTTCCCCGTGGCAGCCCCCACACGCAGCAACACATTTCATCCCGTTCTTCTTACAAGTACAGTAATTTGTACCGCATAAATTTTTGGTTGATTTACATTTGCATCGAATAAAATTTAAAACATTATCTGGTGCAGGGGGAAGGTCAGTTGGCACTGGCCTAAATTGGCCATCAACCACCTTCCATCCCCATAGCAAAGGATCTAAGATAGTCTCGTTTAGTTTCTCCCAAACAATAATTTGCTGATAAACTCTCAGTGTATGATACTTAGCTGCACGTTCAGTAGGTGGCAAGCGGGCCGCATCGATAGTATTTTTATCACACACATCATCTGATTGAATTTCATATGACGCAACTTAGTCAACCCGGTATTGTTTTTATCACCATAAAGAATACAGGAAACCTCGCACTCAGCCTTAGCTATCTCTTCACCGTTACTATCAGAGTCAGATATTATTCCACCCAGTTGCTTGAGCTTATCATTTGAATCCAAAGATTTATAAATGGCGTTTTTACCAAGTCCAAAAATTCCTGAGGTGGTGTCGCACGCTGTAAACGCGTGAGTGAATAGTAAGTTCTTTCTAGTAGACTCGATCGGCAAGATTATCACATATTGTCTTAATACTTTACATTTCTACCGTTTTGGTTGAATACATTCTGATTTTTTTTGTCCATCCCAGGTTTCCAATGGTATAGTAGCATGATCAATATATCAGTGTCATTGACCACCACAATGACGGACTGATCATTTGCTGCATAGTCTAATGCTTCATGGACGACTCTTGTATCAGCATCAGCAGTACACTTGACCACTTTAATATTCTTTAATTCTAATGATCGAGATATTTCAACCAAAACGGTAGAAATGTATAGTATTAAGACAATATGTGATAATCTTGCCGAGTCTACTAGAAAGAACTTACTATTCACTCACGCGTTTACAGCGTGCGACACCACCTCAGGAATTTTTGGACTTGGTAAAAACGCCATTTATAAATCTTTGGAAAACCTATATATCGACACCATACAAAGTACCATTGACCAATCAGGGGCCCAAAAACTGAAATTTTACAAAAGTTCGGATACCAAACCTAAAAATGGCTGTTTTTTTTCCCCAAGGCCGATTAACGGGGGGAATTTTATTGGAACACTACCCATCCTATAGTTTCAGAAAAATCAGGAATCATTTTAGTGGGAATTTTTTCCCACAAAATATGCCATTCTCTCCGACTATTAAACGTTATATGTGGGGTATATTCATAATTAATTACATATATGGTGAGAATGACAATTGCTCTTTAAATGTAGGCCTATATTAATTATTACTGAAGGAATTTCATACTACCAATATATAATTGTTGTCGATTAAATTTGTTATTTAAATGAAAAGGTCGTAAATATGAAAATTATGTACTAGCCTTTGAACTGGGCTAATGTAGAGCCATTTATACGACCATCATATAATTATGTATTGTTTAATGGTCGAGAGCGAGACATTAAGTAATATATTGTAACAACATGAGGGCCGTAAGTCCGAATGTTTTTACAATATATTACGCAATGTCTTAAGCTCGAGACCATTAATCAACTTAAAATACAGACACTTGCACGTGCTTTGCAATGAAATACGTCACTCGAGTTCAATATTTTACCAAGTTACGCTTGGCACATTGCCCGTACGATTATTTGAAATAATGGTACTCCAACATCAAAGGATGACGTCACATCTGTATTTTAAAGCGGTATAGTTAAAAGGGGAGGTCTCTGATATATTTTCTGTAGTTTTGCCATCGGAGTTGTGGAACCAAGCCTTGCGGAACTACCCGAAGCACGGTTAGAAAAATTTCAATCTCCTTGGGGTTTAGCTGGATAATCGTACTTACTGTGGGCAGTGACACTTGCTCGCGATTATTAAGTCCTTTACAATCAATGACAGTATTTTGACATCCAGACAAGGCAATTGAACTGTTTTACATTTTGATGTTTGATTTGCTTAGTAACCAACTCTCATCTGGGTTGTACTTTTTATCAATTATAAAATTGGAAACGCAGACATATCCCTCTACCCCATTTTATATCCCCATGTCACGTGCCACCTTTTAAGATAAGTGATTAGTTCAGAAGACCCAAAGACTTTTTTGGAAACGGAGAGCCGATTTTTTTTTATACAGCGTAATAATCATATTCCTATCATGGGAATTTATCAATAAAATTAGCAAGACATGACACAACTTATTTGTTCATTGACAACTTCCTATTTGATAAGGAGCCACAGTGGCTAAGTGAGTAAGACGGTTGCATGGGCGTCGCGAGTTCGCTCCCGGTGTTGACAGAGAAAGTTCATCAGGATTTTCCGGCGTGATTTCCCCTTGTCAGTGGTACAGGGCGGAGGACTTGATATCGTTTAGATTGGACGAGAAACGGAGGTCCGGTGTATACATTAGCGTGCACGTAAAAGAGTCCTTGGCAGTTGAAATTTACTATAAGAGTAGGCCGTTGTGCCGCTGCCCGGGGAAAATTTTCTTCATAGCAACTTGTATGACCCATGCAGAATAATAGGACGCTAAAGATTATTTCATTTCCTATTTGGCAATTCGAAAAATCAACAATTTTGATTAATTGTATATAAAAGGGCCGAAGACATGATTAATTTATATTTCACGGTAGTGTCCCTTTAAATATAATATAGACTAATTTGACAATTTGAACAATCAAAAATTTTGATGAATTGTATATAAAAGCACAGAAGGCGTGGTCAATTTATATTTGACGGTAGTGTCCCTTTAAATATAATCATGGACCAATTTTGATTATCTGTAATTTAATGACCACTTGGTAATTAACTGAACTGTCCCTTTAAATATAATCATGTACCATTCTGCCACAGTTTTATCCTGAATACTTTCTATTCAGTCTTAGAAGTTGTTTGCTGTTGTTGAAGTGATCACACGATGTTCTGTGTTAAGACTCGGATACCATGTTACATTCTGTGTATAGTCCAGGTAGGAGTTTATTCTAATCTACACTCCAACCAGGCTGTATCTTCGGGGTCAGTTTCACATACTCTCAGCTGCTTAATTCATCGTCATCAGAGAAGCTTGTGGGAACAAGAGACCAAACTTGAAATGTTGTTAGGTTATTTGTTGATTTATAGGTTAAAATATATATTTTGTCAGGGCTATAAACAATTGGGACAGGTGTCCTGCAAGGGGCGTGGTATATTCTTTCTGAAACACCTGATACAACTTATATGTTGTCCTCTGGCAATTTTGCGACTGTGCTATTATGTCATATAGATAGTGTCCTGTGCCATATTCGCCTAGTTTACAGCTTTCTATCAAACTTGCCGTTCTGTTAATTTTGGGACTTCATATATTATATTTGTTCTGTGTAGCTATACAGAGCCGTTCTGTACTATTCTACATTGTTTGTATTTATTTGCTGGGGGGGGGGGGGGTAGCTTATACAAGGGATTGCCGAATAGACGCCCCTCCCCACCCCCACACAGACGCACACACGCACGCTCACCCACACCCAGAGGCGTAGCCGTGAAATATATATTGGGGGGTCCGCAAATGAAATTATATAAAATGTTGACAATCTGTGACGCCGAAGTAGCGCGATAGGGAGAGTGTGGGAGCGTAACCCTCCCACAGGGGGCGGGGGCACCCCATAATTTTTTTTTAAAGTTTCAGTCTTCTGTAAACACTGTTTTGGCATATTTTACGGGGTTAAACTATCACACCAACATATTGGGATATGTACAGGTTTTATACAGATAGAATCTTAACTAACCCTAATAATAAGTAGGAGTTAGGGCCTACTATGTAAATGTTGTGTGTGTGTGTGTGTGTGTGGGGGGGGGGGGGGTCCAAGTATATTCAGCCCCCCCCCCCCAAAAAAAAAACCCAAACAAAAAAAACAATTGTCCCCTGTACACAATGGCGTGCAAGTAAGAGAGAGAGAGAGAGAAATGGGGTTTAACGTCCACTCGACACAAACTAGGTCATTTCGGGACTAACATATGGTTTTTTTAATTTTGTTTACATAATTCGCTTGCGCGTAGGGTTCTTTAGCAGTGGGAGGAAACCGGAGGACCCGGAGAAAACCCACGAGGTTAGACAGGCGACCCGACTCCTTGCCACGTACAACCGGGGATTCGAAACCACGCCAGTCGACTCAATGACAGACTTTATGATACAGCGCGCGCACGCTAACCATTCAGCCATCCAACCCCCCGTGCAAGTAAGAGAATCTCTGACAATCTGAATTCATATAACATCCATCAGTCCACTCAGTGCAGAAAAGTATTAAATTAAACCCAATTTCATGATTTGTGAGATTTGAATGAAATATTTTCTCATTCAGATTACTGAAATATTTTGCTAGTCACAAAATTAATTTTGATTCTATGTAAAGTTTATTGTTCTCCCTCAGATTGTATCCAGTCTACATGTTAGACAAGATGAGAGAACACGACTACAAACAGCCTACAGAAATACTCTAGAGAAACTGGTGTTAGCAGAAAATTACATTAAAGAAACTAGGGAGAATTTGGAATCTTTTAGTGAATTGTTAAACCTAGAAGAAACCATATTAACAGTGAGTATGGTTTACCCTGTGAATATATAACCAAGAACATTATAGCTACATTTATATAGCTTAAGAGGAACACAGTAACCTATTGTCGATAACAGGGACCGCTGTTGTCTTGTAATTACTAGGGCAAGATACGGGTTCTATCAAATATGCAGCGCTTCTTGTTTTGTACCTAGTGTGAGCTCAGGGGCTGATTCAGGAATTTTTGCAGGAGGGGGTTTGCCAGACTCCTGTTAAGGAAATTTGAGAGTTGACAATGTACGATGCCATTATCGTCTCTAAATTACGTAGGCATACATACGTATTAAGATGTTTAAAGAGAGAAATCCAACATCCCGTTTGATGTCTATTTTTATTATGAATTAATAGGATCCCATTGTGTTTTAAATTTATTGATGTAAAACATTATTGTGATATAACACATGTCTAAATCATTATTTCACGCTGTGAATGCCAATCCCGTCCCACCATCTGATGATAAAGGATGAAGCACACGGACGTGACACTTCTCATAAAGTGTTGTTTTACAATTTGTTTAAGCAGGGTGGGGTTCGGAGCCACCCAATCCCTCCTCTAGATCCGCCGTTGGAGCAGACAACCATTTTCAGCCAATAATTCCATTGTTCCCATGTGTTATACCCAAACCACTGTTAGTCCCATTTTCCCAATCTGTTTCACAGAGAATTACGAGTCTCGTATAATATCTCTGTCATAGATGACTGCCTTAACACGTGCTGTCACAGCACGCGGTGTGAATCATTGGCTGAATGGCGCGTGCATTGTTTACATAAGACATAACTGCTTCGGAGAGAATGCTGCATTTTAGTCATTTTAATACCCATTTACACTAAATCGGAAATAATTTTTAACTACAAATACGTCAAACGCCTTTATTTATTTTTCCAATATATACAAAAATATTTCTAGCTCATTAAGCCGCATCAATGTCATTCTTATCAGTGATTGTCGCGGCCAAGCAAATATTCACTGCGGATCAGTGTGCCATTTTCCCTGCAGTTTCTCTCCTCCTTAAATATTCTCGAAATTCCCTCTTCTCCCTCTAACAGACTATGCCGACAGTCTGAAAACCGTGTCTCTATGATATAAACTGTATTCTTTTTGTGTTTCAGGGAGAAACAGATAAAGATAATGATAAAGATAACAAAGAAACAGTATCAGATGGGGTAAGTGGTTTGTATTGAATTTCAGATTGATATCTGGTCCACAATAGTTCATTATACTGGTAACATATTTAGCTTATCTTATTGTGTCATGTTTAACTATATTGTTAGAATATTTATGTTACATTATGTTTATAACATCATGATTAATTATACTGGTAAAAACGCCATGATCATGTTTATTTTTATTGGCAAAATATTTAGCACGTTTCGCATTTTTATTGTATAGATGTCAGATGTATATGAAATACTTGACAGTCGAAATGTTTGGAAGAGAATTGAGAACGGGACTCGACCACAACACGCAACGGTAAGTAATATAAGTATTTAAAACACAAAGAGCTGATCCTGTGAGGTCATGTGGCGCCATTTAGATATGGTGTTTTCATTATGCTGGGGTCCTGTTCAGTGCTTGTCGGGTGAAAATATTTATGGAATGAATGGGTGAGCCCCTCGGGTCCACCCTACTAAGTATAACCTCTGGTCTCATCTTGTAGCAGAAGGGGAGCCACGATGGCTCAGTGAGTAAGACGCTGGCTCGCTAACCTGGAGGTCCCGAATTTGATCCCTGCGTTGGCCCATAAAGTCTATCGGGATTTTCCGGCGTGGTTCCCCCTTGCCAGTGGCGCAGGACGGTGTTTGCGGCAAGGGACAACGTATAGTCATTCGGATTGTACGTAAAAGAACCCTTGGCAGTTGGAATCCGATATAGGAGTAGATCATAGCGCCGTTGTCGGAACACAATTTCCCTCATTGCACACTGTATGGCGTAGCTAATGCACGTCTTCATTAGTCCATTAGGAGCAGAACAGTAGGACGTTAAATAAACCCATTTCATATTACTTCATGTGTACCGGAAGTTGGGGGTGGGTCTTAGCGACGGGTATTACGCGTATGTTTAATTAAATCATAGAGGACGCCACTGAGTCAAGTGGCGTGGTTTCGATTCCAAGCTTGTTGTGGTAACAAATAAGGTCACCTGTTCAACCTCCTGGGTTTCCTTCTTTCATCATTATCAAATCCAATAAACAAGCAAATCAAAGCCTTTCAAACGCTGTTTGTGAAATTTTATGTATTTTTTATTTATAGAGTCTTCGATCTGATAATAAAAATATAGAATTAAATCTGGAGGACAAACAGCTAGAAGAGGTAAATATTTCATGTATAGGTTGTGATTTGTTGTCTAGTTTAAACTTAATTTACTGGCATTCTGACAGGCAACATGCGAATTATTTACTGGTATTTAAATGTTATCTATTGAAAAATCTATCCCATATATTAAGGTTGTCGTGAGAATGGCACTGGATCGCAAACCTAGAGGTGGTTTCCCTTTGTCAGTAGTGCAGGACGGAGTACCTGGCGCAATAACTGAGGTCAAGGGTAAACCTTAAACCAATTTTTGGCTGAGTGGTCTAACGACTGAGCTAGATTATGATATCTGAATATATAACGGGTAGGGTAGCTTTCCCCTTTGAGGTAAATGCAATTAACGTGACAATACAGTCCCAAATACCACATATAACGTTGTTTTTTTTTTTATATTTTGGTTGTTATCAGGAAATATCTCAGGTTAATATCAGTGAAATTAAAGTACGCTATTTGATAGATGAAGTCAGGGATTGCTTTATTGTTTGCTGTGAATTGGAATTGAATGCTACTGCTCCCAGAATAACGGCTGAATTAATACTATCACTTCTCCACTACCCTGTGACCATCTTTCCTGATACGTGTGGTAAATATTTATATCAAATATCCAGTATTCTATAACCCTTTTACTGATACGTGTGGTAAATATTTATATAAAATATTCAGTATTCTATATTTATAACCAGGCCCGTAACTTGGGGGGGGGGGGGGCGCAGGGAGGGCGAAGCCCCACCCCCTTGCAAATAGTCCCCCCCCCCCCCCTGTGAATAAATTTTCAACCATAAAAAAATAGATATACATTGTCCGTCAATATTACAGCACCCCCGAGAACACCCCCCCCCCCTTGTTGCTCTGGGCTATATTACGGCCCTGTTTTTAACCCTTTTATCTGATACGTGTGGTAAATATTTATAATATCATATAGCAACTATTCTGACACGTACTGATAATGGATCTGTTAAATCGTCACACGTTAAAGAGAGAGAAACTAGGTCAGTTCGGGACTAACATATGGTTTAATTCTATTTCAATTATTCGCTTGCACGTAGGGGTCTTTAGCAGTGGGAGGAAACCGGAGGACCGGAGAAACCCCACGAGGTTGGACAAGCGACCCTACTCCTTGTCACGTACAACCGGGGACTCGAAACCACGCCAGTTGACTCTATGACAGGCCTTATGATACAGCACGCACGTGCTAACCATTCGGCCATTCAACCCCCCAGTCACATGTTTAAATGAACATCGTATAGCCGTATTTCCGTAAAATGGAATAGGTTATTAAGCCGGTGCAGTGCAGTGGCAATGTCGGAAAATGTACGTGGAGGCCTTGAGCTAGGTGACCTTAAACAAGCTCAAACTTAACAGATAATTATGATGATGAGAAAACCCAAACACAGTGAAACTAGATATTTGCTGAAATTTTGGAAGCGAAGACAAGTCTGTTTATAAACTCATAATATAGAAGTCAACGGGTTTTTTTTAAGGAAGGGAGCCGCCCCGAACCTAGATAATGGAGTGTTGGGTTGTAGACCTCTCAACCCGTATATAAATCTGGTACCGACAGAGAGGATGAAAACGGACGTAAAACCCAACAAACGAACGAAAGAGTTGATGTTTTTAAATTTTATTTAAACATTAAAATGGTTCAGGGGAAGTAACTCTTATTTACTCCTAGTCAGAGACTAAAGTTCTCCAAGGAATCTACAAAATGAAATGAAATGAAATGGAGTTTAACGTCCTACTGTTCTGCTCCTAACCTGGGCTAATGAAGACGGGCATACGCCATACAGTGTGCTATGAGGGAAATTTTGCCCGCACAGCGGCACTACGGCCTACTCTTATATCGAATTCCAACTGCCAAGGGATCTTTTACGTGCACGCCAATGTGTACGCGGGACCTCGGTTTTTCGTACCATCCGAACGACTAGACAGCTTTCCTTGTCAGCCCCTCCGTCCTGCATCACTGACAAGGGAGAACCACGCTGGAAAATCTGGATGAACTTTCTCTTATCGAGATTTTCCGACGTGGTTTCACCTTGTCAGAGGTGGTATAGAATGGGGACCTGACAAAGAAAGCTGTCTAGTCGTTCGGATGGGACGAAAAACCGAGGTCCCGTGTATGCGTTGCGTGCACGTAATAGATCCCTCGGCAGGTGAAATTCTATATAAGAGTAGGCGATAGTTCCGCTGCATGGGCAAAATTCCCTTCATAGCGTATGCATAGCGTATGCCCGTCTGCATTAGCCCAGGAGCAGAACAATAGGACGTTAAACCCCATTCCATTTCATTTCGTTACTAACCTGAAGGTTCAACAAAAGACCTAAGTAAGGAAGCTGAAATACACAGTAAAGTAATATTTTAGTTGCAATTAGTCAGTGAATAGTGTAATAAATTACAACATATACTCATGAAAAACAGCTACTGGTTTATTTGGGCGACGTTTCGAGGAATATTGTCTATCCATTTTGAAGAGTATTCTCTCAACGCTATCAATTTGGAGCAGTATTCTCTTAGCGCTATCAATTTTGAAATATTCTCACAACGCTTCCAATTTGGAATAGTATTCTCTCAACGCTATCAATTTTGAAGAGTATTCTCTCAACGCTAACAATTTTGGAATATTCTATCAACCTTATCAATTTCAACGTGTCTGCCCTTAATATTATCAACGAGTCTTCTCTTAAAGGGGCATTATGGGAGATTAGATACAGAGTCTTCGCTTAATGGGGAGGGGGGGCGTGGCCGAATGGTTTGCGTGTACGCGTTGTATCATAAGGTCTGAGTCAACTGGCGTGGTTTCGATCCACCGGTTGTAAGTGACAAGGAGTAAGGTCGTCTGTCCGATCTCGTTATTTTTTTCCGGGTCCTCCGGTTTCCTCCCACTGCTTAAGACCCCTAAGGGCAAGCGAATTATTAAAATTAAATTGAACCATATATTAGTCCCGAAATTACCTAGTTTTCTTCTGTCTAGTGGACATTACCCCCCCCCCTCTCTCTCTCTCCTCTTATCTTAACGTTAGAGATGAACGGTCTTAATCCTGTCTAGTTTGAGCCCCTTGATATTACTGCTTAATCAAATCATGGTAAATCGACAGCGTTTGTTTTCCCGACCCGTGAAGACCTCTAAACGGCTAATACCCTTTTTAAAAACCATTACCACCACCAAGCGATCATATTTTTTTTATATTTTATTCCAGAGAATGGTGTCTGCCTTATAGATAACCAAGTGGGCAACCTCCATAAACTGATATTTGTACAAAAACTCTTCTCCCAACCAACGATTAATTCACAATATGAACTGATCTTTCACTTTACCCTCTCACATGCTGATCAGATATCACTAAGCTTTCAGTTTCACAAAATTTCAAATGTACTAAATCCCACCAACACCAACAGGAAGTGATTCCGGAATACTCAGTACAATACATCAACCAATCCAGCGTAGCGTATGATCCACGTGGCAACCAAACGAAGATACGTTTGTTTTCAAAGGTAAGGGCGGACCCGAAAGATTTAGCAGTTTTCGCATCCTCAACTGGATTTGAGACTGATAAATGGAATTACAGGTACGATGAACTCCCAGATGATGCACTTGAATGGTCCGAAGGGATGGTCACGGCGAAGTATTTGATTAATTATTCTGATAAGCGTACAAACAATGGTTTGTATAAAACTGAGGCACAATTTCGACCATATAAAGACAATCCGAGTTTACGATGGTATTTGATTGTAAAGCGAATATATCGAGTTTTCCCAAACAATCAAACGAGACCAAACTTGGTCTCAAAGAACTCGGTAGAATGTTGGCGTCAATCATATAGGGTATTGATTGGCTCGCCATTTTCTTTAGATTGTAACGTGTTTGGGTTAAGTTACCCCAGCGTGACGGTTTATAAAAATATAAACGGAACTACATCTGATGATTTTCCTGGTTTTGAGATTCTGAAATTTACCAACAATGATACGATGAAAATCATAATGACGACATATAGCATGCAGCCAGAAGATGGAGGCGAGTACGTCATCAAAGCAGTTGCTAATAATATAACTGTATCTGAGACGGTACGACTGGTGGTCTCTGGCGAAATGGTGCCATGACTTAAACCAATCGTAATCTTCAAAAATGATAAATTCCTGTAAAACAAAACATAACATTCCAAACTTCCAGAATTTTGGTAGCTTGTTTCCAGACAAACGTACAAAAACACAAGTTTCAGTCTTTTAAAACATTTTAGATGTCTTTTGTAAATGCTTAAAATGTGATATAATTTAGTAAAGTTTTTAAAATGATGCTTGAAATGGTACACGCGCATAATATAATTACAGAACATCAATAAAGGAATATGAAAAAAAAGCAGGTTTTCTTTAGATTATCTCCCCTTGGACTTTTAACCGGATAAATAATTATCAGTGGCCGGTTGATCAAAACTAAGTTATTTTAACGATCTGTTAAATTCTAACGGATCGTTATCTAGCTAACGTGTCGTTTGTTAACGGTCTGTTAAATTTCTGTTGCTGGAAAGTCAATTTCATTATCCGTTAGCTAACGGATTCATTACAGTTAATCCAAGGTCCGACGGATAACTTTACCCACAATTAATTTCTACATCCTGGTTACCGGTACATTAAACATTTTTTTGCAAAATGGCCGACAACGTTACTGCAACAGACAAAAAAAGAAAATCAAGGAGCAAGAATTTTACAATTGAGGATGAAAATTTAAACCAAACCTTGGTGGAACAACATAGTCTCATTATAAATTCAAAATTGTTTAATGAGATTACAAATCGTAAAAAAAATGAAATATGGAAAAGTATTACACAAAAAGTAAATCTGCAAAATGTTGCCTCACTAAGCATAAAAGAGGTCAAAGACAAATGGGGCAACATGGCACAAAAGGCTAAAAGGATTTTTACGTCCTACAGGACCAGCCAACACAAGACAGGTGGGGGCCCCCACCAAAAGATTTAGATTATCTCACCTTGGACTTTAACCGGGTCAATAATTATCCGGGCGACAAATTAACCGGATATTATGCACATTGAGGTCAGCTATGCTAATAAGTAATAAAACCGAAAGTGACATAATATTACCCATTTCAAGCCATATAATTCATTTTTATATGAACGTAAAGGCCTGACAGTTCTTACCATTCTGAACAACTAAGACACGCTACCTGCGGAGAAGTATCTCAGACACAGTCAGTAGCCATGACATCCATATCACGTGATCTACACATCACAGATCATGACATTGGCGTCAATGGGTCAAGAGGTCAACAGGTCAACATTGTAAACAATAGGTTTATCTTCAGCATTGTGTCCGTTGCACCCATAAAGACTATATAATTCGTACAGTCCCAACATGTTCTCTCTTCTTCCAATGATTTTTCACAAAAATAACATCTACAACTCATAGAATTGACGTTGTCTTCAATGACAGCGTCTGCGAGGGTTGTTCATAGAGGCCGCCATATTGCACTATTTTGTGCGTCGGTCGGGTCTATTTCAGACATACACAATCAATTTTGTTGATGTTTTTAGCGTTGGGATTGACTAATAGTTAATGTGTTTCAGTTCTAAAACAAATATTTTAAACTTTAACGCAAATTTAGAAAATAGCCAAATTCTGGCTGGGATTACTGAGCAAAATGGCCATTCACTGTATACGTGCGAAAAAAAAGCTAGCCACCAATTAATTTTCGTACGTTAGTTACGTACGAGTTCTTACTATAATAGTTTAAAAATAGATAATGGAAAGTTTCCTCTATATAATCTTGCTTGTCATGTGACATTGCTACGATTATAAACAAAGACTCGATTATCCATTTTAACGTTAAATAACAAAATGGCGCTGATGCTGTAATCTGTTCAAAATCACGGTCATCCGATGTTCTAGACAGCTGATTATGGATTTGTCAAATGCTTAAATAACAATCTATATAAAAGGATTTGAGGCCGAAACAAAGACCTACAAATATCAGATTTATCGCTTATATAATGCATCCATAATATTGAACACTATAAATAAGTAAACACTATATAATATCTTCTCTGGTGGTTGGCAACACAACATAATACAGAGCATAACAGCAACTGAAAAATTCCAGTCTCCCAATAATTTCTTCTTCGTTCACAAACCAAAATAAGATGGCGGATCTCCCAAAAAGGTCAACACAAGTATCCTTTACCACATCAAGTTGATATCTTACGCATAAGTCTTCGGGAGCCAAACTGATCCCTCCTTCTTCTCCTCTTTCTTCTCCTCCTTCTTCTGACGAATACCAGAATAATGATAAGAATGGTGAGCATCAAGACAAGAAGTCCAACCACTATCAGACTTGCCAAAATACCTTTACAGTGGTAAGATGTACCGATCAAAAGATCCGGGCAGTAGTTAGAAACAACTGAAATGACACGGTTTAAAAAGATATTTTCGAACTTGTGAAATGCGAACTATTAAAATCTCACTGGGATCCGATTTTTGCCGACGAATTGCGAATGGCACTCACGAGAGAATTTCCAAAACGTCTCGAAACGTTCGCAAGTTACCGCTCTTATGTCACTGGGAGTCTCTCTCAAAATAGTCGTGAGTGGCAGAAACGAAAGACAACTTTATGGGGATTTCGAGGTCTATGAAACAATATTGGAAACTAAAAATGAGAATCTTAAATTCTGGGCGCGACAGAACTGCGAATCTATTGAGAATCGCGACATAACTAAGACACTTTTTGACTAAATTGCGACAACAATCTTGGGGAACTTATACGTTATCCCAAAGATGACTTAATGACTATTAGTTTGTTACTAACCCGGGGAGCCACGGTGGCTAAGTGGGTAAGACGCTTGCTCGCTAGCTTGGAGCATGGGCGCAGATCCCGGTGGGGAAATCGGGACGCGTCCCCACCAATATTTTTAGTGGTGGGGACATGATATACTGTGTCCCCACCACTTATTTCTGATGTTTTGCTTACTGTTTATTTTTTGAAATTGAAATCATTCCAGAGTTTTTATTGACATTTCAGAAAGTGTAGAGCTGGTCCCGGGCACTTGAGGCCACCACCAATATGTTTAGTGGTGGGGACATGATATACTGTGTCCCCACCACTTATTTCCGATGTTTTGCTTACTGTATATTTTTTGAAATTGAAATCATTCCAGAGCTTTTATAGACATTTCAGAAATTGTAGAGTTGGTCCCGGGCACTTTAGGCTAGGGTGCTTGAAATTGTACAGCTGCACCCGGTGACCGATTTTTATTTAACAGGGAATATGTGATAATTCATATTATAACAGTAAATAATTAAAACATTCCTTAGGGATTATAATAATATGTATATCATGTAGGTGTGCATATCTGATACGCTGGGTATTAAATAACTGAGATTTTGTTTTTATCTGGTATACTGGATGATAAATCACGCAAATTATAAAATTTCAAACACTTAATTTCTAACATAACATCACCACTGTCACATTCAAAATAGATACTATAATACAACTGGTACTATGTGAATCATTAAAATAGCTATGGGAACAATATAAACAGCTAGATTTACCTTTTAAAAAAAGCGAAAGGTTATTATTTCAATGAGGTCGCCATTTTTGAATTTTAACGTGGGAAAATTCGCCTTTGCCATCGGATTTTTAATCACCAATGAATAATACAGTAAAATGTTACATTTATTTCAATTGGGATTGAATATTGATATGTTTAGCTGTGTGTGTGGCTTATTTTAGTTTATATAAATTAAAAGATTTGTAGGCCTGTATCCAATTGAATACACATTTTGCTCAAAGACATTACTACTGGGAATGGAGGCGGAGCTGGAATCTCAGTAGTGTAAATATTTCTAGCTCTTGTAGTGTACATGAGAGAACAAATCGTGAACGGTGGCTTGAAGATTTCGTATCATTTGCTGCCTCAGGGATTAGAATTGTTTGCCAGAAAATGATGCTGAAAATACCCACAGAGTGCGTTTTAGAGCGTCTAGTTTTCAAAAAATTTCGGGAGATGACCACCGAACCCCCTCTTTACCAATAGTCGCCCGCGCATGGACTGTCCCCACCACTAATTTTGGGCGATCTGCGCCCCTGGCTTGGAGGTCGCGCGTTCGATCCCTGCATTGGCCGAGAAAGTTTAACGTGATTTTCCGACGTGGTTTCACCTTGTCAGTGATATATAAACCGGTTTGAGATATATAAACCGATGCATCTAAACTTTGAATTATGGAATTTAAAGAAGATTTAACCGGAATAATTAGTTGTAGGCGTGGCATCTGATTATTATTATGACAGGTTCCAAATCCTAATCTTTGTCTCACGAATGTTTTATGCGTTCCTATTTTACCCTACGTGTCATTTCAACTATATAATTTGAGTCTACCGATATTTTTGGACAAGGAACTGGGTGTCCAAGCGGTACTCATCTTGTCGCTGTTATTCCTCTAGGTCTTTCAGACGACACTCTCTTAAAACGGAAAAAGCCATCAAATTCAATTATGATCAACATGACACTTTAACGTGCTTGTTCCTTGGACAATTCCGCACCGATTGACAACTTAGATTTTTAATATGATGTGACAATTCCAAGATGGCTACGATGACGTCAATTCTTTCCCAAGGCCATAGTGCGGCCATAATAATTGTTTTGTTAGCATAAGATTACTTACTGGATATAGTTGTTGTGGTTGTGGTTGTGGTCGTGGTTGTGGTTGTTGGTTCTTGGTTACCTAGATAATAAAGATAGGGCTGGAGTTAAGCTTCTAGGTGACACAATCCTTAGATCATTATAAGACTAACATATGGTTAATTTTTAATTTACAATTGCATAATGAATCGTCATATTATTTTGTAGCAGAAATGATTACACAATTGCATAAAAAGAATCATCATGCATGAGGAATCGTAATTATTGTTTTTATGAGATATGATAACACAATACAAATCAATTGCATGAGGAATCATAATAGTATTTTTACGATATATGATGACACAATGCGAATAATGTATAACTGAATTCCAGAACTGCTTTGATTTAATCTAGAACTGACTTACAAAACTCTGACCAATTCTTGTGGTGATTCAAAGGCAGTTTTTGTTTTAATACTGTGTAATCTATGTCTTGGCACAGACCAGTGGGATGGAGTCCAGCACATTCTACTGCATGGTGAAGCTGGCTGGAAAGGACAGAAATACACACAAGACACACCAGATTACGTTTAGATGCTTTAAACAACTATAGGGTGATTTTCTAATTCTTCGCTCGGAATTAAACAACTATAAGGCGATTTTCTAATTCTTAGCTCGGCCTAACACAACTACGGGGGGATTTCTAATTCTTCGCTCGGCCTAACACAACTACGGGGGGTGGAGGTGGGGGGGGGGGGTCTAATTCTTCGCTAGGACTGAAACAACTATCGGGTGATTTATAATTTTTCGCTAGGACTAAAACAACTATAGGATTATTTCTAATTCTTCGCTCTTTTAACCATGTGTAAGATAACCGACCTTCATAAAGTTTCAGCGCACGCAATGTTTACATAACGTGAACATGTCCGGGCAGAATGGCGCCTTTTACTCATTCTATACTCATTTACACTAAATAGGAAATATTTTTATCCAGATATACTTCAAACACCTTTATTTATTTTTCTATTACCTCAAGAAAATGTTCTAGAATCTAATTTGCAGACGGAAAAAAATAATATTGCGAGCCCATTAACTCGCACCGATTTCATCCCTCTCAGTGACATTAGCCACCTAGCGAATATTCACTGCTGATCAGCGCGTAAAGGGCCATAACTGCCAGATCCGAATAAAATAGTTCATTAAATTACTTGCCTACACCACCAAGATGAATTTTCAAAAACATTCACATTCATCCGTCCATTAAACAATTTTTTGTAACAGTTCATAAATGAATTACAGCTGGTATAAATCACGTCCATGGTACCTAAAACATAAATTAACCGTAAACAATCAGCGGAGAGAGAGAGGGAGAGAGAGAGCGGGAGAGAGAGATAGAGGGTGGCGGCCACTCGACATAAACTAAGTCATTTCAGGACTAACATATATGGTTCAATTTTATTTCAATAATTCGATTGCGCGTAGGGGTCTTTAGCAGTGGGAGGAAATCGGAGGACCTGGAGAATACCAAGGAGGTTGAACAGGCGACCCTACTACTCCTTGTCACGTACAACCGGGGAATCGAAACCACGCCAGTTGACTCAATGATATTAAAACAACCAATGTGAAATTATGCATACCTTCACATAGCTGTATGGAATAGTTCTTCAGTAAGTTGAAACTGATCCCTCCAACGGTTGAATACAGCCTGCTGTTTTCCTGATCAGCTGCACATTGTAGAAATGTTGTAATTGTCCTATGATTTACATAAATTGATATATAGGTATGACTGTAAATTTCGGCATTTGAATACAAAATAAATGATTTGACTTTTTGTCATTACGTATGACTTGCAAAAATCACTGTATGACTGTATATTTTAGCATTTGAATAAAAAATAAATGATTTGACTTTTTGTCCTCTCAAATGATAAAATATAAAACACCTTGGAATTTCAATGTTATAAACATTTGGGGTTTTTTTGTGCCACCCCCCACCCCCACAACCCATAGCATCTTATCTTGTTCATTGTGCCAATTCAGTGGGCACCACGCCCCATCAAGATTTGATGCATACGGTGAATGCGTGACTTTAGAAATAGAAATACTTACGGACAGTTTTCGACAGGAGATTTGCCATATAGCGATTGATTTAATCTTGCATCTAAACACTCTGAAATACATATTATATTTACTTAGAGTTGTACATGACTATTGGTGTAGCAATTCTATCTGATTTTATGTTTAGTATGGTAAAATATTGAAATGAAATGAAATGAACGTCCTACTGTTCTGCTTCGAACTGGGCTAATGAAGACGGGCATATGTTATACAATGGGTTATGAGGGACATTTTGCCTGGACAGCGGCACTATGGCCTACTCTTATATCGAATTCCATCTGGCAAGGTATCTTTTACGTGCACGCCAATGTGTACACAGGATCTCGGTTTTTCGTCCCATCCGAACGACTAGACAGCTTTCTTTGACAGATCCCCCTTCCTGCATCACTGACAAGAGGAAACCACGTCGAGTTCCTAGAGAGAATAATTGTCAGGTTAGTATAAATTTATTTTGGTCATTAACTGGAATACTTTTGAAGAACTAAAACTATCTGAAATATTTGAACAGGAATTGTGAGAATAGGGTTTAACTATATTACACCCCTATTCGCATTGATATGGTTAAAATCTATGAAATCCGATACATTACAGAGCTCATGGTGGAATTATTCAAAATTCAGTGGATTGTTTATTAGTATACGACAAGAGGAAGAAATCCACCACGGATAGTAAATTGTGAATGCGTTTCGCTGAGTTATCGCCATGTTAAAATTTGGACTTGTAAAGCTTCTACGACTGGATAAAATTTTAAATGGACTTTACGTTTGAATACCTAGTGTGCTTGTTAATTGACCAACAAAACAACGGGGTTTATTGTCGTTATATTGCAGAGCAAGTGCGGATTGCGTTTCCGGTTATTTGTTTTACCACAAACAAGGTCATTGTCTAATGCTAAATAATCGTGCTCGAAGACTTTTCGAAGTACGCTCATGGTATAAAACAGAGTTGGACCTCACACGTTGATGCATCGGCCAATGAAGACAACACGTCGATTGAACAGTTTGGTGACCAACAACGGTTATTTAAAAGTGGTGTCGTTTATAGTAGTAGTTTCAATGGGCTTCGTTTTGCCTCACAATCTCCCCTCACATCCCACACACCCACACTCACACACATACACACTATTCTATCTACGAGGAACTGAATTGGACTTGGAACTGAGTTACATGCATACCGGACAACTCCCTCAGCAGTACTTACCGATAATTGGAACGGTAGGGACACATGTGCGGCTTGTATACAGGAATTGGTTCTTTGTATCACAAACTTCATCAGGACAAGTTACATCAACTGAGCAACACCACTGCTGGTCTTTAAAAAAGCTTAAAAGTAAATACATCAATGCACTATGCTTTTAGAAAGGCCAATATCTCCCCCCCCCACACACAAACCCGTTTCAGTTAACACACGACATTCTCAGAATCCTTTCAAACTCACGTGAAATACCAAAACTGCTAGAAACACACACAATTGAAGAATCCCGAGGAAGAGCGATCTAAGTCACTTTTTCATCTGGTAGCAAATTGTATAAGCTTTCTGTGGAACAATCTTTTTCAGGTAAAAACGATCGGAATCACACCGAACCAAGGCCCTTCTGAAATGGCCTCTCGGACAAATACAAGTCCATCGTACCCTTTATTTAACCTTAATTTGCCTGAAAAGTTGAAGTCAGTTGTACTGGTAATTATGATTCGTATTAAACATCATTTTGAAGTTGTAATTAAACCCACTCGTTGTTCTGTTCGCGTCAAACATTCTCGTCCAAAAGTCTGTTTCGCCTTTTATGCGAAAAGACAAAAATGTGACTTCGATCGTTCTTCCCCTGGACTCTTCATTGGTAATTGTGGTTATAAATCAACATTTATCAACATTGTGCATATGGGCCTGGGTCTTTTGGGGAAATAAAATGAATGATGTTAGACGTTCTAGTGTTTTACTCCGAATGGGCGGGCTGATGACGAAGCAGGTCTTTTGGAGGGTTAGGGCTAACATATGCTTCTATTATTTCATCAGGTTATGTTTTAAGGACCAGATTTTCTCCCTTGTGTAATCGGAAGCCAACCAAAGTTTCACATTCTACAGCAGCTATTCGTCAAGTCGAACGCCTAGTCCCGTCAACGTTGGTTTTGAAAATTTCATTGAGGTCTGGATTTGTGAAAACCTAATGAAACTACTAATCTCATAAGTAGCTTATTTATTAAACAGTGATTTGCTCAGAAATAATTACGTGCTAAAGTTAACACTCTAAAAGTTATACAAACACGGCCACTGCTTGATAAATCGAAACACAAATGATTTTCGAATATACTTACTTGCATGCATTTTCGATATGACCTGTTGAATAAGCTCTAGTCGCCATCTCCTTATCTACAGAACAGGAACAATTCTGGCTTATAACCAGTCCATTTAATAGTTGATGGATAATTAACATAGACCCTTTAATATATAATTTAATAGTTGATCGATAATTAATATAGTCCCTTTAAATATAAATTAATAGACACAGACACATAGACACTTAACATAGACACTTTAATATATAATTTAATATTTGGTGGATAATTAACATAGGTCCTTTAATATATAATTTTATAGTTGATGGATAATTAACATAGACACTTTAATATATAATTTAATAGTTGGTGGATAATTAACATAGGTCCTTTAATATATAATTGAATTGTTGGTGGATAATTAACAAAGGTCCTTTAGTATATAATTTAATAGTAGGTGGATATTAACATAGGTCCTTTAATATATAATTTGATAGTTGGTGGATAATTAGCATAGGTCCTTTAATATATAATTTAATAGTTGGTGGATAATTAACATAGGTCCTTTAATATATAATTTAATATTTGGTGGATAATTAACATAGGTCCTGTAATATATAATTTTATAGTTGATGGATAATTAACATAGGTCCTTTAATATATAATTGAATAGTTGATGGATAATTAATATGGTCCCTTTAAATATAATTTAATAGTTGATGGATAATTAACATAGACACTTTAATATATAATTTAATAGTTGGTGGATAATTAACATAGGTCCTTTAATATATAATTTAATAGTAGGTGGATAATTAACATAGGTCCTTTAATATATAATTTAATAGTTGGTGGATAATTAACATAGGTCCTTTAATATATAATTTTATAGTTGATGGATAATTAACATAGGTCCTTTAATATATAATTGAATAGTTGATGGATAATTGATATAGTCCCTTTAAATATAATTTAATAGTTGGTGGATAATTAACATAGGTCCTTTAATATATAATTTAATATTTGGTGGATAATTAACATAGGTCCTGTAATATATAATTTTATAGTTGATGGATAATTAACATAGGTCCTTTAATATATAATTGAATAGTTGATGGATAATTAATATAGTCCCTTTAAATATAATTTAATAGTTGATGGATAATTAACATAGACACTTTAATATATAATTTAATAGTTGGTGGATAATTAACATAGGTCCTGTAATATATAATTTTATAGTTGATGGATAATTAACATAGGTCCTTTAATATATAATTGAATAGTTGATGGATAATTAATATAGTCCCTTTAAATATAATTTAATAGTTGATGGATAATTAACATAGGAACTTTAATATATAATTTAATAGTAGGTGAATAATTAACATAGGTCCTTTAATATATAATTTAATAATAGGTGGATAATTAACATAGACCATAGACGATTCGTATACCAAGGGTAAAATGTCTTAAATATTGGATATCAAAAGCCCATCTTTTTCTCGGTAAGACCACAACATCAATGTTCATTTAAATTGACAAATAATTCGTGTTTTAATATCGAAGACTCTGGATGATATCGCGTTAAAGACTTAGCTACTTTAACTTTCGCTTTAGAGAGCACATGAACTATATTATAAATAACGAAAAACACCTATATTAAGCCACACACCTGATTCAACGTGTAATAGCTGATTACTGAACCATAAAACCATACATGAAGCAGATGTTTACTTCAATCCGATCAAAACATAGATCATTTTTCGTTTCGCTTTTTTTTTTACAAGTGATATTTTGTTTATTACAGTTCATTCTTCACGACAGTAACACGTCATATCATATTTCGTTTCGTTATAGTATATATATTGTATTGGGTTAAACGCCATTCCTTCTACTCTTCCTCAAATTCTAACTGCCATGGGATGTTGTTCCATGTTCAAGCTACCGTGTACACAGAAAATCAGATTTTCGTCCATTCCGAAAGACTAGATATTCCTTATAATAATAATAATAATAATAATCGTTTTCTATAGCGCTGAACATTCAGTCAGTCTGACTGCTCTGTGGCGCTTATCTGTTCCCTGTGTCACTGATAAAGGGAAACCACGTTGAGCCACGGTGTTTTATTAACCTGGCATTCTATTTGATAGAGGGGGTTGTATGGTCAAATGGTTAGCGCGTGCGCGTTGTATCATAAAGTCTGTCATTTAGTCAACTGGTGTGGCTTCAATTCCCTGGTTCTCTCCCACTGCTAAAGACCCCGAAGCGTGACCTCTCTCTCTCTCTCTCCCTGTGACTCTTAGCGAGATCTCCCACGACAACCGACTACCGTGGAGCGTCATAAAACGTATCACCTATTGCAATCATGTTGTGTTTCAATCGGATTAAAACACAGATCCTATTTCGTTTCGGTTTTTTTTATAGTTCAAAATTTTGTTTTACTTGTCCTTCATACATGACAAAGCAAAAAATATATTTCTAAATATCCATTTGAAACATAAAACCCCTCCCGGGGGTTGGGTGCCGGATGGTTAACGCGTGCGTGTTGAATCAGAAGGTATGATTCTACGGGTCGCCTGTTCACCCCCCCCACTCTCTCTCTCTAACTCCACCCCAATCCCTCCCCCACACACAAGATATCCACAAAGCCATAATGGACCACTCCTTGATACATATATATACCATGTATTATATTTCGATGAGTTCGACATCAAGTATCATAATACACGTATTTCATTCAACCAAAGTAAGTGAAATCCTAAACCATGAACGCAATTACCTTAGAGGATGTTATGTTACAACACATTTAGTTAAGAAGAGGGTTACTGCGCTTGTAAAATTATAAAAACAAAAGCAATAACAAGGAAAAAATAACTCCTCTTTTGATTGGCCAGATGTTAAATCAGATATCACAAACAATCCATGGCCATATAAGGTGATGTTATATTTTAACTTTCGCGGCTATTTATTTTCTAACTTTTTTTGTTAAAAACTAACCAAGATTCCGATATATTTACCAAACATTCATGTGGATGAGCGAGTAAGACACTGGCTCACTAACTAGGAGGGACTGGAGTCACCCCCCTCCCCCTTATCAGTGGTACAAGACGGGGGGACTGGCAAGAGACAACCTCTAGTCTTTAGTAAAGGACAAAACACTTACGTCCTATGTATATGATGGGGAGGGGGGGCGGCCGAATGGTTAGCACGTGCGTGTTGTATCACGAGGTCTATCACTGAGTCAACTGGCGTGGTTTCGAATCCCCGGTTGTACGTGACAAGGATTAGGGTCGGCTGTCCAACCTCGCGGGTTTTCCCCGGGGTCCTCCGGTTTCCACCCACTGCTAAAGTCCCCTACGCGCAAGCGGATTATTGAAATAAAATTGAACCATATGTTAGTCCCAAAATGATATAGTTTGTGTCGATTGGGCGTTAAACCCCATATATCTCTCTCTCTCCCTCTCCCTCTCTCTCCCTATGTGTATGTAGGCGTTCACCAAAATCAATTTTGCTTTTTGAAACGCAAGTTTCCGTCTGGTATCAACCCTTACATTTACAAAGAGAAAGAATAATAAAAACAATTTTGGACAAGGAACTTGTCGTCAAAACTACTCATGTTGTTCTTGTTGTGGTTGCTGTGTTTGTGGACCAAGCTCTAAGGTCGATATGAAACTTGGTAAGCATGTTTCTTGGACAATTGTGCATCGATTGAATTCGATGTTTGATTCCAAAATGGCTGTCTGGTCCATAGTACGATGGTACTTGAACAGTTTCTAAATATTTCGTTAATATATGTAAACAGTGACCATGACCAAATCGGCTAGTGGCCATAATATTTAGACCTAACTGATGGTACCCCAACCCCCCAACCACCAATTGAAAATATACACATTAGAATATAATAATAATATCAAACCTACCTATGGCTTGCATTGTAGTAACCATCGTGTTGTAGTATTGGAAACATTTATTAACTCATTCCATCCTAGTAACCATTTTAAAAATCCTAGTAAGATCAATCTGAACAATAAGAGAAAAAGCTTCAAGTTACTGTGTGAGCTTTCAAAAAATTTCAAAAGGATTTCTTCGATAATGAACAAACTACGTAATTATTGCTGTTAAAAACTTGCTAATGTGTTTGAAATCACGTCCTCTTCAATAAAATCCATTAAATTTCCCAACGAAAATACAAGTTCTAAAAAGTGATTTCAAACACATAGGTATATTTGTAATAACTATAATTAAGGAGTTTGTTCTCACGGTAACAACAATCACTGCATTTCGGTTCTAAGTTGTACGCATCATATTGATGCATGTATATCAATATTATATTATTAACCGAATTTAAAGTAAATTAAACTTAACTAAAACAATTTATGAACACAGCTAAATAACGCTGCATCAGAAGACAGCTGTGCATCTTAAACTGTACTATACCACTTAAAAACATTACTTTTAACACGGGGAAAAAAAGCTAATTGGTTGATTAATGTTACAGCCACACCTAACATCTACTCAACATATACCTGGCCTTAAAGTAGCCAAGTCTCTAACTCATTATCATCCAAAATCTTCAACATTGAAAACACGATTTATTTATTAAATTAAATCAACATTCATGTTGTGATCTTACCGGATATCCAATATTTAAGACAAAATAAACATTTTACCATTGGTACACGAATCGTGTACCATAATGCGCTTCAGCCCCAGTTGTATCAAGAGACTCGAGGGACGAGGCTAAACACATTGCACCAAATCAAACGGCGTATGTAGACTGGAATAACCAGACGCTAGAAATTTGCACTCGCTTGAGACTGCTGGCTTATTTCGCCGAACATAACTGATTTGAAATTGGAGTAAAAACGGAAACCATTGATTGTAAATCAGTTTATATACATTCATATTACAGTATTATATGCGTTGCGACCCACTTTTGTCAATTTCTAGGTCCCAAATGTTAGCGATTTAGCTCCTTTAACAAGTTTAACTGATTGACTATAAACACTCCAAGCATATTTCAAATATTTTGATTAAAATCACCATCCGTGAATAAAGGCTGTATGAAAGCCTATAGCATGTAAACAAGTTGAACTATTTTATGACACCAAATATATGTGAATGACCATATTGTATAGTATTGAGATTCTGTTGCATATCAGATTCATACTATTAAAATTAAATTCTAATTTAATCAATGGACTTACCTACTTAATCGAAACATCCATTCATTCCCCCGACAAAATGACGCACGTGGTCCTGATAGACCTATATCTTATAATATTGATAACGCACCTTCTCCACGATGCATCTTTCTGTGAAAAACGTGTATGTTGTTATTGTGTCACTATCGTCATCATCAGATAATCTTGGTTCTATATCTCTATTAAAACTAGACGAGCGAGTATACACTGTAACAAAAATTTCCGTGAAAAAACGTAAAAAATTCCGGAAACAAAAATTACCAGGAAAATTTTATCCGTATTTGTTTTTCCTGTAATTTACAGAAATTCCTTCAATTAACATAAATTCCATTTTCAAATACAGAAAAAAAAAATCCTGGTAAATTTTGTTTCCTGACCATGAAGGTGATAAAAATTTCATTGAATTAACCATTGACTTTATACGCGTGCGTGAAATAGCTTTATTTAACGTCCGCTTCCACCGAAGTGATATCGCAAATAATTTTTAAACGTAACCACTTTTCGCTATTAAAAGAATCAAGAGCAAGGTATCAAAAACCGCTACTCGTCAGTGGTTGGAGGCTTTCAGATGTAAGTTTGCGGTATTATCAATTCGCAGGTATGCAGACTCTGCCATAGAGACAAACCGACTTACACTGGCCAACCGGTTGTACTATCCGGACTTTAGCGTGCTTGATTACCAGATATTACAACCTTAACACCCGCAGCATTAAAACATACTTTTACATATTTATGAAAATACTTACAATCTGATTACCGTATGATGAATAACAATACACTTTATAGATCTTATAAATAATGGAAATTAGATATACATGTCAATTAATATACCAAACGTTACAAAATATGATTCTTCATATTATGGTTAATAAATTGAAATGAATACTATAACATGATGATTATTAGGAATGATTATATATGTATACGATTACTTATCGTTGCACCGTTTATCCCGTAAAACAACAGAATTAAGTCCATTACAGAACGGAATAAAACATTTTATCCCTAAATTTCACGGAACTTCCTTGTCATTCCACCGTTTATTCCGTAAAATAACAGAATTCAGTCCGTTATAGAAGGGAATAAAACATTTTATCCCTAAATTTCACGGAAATTTCCTGTTTAATACTGAATATTCCACAGAAATACATAAAACACGTAATTTGAAGAAATAATTCAGACAATTAACACAATTTCTCCAAAAAATCCATCGATTAACAGAAAAAAGGTGTTAAATTACGGAATTCGGCCACATAAAAAATGGATATTTTTTACAGTGTAGGGCCTAGTATAACGTTCCACTTGAAAGAATCTTTTCAATATTTACAGGTTGATGGCGATGAAAGGTAAAGGTTTAGTTTGACTCATGAGATTGAGTTACTACACTTGTTTACAATAATTACCTTTAATATCTTTCCTCACCTGTTTCTTTTAAACTACACATTTTACTTTCCTTAGCTACCACAGAAAAAAACCCCAATAAAATATGGAAATTAAAAAAGTTGAAGATATTCTTTCAGTTCGACAATAGAAAAGAGATGGAGTTCAAAGTCCTGAATTTTCTGCACCAGTGAAGTTAATGAAGAGAGGCATACGTCATGCAGGGAAATTTTGCCCGAATTTAGAATGGTGTTTAACGTCCCACCTTTCTGCACCAACCGGGCTAATAAAGACGGGCATACGCCATGCAGGGAAATTTTGCACGAATTCTAAATGACACGTGTTCTTTTGTATGTACACCAATGAGTACACGAGGGTCAAGGATGATCTCAGTTTTCTTCGTCTTTTCTTTCCCATGAATTTCTCGGCTAACTCCTGGATCGAATTCAGGACCTCCTTGCTAGTGAGTATTAACGCGTGTCATTGAGACTAGTGGCATGGTGTCGATTCCCCGCTAGTGCGTGACAAGGAGTAGGGTCGCCTGTCCAACCTCGCGGGTTTTCTCCGGGTGCCCCGGTCTTCTCCCACTGCTAAAGAACCCTACGCACAAGCGAATTACATGTATTGAAATAAAATTGAACCTAATTTGTGTCGAGTGGGAGTTACCCCCCCTCTCTCTCTCTCTCTCTCTTTCTCTCTCTCCACGGGTTTTTCTTATCGGTTTTGTTTTGCGTGTAGTTTGGTTCTCCTACACTTGACTGACACGTAATCGATTCCTGAACCGGTAGCCCCTACAAGACTGACGCTTCTTCTAAACTAGTGTTCAGTATGTATAGAAAGTGGTTAGAAATTATACAGTGTACAGATGTCACTACTATGGTAAAAGCGTGACTAATGAAGACACCCCAATTCATTTTGTTTAAACGTATAATATGCAAGAGCTAAATCTGCCTATAGCAGGTCTTTCTTTAGGCCTGAAATGTTATCTAAATTATTAATTAGGCATGAATTAACTTATCCAGACCATAATGAACTCTCAATGTCATCGCTAGCCTGCGGTATTTACTGGATTATAATCCGATCTGCTGCTCAACGCTCATTCGTGATTAAATAAATAAAATAGACAATCGAGACTATGTTTTTTTATCGTACCGACTTTAGTAATGATGATCGAGGCTAGGCCCAACATTCAATCGCTAAATTCTCGGTTTATCTATTATAGTGAGAATTGCCAGCCCTTTATCCAATACCCATAATGTAACTTTAATATGCGTTTTAAAGAATAGATGTCTTCACCCTTTAATTCCTTTATTTTTATGATCGAGCTGTAATAAAATGTAAGTCACTATAAATGTATACCCGCCCACTACACTCTCGACTAGCCATTTAAAGGCAAGTAAGTCAATAGCACATATACGATGATAAGATATTTTTAGGTAAAAGCATATACAGTGTGAATACAATGAAACATTTCTATATATAAATCACTCAGAAATATTATAGCGGTTACACAATACACATTCATTTTATAAATGTATTATAGACGTATCAATAGATTATGTGGATATATGGTATTATAATACAATTTTTATTATTATTATTATTCGATTTATATAGCGCTTCATTACACATGAGTGTGTCTAAGCGCATTCACAACAAAACAATTCAAAAACATTTTTGAAATAAATATGTTCTAAGTTAGCCTTACAATGATATATCCGTTAGAAAAGCCATGTAATATATTGCTTAGATTTAGATATATTACACGAATTTATGTTCCGTCATCTTGATTCAAAATTGGTTTTAATCGGAGCTGCTGTTGTTTAATATTCTATGCTTTCTGATTGGAAACAAATGTTTCTTTGGTGCCGATCGATAGACAATCATCGTTTAATGTTACGGAGTATACATGTGACATAGACAAAAAGACCACTAATCGTCGAGTGACATTTATTATATAAGCACGACATTTCGCCAAGGATCCGTTTGTCGTTATCAAAAACACTACAGAAGTTTAAAGCAAATAACATCAACATTTTGGAGTAGCGTTGCCTGGAAACCGCTGACATCAGATCAATGTGAGACTTTATAAATCACGTACTGTGATGTTGAAACAGATCATAGACCAGATGAACCACCATGATCCAACATCTGACCATAGGGTCAGATATGAGGGAGAGATACAGAACGATGTACCCAAAGATGTCTTTATTTATTCCGAGATGGATGCTCATGAAATAAAGAGAAGCATCATTTCCTTGTTGATTGATAATCAAATATCATTTTGTGATTCGAGCTGCTTTCTTCCAGAAGAAACAGGATTGAATAGTTTTGCCAACTGCTTACAAAGCTCCAGACAAGTGGCTTTAATAATATCACCTCAGTTTCTGGATTGTAAATTAAGTTTATTCTATAGTGAGATGGCAGCACAGTATACAGGTGATATTATCGTAGTCGCATTCAATGTATTAATATCGCAAATACCGCAAAATTTAAAATCGTTTAATATTATATCAGTGAATGAAGATAAAGAGTGGTTTGTGAAAATTCAACAGTATCTTCAATCCCAGCGTAAGTATCATCCATGGACCAATCTACGCCCCCTTTTGACTAAACGCTGTGGCAGTTTAGACCCAAATGATTTTTCGTTTAGATCACATATTTGGGTCATCTTAGTTTAGAGCCGTTTCGCGTATAGCACATATAATGTCTCTTCTTAATTCGATTGAATCCCAACCGAAAGATTATCTTCTGTGGATAGTTTGTTTATATTCAGATAATCAGTTTGTGTATGATTTATTGTGGGTTATGTCGGTTATGCTTAATATCGACAAATACCGAAATGTAGCGAAAACTACCGAAAAACTATCAGAAAACCACCCTGGGACGTACTATATCGAGGTGGGAGCAAACCCACGAGGTTGGTAAGGCGACCATACGCCTTGCCACGTACAACCTAAGAATCGAAACCACATCAGTTGACTCAATGACAGACCTTATGATACAGAGCACACGTGCTAACCATTCGGCCATCCACCCCCCCCCCCCCAGTCGGTCTAAGAGACTAGAATTATCATTAGAGTCAATGGGAAAATAATTGGTGAGCTGTGGACATATAATGGGATGGGTTAGTACGTCACCATTGTTAGTGTTTAGTCTCATCTTATCGTCATGTATCCAATCAATCTATGCCTTTATTTACATAATCATATATTCTTTCCGTTTCAGACCATGTCGTTTATCCGCAAGCCGAACTTTCAGATGAACCAGATCCGGGAATTCTACAGTTCACCGATGCACCACTACTGGCTAATGTACATTCGCATGTAGGTCATTATTACATTCACAAAAAAGTCATGAACTTATAAGAGAGAGAGAGAGAGAGAGAGAGAGAGAGAGGGGGTAACGTCCACTCGACACAAACTAGGTCATTTCGGGACTAACACATGGTTCAATTTTATTTCAATAATTCGCTTGCGCGTACGGGTCTTTAGCAGTGGTAGGAAACCCGGAGGACCCGGAGAAAACCCTCGAGGTTATGAACTTATAAAATCCACTACCTTTCAAATGGCTAAGTGTGACAGTTATACAATTGGTCATTTCAAAATATAAGAAACAAACATGCTTATATAAGACTGTTTCCATAATAATTATCATTACATTTTTAACGAATTAAAAGATGTGTATCCATAAAATATTATGTGATTTAAACCTAAGGTATGGATAATCGATAAACTATGTAAATTTAAAGCTGGGATTTTTTATAACCATTTTCTGGCTTAATCATCAATGCCTGGAAGGTCCCAATTCAATATAATAACATGTTTCAGCTGTCAGTGTCATGGCTGATTGAGATATTTTTTATGAAGTTGGCACATGCGTTGTAAACCGAAATCACCCTTTTCACACTATTGACACTACTTGTGGGATATATAAAATTCAATTCCGCAATGTTCAGTCGAGTATCCCTCCAAGCTCTCTACAGATATTTATATGCTAACATTTATGTACGTATATTGTCGTCAGTTCGTCCGCCCATAATCGCTTGTAAACACTCTACATTTCAAAATTGTTTACGTGTATTTTTCCTAAAATTAACACATTATTTATTGGTTTATAAGGGACACCCTAATCCGAATTCAGAATCTTTCGTCTTTAACCATCTTTATCTCTTAGAATTCAATGAAGAGAAGGCGGGAACGCAGCTGACTGGGCAAAACTGTCCATATAATACACTGCATGTTATTTTCCGGCGTGGTTTCCACTTGTCAGCGGTGCAGGACAGAGGACCTGACAAGGACAGCTGTCTAGTCATTCGAATGGGACAAAAAACCGAGGTCCCGTATACACATTGGCGTGCGCGTAAAATATCCCTTGGCAGTTATAAGAGTAGGCATTACCGCAGCTGTCCGGGCAAAAGTTCCCAGATAGCACACTATATGGCGTATGCCGGTCTTCATTAGCCCAGTCGGAGCAGAACAGTAGAACTTTAAACCCTATACCATTTTATTTTAAAATTGCCCTCATAATACACTGCATTAACCCGGTTTGTTCAGTAAAGTAGAACGTTAAACCCCATTTTATTCATGCTTCAGGTAGATAGATTACAATATACAGATGAAGAAAAACAGGTAAAGTATGCTCTTCATTCTTAACGGGCGGTGTTTGGGGGGTTTGATGGCCGAATGGATAGCATGTGCGCGCTGTATCATAAGGTCTGTCACTGAGTCAATTGGCGTTGTTTCGATTCCCCAGTCGTGCGTGACTGGTTTTCCCCGGGTCCTCCGGTTCCCCCCCCCCCCCACTAAAGACCCCTACGCGCAAGCGAATAATTGAAATAAAATTGAACCATATGTTAATCCCGAAATGACCTGGTTTGTGTCGTGTGGACGTTAAACCCCATGTCTCTTCTCCCCCCTCTCTCTCTCCCTCTGTCTCTCTTAACGAAACAGATTTTACGTATAACGTTCAAAATCCCGAGTTACTTTCGTGAACCCAGGAGACACTGGGCTGGCTCCCATTCGTTTAAAAACCACAACTTAACGACATATTTCTTTTTTTTCCATTTGTTGTACGTAAATATGTCAAATGTATTTATATTTTTCAAGGCCTTATTTTTACCAAACATTTGTGAAAAAAGTAGATTTGGTACCCATCCATTTCAACCTTCCTACTTTGCACTTCAAATGGGTTATTTTTACCAACTACAACATACAGACAAGATAGCTTACCAGGCATTGGATGATTACCAATGTGAAGATATAGTCATCAAGAATGGCGACATTTTGCAAATCATAGAAGACTCGCCCCGCTTGCGGAGAAAAGTTGTGGTTGAAAATGCTTTGGGTCAGAGAGGAAGTATACCATTAGCAATCTTATCCCAAATTGAAAGTCAACTCCCAGTGCTACTCCTGAAGACGCTTCGTTCCACAATAAGTGACACTGATACTACTATCTTTAGACAAACTTTAGAAACGATTGGACTCCCTTTTTACGTTGCGCGTGGCACGGAAATATCATCCAATCCGCTGTTCAGTATACGCAAAGGTGACGTCTTGCAGGTTTTGGCTTATGATAAGACCAAGCTACTTATTAGAAACTGTAGAGGGGTCTGTGGATTCTTGTCACGGAACGACAGCATGACTTACATTTGATATACGGCATTGTATATAGGGGCCTTTCGCATCGGTACGAAAACGAATACGAAAACGTCATCGATTCGTGTGTACTTGCGACGGCAATCCGTAATGAGTGTTCGGGGAGTAAAAAACGTTACACGTATGCAGCTGGATTTACATAGGTATGCAAACGATTATGTTTCTTTTCTCATATATTGAATTTTCCACCATTTTTCGAGGCTTTGTGTATATTGTTCATTTTTTAGAGTTCGTAGAATGTGCTCAAAAGCAATATTCTGCTTGATTTGTTGTACATTTGCCAAAAAATCCAGAGAAAACTTTGCCTTGATCGAGAAGTTCATGGAGTGGAAATTAACGCAATCTAGCTATTATAGTACGTCGGATTGCGAAACCGCGTGTTATAGGATACGAAAACGTAAACGAACATATGTTTTCGTACCGATTCGAAAGGTCCCTAATGTGATTTGTGGATACCTTTCATGAGTAAATTATGTTATCTTGAATATAAAGTATCTATAAAATAGAGAGAGGGGTGGCAAAGACTAAAGGTGGTTTATCGATATCCCTCGTGGGTAAATTATCAACAAACAAAAATGTGGGGCGGAAGGGGCGGGGGGCAAAGAATAAAAGGTGTCTTTATCCTTTTAATTTGAAACTAAATAGATTATTACTTTAGTTGATATTTGACCTTATTGTTCAGGCAAAAAGCGACACGCTCTGTCAATTGCTTTAATATTTATTTATCACTTACACTTTCCTTGTAAAACATGACAACAAAAGAAACGGAGCTTGGTTACATGAGGAAGGTAAAAAGCACATTATGGAGGAGAATAATGTCTCATATTAAAGCAAAGACAACTGGATTACTGTACGTGATTAAAGATATGAAATCCCAGAGGCAAGCAAAACCTCGATAACAAAAGTGATGTCGATTTACTGAAAGTTGACTTACGGAATAGGTTTTTCCTACCCGTTTAATATTAACTCCGCAAATAAATCAAAAGTTGAGATATTACCGATTTTAGTGTTAGCTATATACTATACTAATACAAGATGATTTCTCCCAGGAACTTAACAGTGGATATGTCTTCACTGGAAGGATACAGATTACAGTGAATATAACATTCATACACATTTACCAGTCAGATTGAAGTAGGGTAATGTGCTAGAGACGTAGTATGATTTATTCACGTTCATGAGATGTTCGAAACTAATCTATATATATGTTTACTACAAGTTTTATCACAATAAAGTCTATTAAAAGCTCAGCTATTACTTTGCACATGATCAACCAATTAGACTGCATTAAGTTAATAACACGTGATGTGCGGGTGGTATTTTGTTGATATCTTTATGTTTTAACTTAGGTGAGAGACTGATATTTGGATATTTTAGTTTGATCGTAACTTAGTCAAGGTATTAATGTGATGAAACTATACACCAAGTTTCATCACTCTCACTTCATTAGAACTGAAGTTACAGTGTCCCAAAGCATCAACCAATCAAATTGCTTATCTCTGCTTACCCTAAGCAGAAAACGCTCATCGTCGAACTCCATCAAGACATCGACCAAATAAACACCTACACCAAGTTTGAACATTCTAGCTCAGTTAGGAGAGTTATTGTGTCCCAAAAAGTGTGACGGACAGACAGACGGACGGACGGACAGACAGACAGACAGATCCATTTTAACAATAATGTGAATGGATTACCGAAACACTTAATAAATTAGCTTATTCGAAATCAAAATAGAACAAATTTCAAAAGAAGCTTAGCGCTTTAAAATATAACATAGATGCAGCCTACGATATACATTTCAAATGTGTGAACTTCCCTCAAAAATGAAAGTATAGGATTGCGGACATAATCATTATGAAAAGTTATGCATATCAAATTCTACAAAATATGCCACATACTCAGATGTCTCATATTGGTTGGTCGCAACACAGGTAATGAAAAAAACAATGTCTTGATAATCGAATGTCCGAGGTTCTTTGATAACCAGTTCCCTAGTTGTCTGATTACCGGCTGTGTTAGTCTCACGGACAGTAAGACTATCGTTATTGTTGACTGCAGCCGTTTTTGCTTTGCCCACATCATACGTTGTTCTGTAGAACGATAAGCTAGGACGTGGTCTACCTGTTGACGAACAGGTTACGACTATCTGAAAACAAGAATTTACGTCATAACTAAAGAATGAATGAAATGAAATGGGGTTTAACGTCTTATCTTCTACTACATCCGGGCTAATAAAGACTAACATAGAGTGTGCTATGACGTAATTCAAACGGTTAATGGTTATTTTACATGCATACTAAAGTTTACACGAGACCTCGGTTTTTCGCCCCATCCGCGGTCTTGTTTTCTGATTGATATTATGGTTATGGATTATTTTCATCCGCGTTTGCTTTCTCAGCCAACACCGGGGTCCAACGTCAGACTTCCTGGTTAATGAAATGAAATGGGGTTTAACGTCCTACTGTTCTGCTCCTATTGGGCTAATGAAGACGGACTTACGCCATACATTTTGCTATGTGGGAAATTTTGCCCCGACATCGACACCTACGGCGTACTCTTTTATTGAATATTGAATTTCAACTGCCAATCTTTTACATGCACGCCAATGTGTACACGGGTCCTGGTTAATAAGCCAGTTCTTTATTCACTGAGCCAATATAGCTCCACAAATTAAAACAATATATAAAGTAGGATTTTTTACCTGCCCGTTTTCTCGTCGATGACTCATCTTTACTCGAACATGCTCTTCAAAAATGTTAATTCTGAAACTATATGAAGAGGAAAGTGCAATCTCTGGTAAAGATGCCGTCACCATGTAGTCCCCAGCATCAAGTCGACTGATATCATATGATGTAATAGTGGTCTCTGTAAAATAAGGAGCTGGGTAGACGTTAACATCAAATCCCACCAATGTCGTGTTGACACCGTTCACCTTCTTGTACCAACGAATTTCTGGCGACCAAGGGCCAAAAACCCAGCATTGAATCTGTGCTACATCACCTATTACATAATGTTCTTCATTGTTATTCAAACGACATCCCAAATTGAGTTCCCGGATCGGTTTGGGCGACCATTCAGTATTTGGGAATATGCGATAAAGTCGATAAACGTCGATATAGACCGAAAGGTTGGTTGGGTGACCCAAAGTATTCAAAAGGATGCTGGATAGTAGCATTGAATCATTATAATTCGGATTAGCTAAATCCAGCAAGACTTCATAATCCACATTAGTATCGTTTTTTATATCCATTTTACCCTTTAAACTTGGAACATCGGCTTCACCTATTCCAATGACATAGGCGGTCATTTGTGAATGATTCATACTGGCATTTTGACTTGATATATGGGTAACTAAATTAATAACCCCTGCTTGTGTTGGGACATATCGTATATCTTCAAGATCGTAGTTCAGGGTAAAAGAAGGACTAACAGTGTTATAAACTTGACCTCTGTCGTCCCCACGACGTCTCGGATAGTTTAGTTCCACGGATATGATATCATGGAAACTCGCTTGCATGAATATGCGTTTAAGTCCGATTAGATAACTATTTCCATTAAATGTATTTGCGATTGAAATATCTTGAATGAGAACAATTCGATGAACACGACTATCTTCTTGGTGAAGTAAACATATTCCTTTTCCTGAAAGTGTAAATTAAATATGGTTTAACGTCCACTCGATGCAAACTAGGTTATTATGGGATTTACATATGGTTCAATTTCATATGATGGGGATTATCGATAACTCGACACAAACTAAAATATGGTTCAATTATTTCATATGATGGGGTTTATCGATAACTCGACACAAACTAAAATATGGTTCAATTATTTCATATGATGGGGTTTATGCATAACTCGACACAAAATAACATATGGTTCAATTTCATATGATGGCGTTTATCGACAACTCCACACCAACTAACATATGGTTCAATTTCATATGATGGGTTTATCAATAACTCGACAAAAACCAGAGGCGGATCCAAGGTGGGGCACCCCCCCCCCCCTAATTTTCGACAGTGCCCTTTTTTACTGCTGAAAGTGCCTTTTCTCAGACCCAAATATGTCTGTTCCCAACCCGTTGCAGGGATTCCCAAATTACTCAAACCATCTACTCAAACACACCAGTCTGGTCTAATTAATACTTCCACTTTTAAACGAATTCTTGTTGTTTCGCTGACGGTAACCTAATCCTATAGAGTGACTATATAGACAGAAATCAATGATAGCATCTTGTGGAATCGGCGGCGTATACACTCATGCCCATCGCCGACGCGCATGAGTGCAACTTGATGTAACATTGTTTCGTGTGTAGACAGTACACAGTACAAGTTACAAGGCTTAAATAGTGAAGTGGCTAGGGAATAGATTCGTCTTTTTTCCCATCATAATGCCTCGCTCGCCTTGACAATTTTTGAGTCGCATGTTCAACTGGCTTTTTTGCTCGATTTTAAGACTCATTTTCAACGATTTCCGAACGTTTACTTAGACGAAAATATCAGCCACATAGCTCTTGGAATGGCTACAGATGCAAGGAAATGACGGATAATTTTCTTGGGGGCCCCCCCCCCCCAAAAACCCCCCAAAAAAACCCCAAACCCCTCTCAGCGGCGTGCCCTGTCCCCGCGGTCAGTGCCCTGATTTTGCGGCGCCCTCCCCCCCCCCCCCTTTTCAAAATTCCTAGATCCCCCCTGGAAACTAACATGGTTCAATTTCATATGATGGGTTTATCGATAACTCGACACAAACTAACATATGGTTCAATTTCATATGATAGTTCCATTTTATTTCAATAATTGACTTGAGCGCTGAGATCTTTAGGCGTGGCAGAGAACCTGGTGACCCGGAGAAAACTGACGGTCAGATTGGCCGATCTTGTCAATACACTCCAGCTTTCATAGCGTATTCACATATCGGCGTATCGTTGTACACAATAAGACAATTAGTGGTGTTATTCGCAAAAGGAAGTAAGATGTCTTTAAAAACGACTTTAAGCGAAGTAACTTATTCATACACCACGATAATACCTTCTACCTACCACAGCTATTCGCTTGAAGATATAATTCGGTTCCACCATGTTCAACTTTAATATGGATGTTCATCAAATTTGTATTAGCCACAAAATCTACAGATGATATTTCATACTGTCGAGTTGGATCAGTTGTAAATCGAGCATGGAACTCAAATACTTGTACTTCTTGTTTTATCTACAGAAATAAATAATTAACCAATTATAACGATGATCACTGTTAGAACAGTCAATAATTTTCAACAACGAATGTTCCTCTGAAATTAAATAGGTTCTCATCAAGAGGCATAGTATCTGCCCTGTTTCGAATATCACAATTAGAAAACTCATATTTTCAGATAAATATACTAATGTCCAAAAGAAATTGTACGCACTAAAAATATGACTAAGTTTTATTTAGATTAAAAACATTTGATAAAACATTACTGAGTTTGTCTCTTGTGTCAAAACTCAATATTTCTAAGCAAAATAAAAAAAGGAAAGTGAGTTTAGGATGCGGCAAAAAGAAACAAACACAGTATATAATTTGGAATTTTTCAAGTTTTATACCACCCAATTGGTTATCTAAACGGCCCAGTCGTTCCTAGCCACGCCCACCGTCCTACACGGTAATGACCCAGCGCTTTATGTATTCACCCGCCCCGTCAACACATTAAACATCACAAATACTTCATCCCAACTGATCCCAGGACATGTCTCTTTCAGAATAATATCATTATTAATTCGAAACAAGGAATGTCAATATTTGCGTCCCCCCAACACCACCACCCCATAGGCTTATTAGCTAAACGCATGTACTAGTCGGTGACGCTCTAAATTCTCTTATCAGAATCTTAACTAAATCTTAGTGCTTTACTAAATCGTTTTAGTTCGTTTCTTTTTGCGTAGCACAATTGTTTAGTAAAAAGACCCTGTTTTGTGGTCTCAATGTACAGGTTTTGTGTATGTATATGATTTTACTTCCTTGAGTGGCATTTAGTAATTGAACAGTAACACATTAAAAAGTATCATGTAATAACAATTACTGGTTCATAAACATGCAACGTTTCCACAATGGCACCCTCGTCTTGATATCCGTATTCCGTATCACGTATGTGAAATACACACACATTGATGACATCACACGCGAAATCCATACGGATACGCGATACGGACCAGGAATTTACGCTTGCCAAAAGTCTCTCTTACAACTTACCAAGGGTAAAAAATGTAAATCCATAGCAATATAATCAGGAGCCTGAAGTATGACTACGAAAGGAAGTTCAAAGCAAATTGTCCAAATATATTATTAGAGCCTAGGTCCGCAACCTCTGGGACGCGATCCGAGCACGCTTAGAGGGATATGTTGTCATGCAAAGTATAATTATACATCTCGAAGCACCTCTCGCCATTTATTTCCATGCCATTAAAGTATAATTTATTTCTAAGGAATTCATCATATGGTTCGTGCTAAAAGGTGACATCAGAAAAAATGGTACCGGCTTGTAAATTCATGCACTTTTTTGGCTATACCGTCCCAATCTCCTGGTGCAAGCGGTACTGTTTAAGAAAAACCCTATTGAATTTCAAACTATTTAAACTACTATTTTGAACTATAAAAACGAAACGAAATAGGATCTGTGTTTTAATCAGATTGATGGGTATGGAAACATTTAAGGAAAACAAGGGAGATAACTGTGTTATTTTTTCCTGTGTCAATGATTTTTAAGGGTGGGAAATAATGCCCATGGTCGTATAATAGTGAGTTGATAGATAACCTATTGAGCAAAAGACATAGAAATAATTATGTTTTGACTTTCTTAGAAAATATGAAATTCCCCCTTTAAGGTGGCACACGAGAGTATTTCAACCTCAAACTACTAATCTCAAACAATTATATTGTTGGCCGAACCTTGTGCACAAATTACTTTACGTTCGACATTAGCTATTCTCTAAATTTCGAACACCCATACCACGTTTAGTTACCAAACATCTTACCTGTGTGGATGAAACCACTGGGCGTTCCCAGCCGTCCATTCTTTCCCAGACTCTCTCCCGTCTCAACAAATCATAAATATCACTCATCTGGTAAAGAAATGAAATTGGGTTTAACGTCCTATTATTCCGAAATGTCGAATGAAGAGGGACATGTGCCGTACATTGTAAAAATTATACGTTTTTATATCGCCGAATTCCGAAGTTTTATTCCGTTTTTTTGTTAATCGACTTTTTGGGGGGAGGGCGGGGATAAATGGTGGAATCACCAGGAATTTACGGATTATTTCTGTTTGCAAAGGCAGCGATAAGTAATTGTATACATATATAATCATTTCTAATAATGATTATGTTATAGTATTCATTTCAATTTATTAACCATAATATGAAGAATCATATTTTGTAAATATTGGTATATTACATGTCATGTATATCTAATTTCCATTATTTATAAGATCTATAAAGTGTATTGTTATTCAACATACGTTAATCAGATTGTAAGTATTTTCATAAATGTATATAATTATGTTTTAACGTTCAATGCGTAGGTTTTAATATCTCGTAATCAAGCGTGCTTAAATCTGGATAGTATAATCGATTGACCGTTTTAACTCTATAGCAGGATTCCACATGCTAGCAAATTGTTTGCATCGCAAGCATACATCTGGGGCCTCTAACCGGCCCAATCACTCACTGTAGCTGTTTGTGTTACCTTGCTCTCGTCTACCGATTAGGATTTTGTGTATTCTAACGTTAGCTGAAAGTCAATGGTAAGCTTTTGGGCACGCTACAACAGTGAAGAGTTAATTGTCTCTAATTCAATGACATTTTTTTCTCTTTAAAAACCCTGGAAACAAAATTTACCGGGATTTTTGTTTTTGTATTTGAAGATGGAATTTATGTTAATTGAAGAAATTTCTGTAAATTACAGGAAAAACAAATATGGATAAAATTCTCCTGTGTAATGTTTCTTTCTGGAACTTTTTGCGTTTTTTCCCCGAGTTTTTTTACAGTGTATACAGTCGGCCTACTCTTATATATCGAATTCTCTGCAACTCAAGAATCCATTGCGATTAGACAGATTTTATATTCATTAATAAGTGTTGATAATATTAATAACATAAATATACAGTACAGAAAATTGTATTTGTTGTCTATATGAAAAACAGAACAGTCAACCTTACCCCTTCTGGATCCATTGGCGTCATTTCCCGCCGTTGAAATTTGTTATACAATGTCGAATGAAGAGGGACATGTGCCGTACATTGTAAAAATTATACGTTTTTATATCGCCGAATTCCGAAGTTTTATTCCGTTTTTTTGTTAATCGACTTTTTGGGGGGAGGGCGGGGATAAATGGTGGAATCACCAGGAATTTACGGATTATTTCTGTTTGCAAAGGCAGCGATAAGTAATTGTATACATATATAATCATTTCTAATAATGATTATGTTATAGTATTCATTTCAATTTATTAACCATAATATGAAGAATCATATTTTGTAAATATTGGTATATTACATGTCATGTATATCTAATTTCCATTATTTATAAGATCTATAAAGTGTATTGTTATTCAACAAACGTTAATCAGATTGTAAGTATTTTCATAAATGTATATAATTATGTTTTAACGTTCAATGCGTAGGTGTTAATATCTCGTAATCAAGCTTGCTTAAATCTGGATAGTATAATCGATTGACCGTTTTAACTCTGTAGCAGGATTCCACATGCTAGCAAATTGTTTGCATCGCAAGCATACATCTGGGGCCTCTAACCGGCCCAATCACTCACTGTAGCTGTTTGTGTTACCTTGCTCTCGTCTACCGATTAGGATTTTGTGTATTCTAACGTTAGCTGAAAGTCAATGGTAAGCTTTTGGGCACGCTACAACAGTGAAGAGTTAATTGTCTCTAATTCAATGACATTTTTTTCTCTTTAAAAACCCTGGAAACAAAATTTACCGGGATTTTTGTTTTTGTATTTGAAGATGGAATTTATGTTAATTGAAGAAATTTCTGTAAATTACAGGAAAAACAAATATGGATAAAATTCTCCTGTGTAATGTTTCTTTCTGGAACTTTTTGCGTTTTTTCACCGAGTTTTTTTACAGTGTATACAGTCGGCCTACTCTTATATATCGAATTCTCTGCAACTCAAGAATCCATTGCGATTAGACAGATTTTATATTCATTAATAAGTGTTGATAATATTAATAACATAAATATACAGTACAGAAAATTGTATTTGTTGTCTATATGAAAAACAGAACAGTCAACCTTACCCCTTCTGGATCCATTGGCGTCATTTCCCGCCGTTGAAATTTGTTATACAACACATTGTCAGCGATCTGTAAATTTTAAAGACAATACTTGAATGTTTCAGACATTAATATCTCAACAGACGAGGCTAAAATATCACGAGCCATTTCACCTGACTATAGATTTATATCTTCTATTAGAATATGTACTGATCCATATCAATTGTTTTTAGCAACAAATGCTTAAAATCACTCCCTTAAAACAATTCCAGGTTTTCGTGTTGGCCTTTTCGGCAAAATAGTTTGACGGGCACCTGAATAAAGGTCGGTCGAGTATCTAGCAACAGGTTGGACAAAAGGGAAAGCAGGAGAGGGGGGGGGGGGTTGACGCTGTATCATAAGGGTTGCCATTGAGTCAGCTGGCGTGCTTTCATTGGCTAATCCCTCACATCAACTAGAAGTGGGGTATATAACAACTCGTACAGATTCTAGTGTAGTAAAGAGAAGTAAAACGAAATTTTGAACTGTGTTTTAATCAGACTGACGAGCAAGCGAATTATTGAAATAAAATTGAACCGTGTGTTAGTCCCGAAATGGTCTAGTTTGTGTCGAGTGGATGTTAAACCCCATTTCTTTCTATATATCTATGTGAGACCAGAGTCAGTACTGTCATGTATCATATTAGAAAATATTTGCTGCATAGGCCTATTGATTAATGGCTGCACCGCCTTGTGATTAATCCTACCTTACCACATGGTATGAAGAACATTTTGGGGAATATGAATTCGAATTCGAAAGACCGATCGTAAAAGTGATTTTGCCATATGCCCAAACAATTAATGAGGTAGCTGCTCAATGCTCATAGTCAAATTCTCGACTATCATGCGTCAAATACTACATAATACTCACTGCATTAATAATTCCAAGGAAAAGGATTAACACTGATAAGTTTAACATACTTGTCCTCTACAAATGACAGTTATAACTAAAGGTGCATTTAGAGAATGCTGGTGAATTTCGCAATGATGACCCTGAACTTTCCATAATTGGTGAAAATGATCAATTATTTTGATTTTGTTTAAATTACTTCGACCTTCTATCCCATGCATTAAAGTTACTGTAGCTATGTTAGTTTAATACTACTACTACTACTAAAAATAATATGTATATTTATATCGCGCCCAGTTCCATGCTAATATGCATGCTGGGGACGCTACACATAATAGACCGTAAATAGATGAGTTTTTAAATTAGTTTTAAATGTTTCGAGGCTGTATGACAGTTTAATGTTCAGCCGTAATGAATTCCACAGAACTGGCGCAATATGAACAAATGTTCTGTATCCAAATGATTGTGTCTTTTTGAAACACTTGTACGGTATCTAAATTGTCTGCTTTTTATATTATAGGAATGTTTATTATATATTATGTTTCAAATCATTCTAACCAGGATATATGGTATGGTTATCTGAACACTTTCAGGTAGATGTATATTGGTATGGTTATCTGAACACTTTCATGTGGATGTATATTGTCGTAATCCCGGTCCGCTCACCAGTCTGCTCACAGAAGTTATTGTTTCTTATCAAATATAAACCAAATTTGTTTAGTTTGTTGAATTTAGAGAACACTAGATAATAATACGGACTTTGTCTAAAATAGCCTCGGATTGGTAATTTCACCCCATGGAATTCAATGTTAAATCCAGGCCATTCCAGACCTTCCACATTTTTTTTTTACATCCCGATGTTCTTAATAACACCAGAAATGAAATGAAATCAAATGAAATGGGGTTTAACGTCCTACTGTTCTCCACCGAACTGGGCTAATGAAGACGGGCATACGCCATATAGTGTGCTATGAGGGCAATTTTGCCCGGACAACGGCACTACGGCCTACTCTTATATCGGATTCCATCTGTCAAGGGATCTTTCTCGGTTTTTCGTCCCATCCGAACGACTAGACAGTTGTCCTTGTCAGACTCTTAATAACCCCAATGAGACCAACCTGTTGTAAAGGTCTGATAAATATGGTGGCCTTTTAGTGTCATACGTTAATTTATACCCTTTTCTTGAAATTTACCTCATATGAGAAATCGCAGTGAAAACTATGATAAATAAAAAACATGCAAAACCTTTTCTCCGCGCTGTAAACTTCATCTCCGCGGTATAAAGTTTTCTCTGTGTTGAAAAGGTTTCCACATGATATCTTCGCGATAGTAAATCACATGATTTCTCCGCGGAGAAAACATTTCCACCGCGGACAAAACATTATACTGCGAAGAAATGGTTTACACCGCGGAAAAAAAAGGCTTTTCATGTTTTTTTTTTATTTATCATAGTTTTCACTGCGATGTCTCATAATGAGGTAAATTTCATGAAAAATATATAAATCAACATATGGCACTAAAAGGCCACCGAAGATAAAACATTTAAGACGGTTGACCATCTAAACCTGGTCAAAGGAATCTATGTGACGTCATATTGAAAGGTGATTTCCCTAATTCATATTTGTTTACACCCTGAACCGTATGTCCCCAAATCATGAGTATTCACCAAAACTTGATAGATAATGTAAATTTAAACGCTCGATTCTAGAGTAAAGGGTCAAAAGATATTCAAATACAAATTTGCGATAAATGTGATCCAAGGGAAATAACTCTATTATAAGTTAACATATTCGGAGGCAGACCACCATTAATTTCCCCATTGACTTCAATGTTAATTCTGGCCTCTTACCCACCTCCAACTTTTCCCAAAATTTTCGTTGGACTGAATGCTTTTCACTATAGACAGAGGAACAAATGGTCATGTCTTTGCACTAAAATTTGTATGAGGGTGATCACCAAAATTTTGAGATACACAAACTTGAAGAAGCATACTAAAAACATGTAACTAGTTGCCGTACATATCACCGTAGCCAACCTGATAACCCTGTTATCCTTCCGCCTCAAAATCATGAATATTTACCAAAACCTGGCAGAAAATGTTAATTCAAACCCTCTTCGTCCATTCTAGACCAAAAAATCAACAAATATGGGCATGCAAAAGGGGAGAAAAGAGAAAGAGAGAGAATTGCTATAAATAGACGAACTACAATTCGTGGGTACCGAGATGGTGAAATATAATGGGGTACCGAGATGGTGAAATATAATGGGGTACCGAGATGGTGAAATATAATGGGGTACCGAGATGGTGAAATATAATGGGGTACCGAGATGGTGAAATTTAATGGTAGTCTGCCTCCATTCAAACGCAACGAGACGATTGCTGATATTATTTGTACCGACAAAGCAATAACTCTTGTCCAGGCTCGGATGTAAGGGGAAAGGTGTGGAGGGGGTTGTAGACAGAGTAAGCTCCTTCTTGAGACCTTGGTTAAAAGTGCTTCTCGGCGAGGTAATGACCGGCGAACAACAATATCAATCTGTTCACAGATTATTATGAAAGTCTTCTAATATCTCTGTGAAAGATGACTGCCTTCAACACGTGACGTTATATCACGCGGCGTCAATGGTGTGTGTATTGTTTACATAAGACGTTACTGGCTCGGACAAAATTGCGCCTTTTACTGATTTTAATTCTTATCTACACTAAATAGGAAATACTTTTTACCTACAAATATTTCAAATGTCTTTATTTATTTTTCTAATACATAAAACAAATGTTTTAGAATTAAATTTGTCGGGGGGGGGGGGGTGGAAGTTAACATTTGTGGCTCATTACGTCGCATCGATGTCATCCTTATCAGTGAATGTAAAGGCCTAGCGAATATTCGCTGCTGATCAGTGTGCAACAATATAGGCAATGCAATCTACGTTCTACCGTCGCGCGCAGTGTTGTAGCCAGTATTTTGTGTTGACATTCATTATGGGGTGGGATTGTCGATAGCGCACTAAATTTGACATCTCCTATTCACAGCTTATAGATGCGCTAGTGCTCTTGTCCAAGTGGATTGTTAATAGCTCGAGGATCACGCTGTACATACATTTATTTTTTTCTCTATATATGTAGCTATAATTATTGTTCTTGAGCATTCAGGGTAAATATTTCTGCATATAATATAAACAGTTTCATAATATAAGATGACACAATTTATGACCCTTCTGGTGTGTTACATATTTCCGTTGCCTACACATACAGATACAGAACTTTGTATAAATTGTTACTTGTTTCAATTAATAATTCAACAGTCCATCAAGTTAAAGTACCAAAAGTCCGGGGTCTAGGTGGGTTTTGTTCAACAGGAAAGATGCGGCAGGTTTGGGATGCTAGTGGTGTATGGCTGAGTTAGGAGATCCCAGAAACCCAATGGCCTCCCATACTTTGAAGACCTAATCAGAAAAAATGTCAACATTGTATTTTTGTCATTAAACATCAAAACCTACAAAATAAAGCTTATTCCACGATTTCTTCCCTAAAAGCCGGCGGATGGGAATTATGTAACAAACCGAATCGGACTATTAAGTTGCGCCAATGGTGGGTGTGGTAGGGGGAGTCACCCATAGCACCCCCCAAAATTGGTTTATTCACCATGGATGGTGCAAGTTCCACTTCAGTGACATTTGATAGAGGCATGTGCCCTGAATTAGGAAATATAACTTAAGAATGGGAGTTTTGGTGGAAAGGCCACTCAAGAAGAGGTCAAAGGTCATCAATTACCAAATTTTCGATTTTACTCTGAATTATTTTTTACGTTTTCTCGTCATCTATTCCGGGTATGTTACACAAAACTACATGGACATGTTTTATATTGGTAGGAGCAAACATATGAAAATATGAGATATAAAAGTGATGAAGTTTTTTCAGAGAGAGGGAGGAGAGAGAGAGAGAGAGAGAGAGAGAGAGAGAGAGAGAGAGAGAAATGGGGTTTAACGTCCACTCGACACAAACTAGGTCATTTCGGGACTAACATATGGTTTAATTTTATTTTAATAATTCGCTTGCGCGTAGGGGTCTTTTAGCAGTGGGAGGAAACTGGAGGTTGAACAGGTGACCCTACTCCTTGTCACGTACAACCGGGGAATCGAAACCCCGCCAGTATACTCAATCACAGACCGTATGATACAGCGCGCGCGTGCTAACCAATCGGCAATTCGCCCCCCCCCCCCCCAACCTCCAACGACGTATTTGTTGTGTTTAATATCTATTATTTCAAACTTAGTTTCTGTACCATGTGTTGACATTTTCCGACTCGACTGTCCCTAAGAAGGTGTGGGTGTATTCATCTTTGTTAAAATTTATTTTCTCGCACATTATAAATTCATATACAGGCTAATTATCTGGTTTAGTACAGACTGACGTCATGCACATATCTGGAAATATACATATTCATTAAAATTCATTTAATTCAACTAAATGTTTCGCGTGACATTCCTCCAGGTCAGACCACTCTCAGTTGTTCGTTATTATTCAAATGTCTATGGTAATTAGGGAGGTTGGATGGTCGAATGGTTAGCACGTGCGCTTTGTATCATAAGGTCTGTCATTGAGTCAACTGTAGTGGTTTCGATTCCCCGATTGTACGTGACACGGAGTAGTGTCGCCCGTCCAACCTCGTGGGTTTTCTCTGGGTCCTCCGGTTTTCCCCCACAGCTAAAGACGTGCAAGCGAATTATTGAAATAAAATTGAACCATGTGTTAGTCCTGAAATGACCTACTAGTTTGTGCCGAATGGACGTTACCCCCCCCCCTCTCTCTCTCTCTCTCTCTATCGCTTCCCCCTCTCTCTCTCTCTCTCTCTCTCTCGCTCTATCGCTCTCCCTCTCTCTCTCTCTCTCTCTCTCAGACCAGAGTCAGTACGCTCATGTATCATATTAGAAAATATTTACTGCATAGGCCTATCTTTCTAGTCGGTGTCATATAGTATATGATAATGGATAATAGATAGCCAGCATTAAATTGATAACGAGTTTATATTTAAATCAATTAAAATGAAAAGCCACACCCTGGCCAGGAGATGTATATTATATGTAAAAATCGATTATTATTTTACGTATCACGTTGCGCTGTAAAGTATATTTATTAATAATAAATGAATATGGCTATAAGCAATATTCGTCCAGAGATAAAATGCAATTAAGTAGAACGGTTTATTTTTATTGCCATTTAAACTGCGTGTTGCAGATGAATCATACATATGTAATGACAACAAACAGCTAGATATCTGTAATTTGAGAAAATCATACAATATAACGTAAGGGTATTGAGGGAGGACAACGACGTTACTCTTAAGACTGGGACACAATAGTGGTTTTATCCCGATGTTTTATATCAATAAGCTAAATCCTTTCATGTGAACGGGAAAATTATCTTCTATAGGTTATAGATAAATCCTTCTTGTAGGATTTGTCCTATGAATTGACCAATGAACTGAAGTCAACCGCGTCGAAACAGAGAATTTTATTTTTTATTTCAGCCGCCAAAGCGTGCTGTAGTCGATCCAATATCATAGATTACCATAAACACGAGAAAAGGCTTATTTACATTTCCGCTAACTGTCCCACATGACCAAAACCCATAAGATTTTATTTACTGTATGACCACAAAAACTTAGAAGATTTACCCTTCAAGACTTTTGCTATGATTTGTCTTAAATGATAAATTCACTAGTGTGACTCAGCCTTTAGCTAGACAGATTTGCAAGGGACCCACGGTGGTTTAATGAGTAAGGCGCTGGCTCAATAACTAGAAGTTCCTCGGGAAATTCCAGCAAGGTTTCCTCTTGTCAGTGGTGTAGAAATGGGGTTTAACACACTCAACACAAACTAGGTCATTTAATTGTCAGGTTAATTCGACACGTCGCTGTCTGGGAACAATTGCCTCATAGCACACTGAATTGCGTAAACCTCCGTGTCATTGAATTACATTTCTAGATCCTTGTGTACGTGACACCATCGCCGCCCAGACCCTGTGCTAATTGTGTAGTGGATGCTTTACAGAAAACAGATCCTTTATTTTAATGTCGACTGATAGACACAGTAAACATGACATCTAGAATGACCAGGTAAGTGCAAAATACTCAGTCAGTGCGTCTGGAAGCGCATAGGGGTCAGTAGTGCGATACATACCGCAATATAGGTTGGTAGTATGTCAACATATTGTGATTGTTCTGATGATTTTATCTCTGAAAAGACAATTTTTGCCGAGTTAATTGAATAAATCGGAATGACGACATATTACATATCGCGTTGGTTCATTTAACTCGGCAAAAATTGTCTTTTCAGAGATAAAATCATCAGAACAATTACAATATGTTGACATATTACTAACTAAATATTGCGGTATCTATCACGCTATTGACTCCTATACGCTTTCATAAGTGCTACTTGAAAAATTAAATTCCGTTCAGCAGAGAATGTTTCTAATTCGTTACAATATAATAATGGATAATATAACTACATAAGTATGTATATCGCTACTATTATCAAAACGGATATGTGATGCGCTAGACATTAGGCACACCCTGCGCTGTACATGGACATTAGAATCATTAGCGTAAACATACATTACGCAAGAGCTAAATCTGCCTATTGCAGGTCTTTCTTTTGGCCTGGAATGTTATCTAAATTATTAAATAGACATTAATTACTTTTCCAGACCATAATCAACTCTCGATGCCATAGCAAGCCGGTGTTATTTAGCGGATTGGAATACATTTTTTTTTTAAAAAGAATTAAACGTAATCGAGACCTTGTTTTTTTTTTATCGTACCGACTAAAGTAATCATGATCGAGGCTAGCCTAAAATTCAAACGCTTATATCTCGGTTCCGAGTGGAGCAATTTGACTGAAATTTTCAGCATGTCCCATTTTCGTTATGTGTTTTTTAACTATCATAACGAGAACTGTCCAATCTTTATCTAATCTCCCGTAATGCCTTTTTCATGGATCGAGATTTTCAGAAGCTTATCAGTGGAAGGCAACCATGGGACTGAGATATACAAGTACAGCTATATGTAATTTAAATTTTTAAACCATCAAATGCTGTGTTATGAGTAAACATGCCTTATGTGCACTGTGCACGATACCCACCAGATGAAAAACAATCTCCAATCAGCTGTAAATATGGCGTATCTTTACACAATCACTAGTCACCAAACCCAGATATAAACTGTCAGTTTGATTCATTGTGGAATTAGAAAGATCCATCGTTCATCCCTTTCTCAGTTGTGCAAGACCGGGGTCTGGGAGGGAGGGGGAGGGGGAGGGGGAGGGGGCTTATGGTAAGGAACAGTTTCTTGTCGTTCTGATGGGATAACAACCCGAGAGTGTACACGTTGGTGTGTACGTAAAATGTTGATCTTCAATGAAGGATCGCCTGTCCAACCTCGTAGGTTTTCTCCGGGTCCTCCAGTTTCATCTCACTGCTACATGTAAAAAACCCATAAGCGCACGCGAATTAATGAAAATCACACTGAACCACATGTTGTTCCCGATATGACCTAGTTTGTGTAGAGTGGACGTTACCCCCCCCCCCCCCCCCCCTCTGTCTCTGTCTCTGTCTGTCTGTCTGTCTTTATGTCTGTCTCTCTCTCTCTCTCTCTCTCTCTCACACACACACATACACGGACTGCAATAGACAGATCACAATTGCAGAAAAGTAGGACTTTGAATCACATTTCATTTTCAAATCACATATCATTTCATTTTCACGTGTACTTCTTCAGCCGACAATTTTTGTCAGATTTGACGTTCGTTTAACTATTGACACATTGTAAAATTAAAATATTCTAATTCAGGCGATAATCAGCCCCTATAAGTATTTTAATCTATGCAGAATGTGAATGAATAGCACTAAGTGAACGTTCAATTAACACACAAGAGAATTATTTAAGCGTATTGTATACTTGAGCAACATGTGGTTGAAGAGCAATAAAAACCCAGTTTTCTACTTATTGAGCGTAACTTAAATCGACCACCAGTCCGTTGTGTATATATATAACTACATATTTATCCATTGATTATAATATTAAACCGTATAGACAGTAAGCGAATAGTCATATGATAGATTGAATACAGTATGCAGGTGCTCGCTAATTGTCCAACAATATTCATCTAAATTTTTCGAGATACAAGTGTCTAGTGATATGACATGGGAGGATGAAAGGCGTAAAGGAGAGTCACAAAACATTGGATATAGACTCAACTGTAAGTATGTCGATTGTATTGTCAAGTATAAACAATATTTATGTGGTGTGAATAGGTAAATTATTGACAGGCGTGTCTCAGTTATTTTGTTAGTTTGGGGAGTTCATACAGTTAAGATCTTGTTGTTCTGTATCAAGGTTTGTTGATAATCGATTTTTATCATCGTGTACTTCCGGTCAACGATAATGTAATCAGAATTGGGGTATAGGTAACGAGAAATGAAATAAAATTGGGTTTAACGTCCGACTCGGCTAATGGAGACGTGCTATGAGAGATATTCTGCCAGAGCAGCGCCGTTACTCTTATTTAGAATTCCAATGTACACGGTACCTCGGATTTTAGTTTCATTGGGAATCCTAGACACTTCCCTAGATAGGGCCTCTGTCTAGAAGACATTTCGCGGCCGACAGGGCGAGTCTATCCGAGCTCTCAAAGCTAGAGATCTAACGTCTTACTCACTGAGCCACCGCGACTCCCAGGTAAAAGAGAAACAGTCATTTCTCATAATACTTTGTATTCCACATAGCGGTACTAAATTCCGTTGGGGGGGGGGGGTATGGAAATACTGTGTCCTTTTTTTGGTTCTTCTTTCCACTTTACATTTATTTTACATCCGCTAAGAAATGACCTACTTTGTGTCAAGTGGACGTTACCCCCCCCCCCTCTCTCTTTCTCCATTTATAAAAGGTGTCAGATATATAAGATATATTGATTTGTCACGTTTATTTATTGTATTAGGACGTTACCCCACCCCCTCTCTCTTTCTCCATTTATAAAAGGTGTCAGATATATAAGATATATTGATTTGTCACGTTTATTTATTGTATTAGGACGTTACCCCACCCCCCTCTCTCTTTCTCCATTTATAAAAGGTGTCAGATATATAAGATATATTGATTTGTCACGTTTATTTATTGTATTAGGACGTTACCCCCCCCCCCCCTCTCTCTTTCTCCATTTATAAAAGGTGTCAGATATATAAGATATATTGATTTGTCACGTTTATTTATTGTATTAGAGGGGGGGGGGGCAAATGGTTAGCACGTGCGTGCTGTATCATAAGGCCTGTCATTGAGTCAACTGGCGTGGTTTCGAATCCCCGGTTGTACGTGACAAGGAGTTGAGTCGCCTGTCCAACCTCGTGGGTTTTCTCCGGGTCCTCCAGTTTCCTCCCACTGCTAAAGACCCCTACGCGCAAACGAATTATTGAAATAAAATTAACCATATGTTAGTCCCGAAATGACCTAGTTTGTGTTGAGTGGACATTAAACCCTCTCTCTCTCTCTCTCACTCTTTCTCTCTCTCTCTCTCTCTCTCTCTTTCTCTCTCTGATTGTAATAGAAAATGTGTAATTAAGTCTGCAGTTGGGTTAGTGTGTAAAAACACATGCATTAAAGTGTTTACGTTAAAATTGAAGGATTTTCATTAAATAAAAAAGTGGAAGTGGAAGGTGGGCTTCTATGGAAAATCGAAAATGGCATGGATTTTTTACTTGTTTCATACACGCAATCGTGCCCGTCGCTTGTTAAAGTCTCTCCTGAACAAACAAACTTTATCCAATATTTCTCATCCATATCTAGTCCATTAGAGGAAGCCTAAGTGGCTTATCGAGTAACAAGCTGGTTCTCTAACCTGGAGGTCCTGTCTTCGATCATGCTATTGGCCGACAAACTTTATATGAATTTTCCAGTAAGGGTCTGGCAAGGGATAACATGTAGTCTTTCGGATGGGACGAAAACCGAGGTTATTGAGTTAAGTAGTATGGTTTCGTGCCACACTTTTACATTACAAGAAGCAGTGTCGACTGCCCAACCTTGTGGATTTTCGGCGAGTCCTCCTGTCCTGTTTCGCGCTCTTATGCGAATTGTTGAAATACACTTGAACTATATGTTAGTCCGGAAATTACCTAGTTTGTGTCTGTGTCGGTGGACGTTTAACTCCGGTATTCACCCAATGCTAAAGACCCCTACGCGAAAGCAAATTACTGAAATAAAATTGAAACATATGTTAGTCCTGAAATTACCTAGCTTGTGTCGAATGGATGTTTAACCCCGCCCTCCCCTCTCTCTCTCCATCTCTCTCCATCTCTCTCTCCATCTCTCTCATTGCCAAGTAAAATAGTCCCTTTTCACTGACTGCAATAGACAGGTCACAATTTCAGTCATTATGGAAAATAAGTTTTTGCCCAAGATCCAGTGACTGAAAAGACAAACCAACCGTATATTTGGACCACCTAAATCACCGTGTAGTTAATTGAAACACGTGCCAATACTTCGACACATATATTATCATTTATATGTCGTTAGACTATTAAATTATGCTTCATTGCGCACGTCGCACATATTGTTATCAGCTTTCCATTTAAATGAAACTCACTTAAAATAACAGCCTTTGACAACTGTGATAATAAAGGACGGATTATTCATAAAGCGGGCCATATTGAAAATTGTGCTGATAAAAGATCCATTTATATTATACTGTATATTAAATAAAACAGTCCGCGCTGGTTGTTTGATTTTGTTGGGGAAGATGTGATATGATATATCAGTTACATACCTTCATGACGAAATGAAATAGGGTTTAACGTCCTACTGTTCTGCCCCGGCTGGGCTAATGAAGATGGGCATACGCCTACACTTATATCAAATTCCACTGCCAAGGGACCCTTTACGTGCACACCAATGTGTACATGCGACCTCGGTTTTTCGTACCATCCGAACGACTAGACACAGTCAAGATCGAGAGTGAACTCGGGACCTTCAGGCTAGAGAGCCAGCGTCTTACTTACTTAGCCACCTTGGCACCCCCTCATGACGAAAGACATCATATGATATTTTTTAGTAACGATTTAAAATCTAATCTAACATTCTCTTTTTAGGAAAATAATGAATGGACGACCAATATCTACTGACATAGGCGAGACTTGGAGAAAAAGGCTATTAGATGGAGTCAAATCCATACCGGACCGAGGGCTACCAGGAACCGTGGAAGTCTTTGGAGATAATGCAAGACCAATTCTCATGTCGACACTGGCAGCACCTTGGATGGCGGCAGCTGAATACGGTAGAGGACGGGTTGTTGTTCTTGCTCATGGCGGTTATGCACTTAAATTCGAAACTACGGACCAAGATAAGAACCTAGCTCGATTGCATTTAAATATCAAACTATGGCTGACAAGAGGAAACTACAGGGATCAATCACAAATTTGTCCCCTAGAGCAAGAAACATTAGCGCTCAAGAACAAACTTATATTAATAATCAGGGGCCGGACCCCTTTTGTGAAGCCTGATGGTGTGATTCTGAATTTTGTACGTCGTGGAGGTAGTTTATTTCATGCAATGTGTCCTTGGGGATGGCTGGAACTTCACCCAGGAAAGACTCTTAAAGACATGCCTTATGCTGGTGCCTTAGACATGATTGGAATCAGTTACCAAAAGTCACACTGGTTTATGCCGAAAGATGGTTATGCAGTTTGTGACTATTTAGCAACAGGAATAATCAGTACTCGACCATCAACGAAAAGGTCCCTTCAAAATAATCGACATCGAAAGTGAGTTATTTGAGGTTTGTCAAACTAAAACAGCCGTTACTTAATGGTATATTAATCACTTATAATTATTCTAACATTATTGACAAAATACTAAGTTCTACAAAATTAAAAGGAGTATAACTTACTCAAACAAAATAAAACGTGCTACAACAATAAAGGGGATAAAATATTCGACTTACACAAAATACAAAGTTCTGCAATATTGAAAAGGGAAACTTAAACTTAAACCTAATATTAAAAAGGACATATTATCTAACTTTATTCGGCACACGGGGGGTTGGGTGGCCGAATGGTTAGCACGTGCGTGCTGTATCATAAAGCCTATCATTGAGTCAACTGGCGTGGTTTCGAATCCCCGGTTGTACGTGACAAGGAGTAGGGTCGCCTGTCCAACCTCGTGGGTTTTCTCCGGGTCCTCCGGTTTCCCCCCACTGCTAAAGACCCCTACGCGCGAATTATTGAAATAAAAAAATAAACCGTATGTTAATCCCGAAATGACCTAGTTTGTGTCGAGTGGACGTTAAACCCCATTTTTCTCTCTCTAACTTTATTCGGCACACAGAGATCCATCTACTTTATACTTCGAGAATAAATCTCTGCCCCGAATAGCCGCCATATCCAAAAATAGACCTATTCAACCCCCATTAAATGGTAGCAGAATAAATACTTAGTGTTTCGACTAAAATCATCGATTTAAGACTTTAAATGTCGGTCAACTAGCTTAGTGTCTGTTCTCAAGCGGGGCTAACTGCAAACAGCCTAAGTTTACTATGTTCTTACTTAAACAACATACTTCGTGCTGCGGCATTGTCAGTGTTACACAAAATACTAACATTAACAGTTACATAATATCTTCCTTAAAAATGTATTTCAAATTCCAATTACGGTGCCGGGTCTACTAGTCAACTAATGCATTTTTAGCCTCGAAGTCCGTAATCCGAAAGGAGTCCCTAATCCTAGAGGAGTCCCTAATCCTAGAGGAGTCCCTTATTCCCAATGGGGTGCCAGACAAACGAATTTAGCAGTTCACATTGCTTGAAATTGCTCGGTCTACACCAGTTTAGGCTTCAGGGTGGGGTGGGGGCTTCAACATGCTTGTCCATCACTGATTCATTGTATACTTAAAGGCAATTGCTATATCTCCCCGAGACTAAGAAGCCCATACAGGTCCAGATTGCTAGAAGACAGCACCATACCGTAATATATATTTTGTATATTTCGGATTTAATTATAAGAAAAGTCTGTACACAGAAATCATGTTGAGAAGATTAGATGATACTAGACAATGTTAACTCAGTTGCGTCTCAGTTGCGTTTTCCCCGGGTCCTCCGGTTTCCTTCCACTGCTAAAGACACCTACGCGCAAGCGAATTATTGAAATAAGATTGAACCATAAATGTTAGTCCCGAAATGACCTAGTTAGTGTCGAGTGAACGTTAAACCCCATTTCTCCCTCTGTCTTTCATTGTCCAATATACTTTACTTACATGGTACGCCGTGGTGATATAAAGGAGTGTGTGTGTGGAGTGGGGGTAGGGGGAATTCTCCTGTACGCATCTTGATCAGACCTCGATCGTCTTGAGCCCAGTGCCCCTACTACCTCCGCCAAAGTCTTTTATACCACTAATTTTTGTTTTAATATTTTTGTGTACTTTCAGTTTTAAGTCCACCAGTTCCATTGTCGAAAGCGTCGGAGGCGAATGGAGAATGCAGATTCTAGAGGGTGTAGAAATAGTGCCGAATCTTGCATCACCAGGATACCTATGCGTTTACGGAGTACGTTCACATCCGATACTCACCGAATATCGTGGTACAGGCACGTGGATGGCAGCTGCCGAGATGGGAAAAGGTCGAATCATAGTAATGACCCATAATTCCTTTATGCGATATTTCGAAAGTGGACATGAACATCCTGATTTAGCGAGACTTATGTTTAATATGCAAAACTGGTTGACTCGTGGTACCTACAGAGACCCATCAGAGGTAGGGTGTCTGCAACGAGGAATTTTCAATCTGAAAACAAACAAGATCCTGATAATGAGAGGTCGATCGCAGTTTAGGATTCCGGATGAAGATTTGGTTAGGTATATAAAAGGGGGAGGCGCCCTTCTTCACGCATTCGACTCGTTTTCGTGGTTGCTGGCAAATCCGGGAAAATCATTAGCGCAGATGCCATACGCGAATGTTTTAGAAAGCGCAGGAATTGCGTATCTTGAAGGACAATGGGCCATGCCATCAACAGGGTTACGCGTGTTGAAAAACGTAGCTACAGATCACCACCATATTCGATATGCTTTACAAGACGTCACCAACGAAATTTCTAGTAAGACATTACTTCTCCTGGTGTATCTGCCGACAGAAACCCTGAAACAAATTCTTGACGACTTAAAAGAGGAAATCGCGTATATTGAAAGTACCAGTAGCGTCCATTGCATACCATCCGTCCTTAACCCGGTCTTTTCGAACGAAGGGAGGGCAATGATGGGTTTAACAGTTGCTCTCGTCAAATCGGGAAGAATAAATTCCAAGCTACCGGGCCTCGATCAGTTTCCAGGTGATTTCGAAGTCCGTCCAAATAAATTTAAAATGAAAGTTGATATTGTATCCCATGTGGCCGATGTATACCCTACGGGGTGCTATTTACGGGCTGGAGACGAAGTCACGGTAATAGTGCAATTAGAAGAGTCTCTAAAATTGGGCTGGAAGATGCAAATTGGTTGTCATTCGGATAGACTTCATTCACTTGACAGTCACGTTAGGTGGCCATACATATGTGAAACGGCAAATATCGATAAGCTACGATTTAAAGTCACTTCGTTATATGGTGGTCTCATATATTTTATTTCTCCGGGAAAACCGAGCGCTATGGAAGCTGTTTTGTCTAATGTGGTGGAAGCGCCATTCTTTGATTTAACAAATAGATCCCGGGTTATCGGCTGGAATGAGAGAAGATATGCACCTGGTTTGTGGGCGGATATGTGTGGAGAATTTGTATGCATCACCGTGCCTTCAAAAAGTATTCGCCATATTCATGACCCGAGTGAGGTCATGAGAACATGGGATGACATCATCAGTTCTTTTCATCACCTTCGTGGTTCAAATGTGCGCAAGAAACGAAAACAGTGGATAGTGACGGATATCCAGTCTGCCGAACGTAATACATGCTTGCATGCCGGATATCCAATTGTTACTGGATTAGACTTAGCTAACCCAAGTGGAAAGAACTTCTTGTTAAATCATAGCCATATTATGGCCGGGGCATTTTGGAATGTGTTTGCGGAACTTGGCAAAAATTTACAGAAGAAAGTTTGGACATTTAAAGGTACAGAAAACGTAACTTGCAACATCTTTACACTGTATGCTCAAGATATAATTTGCGGTATTGATCCATGGCTTCCACAGTGGTTACTTTCCAAAATAAAAGTTGTTACGAAATATTTAGAAAAGGACGAAGGATTTTACGAGTGGGTCTCTGATCCAGGATTAGCACTCTTCATCTATGCACAACTAGTTCATCAATTTGGTTGGGGACTTTATAAACGAGTGTTTAGAAAATATCGCACTATCCCGATTGAGGACTTACCTCAGGACAATATATACAAAATGGATTTTTGGTTCACAGCTGTTTCACAGATAGCTAGGTACAACATAGCTCCACTTTGTGACTTTTGGAGAATTCCATTATCAACAGACGTTAGAAATTGGTTAACACAATTCCCGCCTTTTTTACCAGATGATGAAATAACGAAATTGGCACCAATCAGAGTGCAAGAGATAACCGATTTCTATGGCGACGTGGTCAGGAGGCCTAAAAGGCACGTGGCTAATGATTTTCATGATACCTATCAAGAGCCTGTAAGATTTAAACAACCCGACATAATGACTCACATTATCCGTAGTTAACGTACAGACCTATATTTCGTTTCGTTGTTTTATATACTTTCGATGGCTTACAATACATGGAGAGCTGACCAATTGTAGTGGAAGGTCGTGTCAGGGGTCAAACATCGGCTTTTGACCCTTTGACGTCAGACATTGATTAATCAACCAGCGTTAACGTTTCTAGTGGTTTACCCACAATTCTGTGCATCGCACGCCAAGAAGTCGCCGTAACATACCGTTTCATTGGCTAATCCCTCACATCAACCATAACGCGGCTTATATAACAACTCTTCCAGATCCTAGTGTTGTAAAGACATGTAAAAGAAAATTTTGAACTATAAAAACGACACGAAATAGGATCTGCAAACAAGACACAACAAGATATTGCAAGAAATAATCAGCAATGCTGGTAAATTTAATGTTTTTTACCTACTTGTACCAAAACTGACTTCCATGTTCTCAAACGACCTTTAGTGTTACGCTCGAACTATCTAACAGGTAGACAAAACTTTAATGGTTATTTTGTATTATGTATATTATTTTTATAATGCCCAGAAAGCTTTCAAATGGAGTAATTATTTCTTTTGATATCTAATAGTAGTTTCAGTATTATTGACCGATTAGTCTCTTTTGAATGCTAATAAGCAACAACACTTTTCAATAAATATTGCTACCAACAACCAACAATGAATCTTACCGAGTCTTAGTCATACCCATCTCTACTGGCGTTCATGCGATCCATGTCGATTAGTATGCGTGTTTATTATTTTGTACCTCCATGATACTTCATTAAATTTCAAAAACAATCTGGTTAAAATACAGATCTATATTTCGTTTCGTTTTTTATACTTTCGATAGCCTCTACTACACGGAGATCTGACCGGTTGTAGTGGAAGGTCGCGACAGAGGTCATACGAGCGGCTTTTGACACTATGACGTCAGACATTCGATTAACAATCCGCGTTTATGTTTCTAGTCGGGTTACCCACCGTTCCGTACACGTCACGCCAAAATCTCGCCGTAACAGACCGGTTCATTGGCCAATCTCTCACATCACCAAGAACGCGGGTTATATAACAACTCTTCCAGATCTTAGTGTTGTAGATACAAGTAAAACGAAATTTTGAACTATACAAAATGAAATAGGATCCGTGTTTTAATAACGTGTTTCAAAAATAACAGTATGACGAAATGATGTCAACTTTGATCCCAATTAGAACATAAATGATATTAAAGCGATCATGTCTACGATATCATCTTAGGCGGAAGTGGGCGTAAAACTCTAGAAACGAACGAACGAACGATCATATGTGCTACCCTTGACGGAGCTAAATTCAAATCTAATAACAGTACTTCTGTTGTAGCTGCCCAGTTAATAAACTTTTACCCAACAGGTACTGACTATGCCAATAGGATGATGAACATAGGCACCGTTGGCGTACACATAACAAAATTACTGAAAGTTGGAATTTGCGGAAAAATCAGCTCTCTCTCAGCAAAAATACCATGATAACACACCCCAGAAAAGTGCAGAAAAGTTGGCCATTACATTTCATCTTTAATTTTAAAAAGTACACAGTGGTTATTTGTCGATTAACTGCAACCAATTTATCCGATTACATCTCATATTTATGGTATGGGTCCTATTGCACGCCATTATAGCAACCCTAAAACATAATTAATTATATAATATCGGTGCATAGTAACAACGGTCATTGAAAATTTAAAAGACAATGATCAAGGCTATATATGTGCATTCTCCCGTCATCTGTCTTATATTAGTGGCTTCAATCATGTTCACTTTAATTGGACATAGCTATTGATTTACTTTTAAAATACCAAACCTATCGTTTCGAAGCATTGTTAGTCTGTATATAGTAGATACTATATTACAATTAATTTAATCCATAATACATTTTAATCTGTGTTATACGACACTATTTTATACTTGAATTAATCCAGAATGCATTTTAATCTATTAAATTAACCAATAATATATGTTAATCTATGTTATAATATACTATATTATATTTGACTTAATCAATAATTCATATTAATATATATTATTAGATAATCTATCATAAATTATTTAATCCATGATATATTTTTATCTATTTTATTAGATACTATATTATAATTAAAGATACATTATGTAAGATTTAGATAAAGAGCTAGCCATTCTTGCTATAATAGTTCGAAAATAGATAATGTAAAATGAATAATTTGAAAATTTCATTCAAATTGCTCTTTTGCGAGCGAAGATATTAGCCTTTGAAGGTTTCTCATCGAGAGTTGATTGTGGCCTGGCTAAGTTAATTAATGTCTTATTAATAATTTAGATAACATTCAGACCAAAAGAAAGACCTGCAATGGGCAGATTTAGCTCTTGCATAATGTATGTTTAATTTAATCCACAATGCATGCTAAAGGTGTATTGTGTAAGTTATAGATAAAGTACTGACATTTCCTGCTAAATAGGTAATGACAAAGGAATATATTGAAATTGTCAGTCCATTCTGAATAGAGTTACTGCCGTTAGTGTAGTCTCCATTCTCATTGCTACCACCGTCACGATAAAAAAGAATTTCTCGATTATCGATTGTTTTAATTAAATCATTAACTAGTAATTGTGTTTAAATCCGTTGAAAATCAAAAGCATCTGATGATCTAGAGCGTTGGTTATGGGCTTGGCATGTGAATAAATGTCTAATTAATGGTTTATAGAACATTTAAGGCCAAACAAAAGATATGCATTTGGCAGAATTAACTCTTACATAATGCATCTTTAAACTATATCATTAAATACTATATTAGAATTAAATTAATCGATAATACATATTAATCTATGTTATTAGATACTATGTATTAATATATGTTAATTTATATTATTAGATACCATATTATAATTAAATAATCCATAATAAATTCTAATCTATGTTATTACGAACTAAATTTTAATATATGTTATTAAATAATTGAATTAATTCATAATACATGATAATCTATGTTATTAGATACTATGTATTAATATATGTTAATTTATGTTATTAGATACTATTTTAGAATTGAATAATCCATAATAAATTCTAATCTATGTTATTACGAACTAAATTTTAATATATGTTATTAAATAATTGAATTAATTCATAATACATGATAATCTATGTTATTAGGTACTATGTATTAATATATGTTAATTTATGTTATGAGGTACTATATTATAATTAAATAATCCATAATACATTCTAATCTATGTTATTACGAACTAAATTTTAATATATAATATATGTTAATTAATGTTATAAGATAATTGAATTAATTCATAATGCATGTTAATCTATATTAGATACTGTATTTTAATTAAATCAATTCATAAAACATGTTTATTTGTGTTATAAGATACTATATTATTAACAAAAAAAACATGTTCATCCATGTTACTAGATACTATATTTTAATCTATGTTAAATAAATTAACCAATTTCCATTTGACCTAGTTAAATGTAAATTGTGTCACCGTTATTCATTGGCAGACCATTTAATCAATTTTTATTTAGATAGCCAAAGCATGTCAAGGAAACAATGCATTATATATCCACATCCCTAATTAATTTCATTTCTTTTAAATAGTTTTATCATATTTATATATGTTTTGATTCATTGATGAACGATTCATCCCACCAATTGTTTTTTCTTTACCATTATGCTTAGTATCATTTATTGTCCGATTTAACTGATATAAACGTAGTCATTATTTATGTAGTCTAAGTTGGTCTGTGATTCAAATAAAGATTATTTATGTAAAATATTTTAATATTATTACAATATTATTAAATTGAAAATATTATCAATTTCAAAACCTGCCTTGCTGTATTCCGTAACGTAGCGTTTTATGCCTTGTTTGTAGACAGGTGGTTCTCTGTTGCCAGTTCTTGGAACCTTCTGCAAAATCGAAACTAAATGGAATGAAATGGGATTTAACGTAATGCTGTTCTGCACCGATTGGGCTTCTGCATAATCATGAAATATAAATCCTAGAATTCATTTCTACTTGAAAAATATCAGAACACTGTGTGGCGAATACCACAAGCGACTTAGATGAAAATGCGGATGATCACTGTTTCGCGAACATGAACAAAAACGCTCCTCGCATCTTATTAGTATCCAAATGATCGCATTAAAGAACGAACATCAACGGAATATTTAACTGGCCAAATTCAATCTGCTAATCTGGAAATTAATTATCATAGACACTCGCCTTTGAGGCGTTATCTATGCCTACTGGAATTATTTTGAAACGCAGTAGTGGACAGTTACCAACTAAATTTGGGATTTGAATATTAACACCAGTCTCTACCCTAAATTTAATGCCAATCGCGCCTGTTTTGTTGATTAAAGATCAGATGAAGCTATGGGCTGGTATTGATTTAAAAAAAAATACCACATTAATTGGAACATCAATGCCATCTGTGTGTATTTAATTAATCTGCTGTAATTTAATTGGTCAAATCTTTGAACCAACATAAAGCTGTGCCCCTCCAGAAAATATATCAACTAAACTACCTCTATAATAACATTCTCCAACCTTAGTCCTGCAATCCATGGCAGTCTTGGTTACCTTACTTCACTCGAATAGGTTAATGTCGGTGTAGTATAACAAGTTAAAAATTCCAATTCAATGATTAAATATGCCCTTGTCATGTAACATTTAACCGTGCAATTGGTATGCTGGAAATTGTTCCACTACTGATGTCTTCCCCTCACTCCAGTCACTATAGTGGATCGTTCTAAGCACATTCGGGGATCACGGTGGCTAAGTGGCTAAGACGCCGACTCGCTAGCCTGGAGGACAGGTGTTCGATCCCTGCATTGGCCGAGAAAGTTCATCCAGATTTTCCGGCGTGGCTCCCCTTTGTCAGTGATGCAGGACAGAGGGCCTGACAAGGACAGCTGTCTAGTCGTTTGGATGGGACGAAACACCGAGGTCCCGTGTACACATTGGCGTGCACGTAAAAGATCCCTTGACAGTTGGGATTCGATATAAGAGTAGGCCGTAGTGCCGCTGTCCAGGCAAAATTCCCCTTATAGCACACGGTATGGCGTATGTCCGTCTTCATTAGCCAAGTCCAGGGCAGAACAGTGCGACGTCGAGCAAGTCACTTGATCTGCACTGGTCACATTTTGTTTGAATAATGGTTACCTTTTATAGAGTTATTTCCCTTGCATCATATATTGCATTTTGTATTTCAATACAAATACAAGAACCGAAAAAGCGTGTTTAAATTTACATTATCTATCACGTGTTGGTGAATATTCATGATCTGGAGACGTAAGATTCCAGGAAAAACAGATATGAAATCAGCAAAACACTTTTCAATATGACGTCACATACATGTTGATTCTGTTCACCAGGTCTAGAAAATAACCAGAGATGGTCAACCGTTTTCAATGTTTCATCAGATCTTTTTGACATGTGGGGCCCTGTGGGTATGGAAGACCAAACAGCTCTTTATTGAGTGTTCTTAGATCTTAATTCAAAGGCGTTAATTCTTATTTCTTCATTTGTTGTCGTATTTCGACATTTTTGTTTTATAATCCCCACCTTTCCGTAGTTCTTTATAATCACTTTTTGTATCAATACCCTGAATATTTTGTTTTAGTTTTACAAATCTATATTCTTTGTTTCGTCGTGTAGGCTAAAGGCAAAGTGATTTCCCCAAAATACTGAAAGGTATATTAGATCCTCTTGTTTAGCAATGCGCATCAACCTTACTTGTAAATGCCTTTACGCAATAATAATGTTGTCAGCCTTCCAAGTTGTTTAAATCGGAGAAATGGTGGAGATCCTAAATAAACTGAAAGTGTACATGTATATAGGGTAGGAGAAAAAGAAAAGTGTTAGTGTTAGAAAAGTAAAAGTGTGTGACGACAGCAGCGTATTTCATTTGGCACCGTTGTTACACGATACTGGCGTAAACACAAATATTAAATTGGGAAGCTCGGGTTAGGGCATTAAGATTAACATCAGTTATGCACCACTCAAATCAACATTAATCTGGGGCTTCAATTGGTCCAGAATCAAATGTAATGAAGAACAAGGTTGAATGTGGATGAATCAAACTGGTGCTGTTTAAAATTATCTCCCCGGGTCTGTGAAAAATTAAAACCGGACAATCAAAACGCGAGAATTATTCATACTCTACAGCCTTAGCAGAGGGATACATCCAACCCATCTTGTATGTTGGTCAACCAGCATGAGAATTAACAACATCCTGCGTAACTGATCTTACACCCCAAAAGTCTAGATGTACTCTCGGCATTTGGTATATGTACTGAAAAACTGAAGTATTCTCTTTACAGCAAGGTGCCCGACATGCTTTATGTTCAGTCACCGCCTATTTACGACACGAGGTCCAAAAAAGCTACCATTTGTATGCTGAATATTCAGTAAGAGCAGATGGTTGACTTAGATTGAAAGAGAACGTAAACATCCACTTGGATGTGCGTACTTTGCGCAAGAAAAAAAGGTGCGACTGGTATTTTTCCCGCGCACGGTAAAGCTAACAATTTGCATTAAACCATTTTTATCGCCGATAGAAATGCGTACATGAAAAGCGGATCTAATAGTTGTATGTTCACCCGATTATACGACCGTCGGTGCAGAGCACTCTCACTGATAAATACCGGTTGAAGTTGGTCTTCATGGTTTGTAATGTTTTTGAACCGTGACAAACCACGAACTGTCGGTTATCAATTACTATATACCACCTTGGCATATCACACAGTCTATTCAGATCACGTTTCCTTGTTTAATATCATAATATGTAAGTTATCTTCATCAACAACTACAATAAACGGTACAGTTGAGGCACCTGCCGGTTGCAGGAAAGGCTGTTGTCCCCGAAATCAAGGCCTAAAGACAGATTTGGCAGCCAGCTAATTCAAGCAAAGGTAATTAATAATCTTAAATGTAATAATTACAGTTCATCTATTTAACATAAATTTTAATATATAAATAAATTTTACATATTAACACTAACCCATTAACGGAAACCATATTTCAGAATACACGTTAGTTTGAAGGTCTGTAAACTTTGTACCGATAAGAATATAACCATTATATTATCGTCAAATATCAGAGCTACATTTAACGGTGCACAATGAAATGAAATGAAATGGGGTTTAACGTCCTACTGTTCTGCTCCTAACCTGGGCTAATGAAGACGGGCATACGCCATACAGTGTGCTATGAGGGAAATTTTGCCCGGGCAGCGGCACTACGGCCTACTCTTATATCGAATTCCAACTGCCAAGGGATCTTTTACGTGCACGCCAATGTGTACACGGGACCTCGGTTTTTCGTCCCATCCGAACGACTAGACAGCTTTCCTTGTCAGCCCCTCCGTCCTGCATCACTGACAAGGGAGAACCACGCCGGAAAATCTGGATGAACTTTCTCGGCCAATGCAGGGATCGAACACCCGACCTCCAGACTAGCGAGCTAGCGTCTTACCCACTTAGCCACGTGATCCCCCGGTGCACAATGCTGTGGAGACGAATGCTGAAGTCCAAAGCTATATACAATAAATAATGACCCAATACTTCGAGAAATCGCATCAGCATGATTTCCACCCCGTTCTGTACACTAAATTTAGCAACGACTCTTCACTGATATCATACAAGACTCAAAATAATTATGATGTAAATCGAGATCTTTACTGTTTCCAGGGGACTACAAGTTATCCAGTCGCAATGGGTGGAGATCTTAAAGAAAGGGTGGAACTGGATAAGGTGCTGTATGTGACTGGATACAAGGGGGCGTACCAGATAAGACAGTCTATTGTATGCCTTTTATCAAGTCTAAGCTGCGCCTTTCCAATTCTCTCTATAGTTTTTATTGGTAAGATTTCTACAAACGTTTCAACTTAGATATTAAGTAATATTTAACTTTAACATAGTGTTTATGTAAACACGATTTATCCCTAGGTTTCAGTAACTTAGAATGGAGACTTCGAAGTGGTTTATCGTCGATTCATTTGTAAGACCAA